CTTTCAGAATCACATTTACACATCTTCTTTCAGTTGGTGTCCACAGATGACAAGTTAACAATTTATATAAATTCCTCCAAACCCCAGACTGATACTGATAATTCTGGATCTTTTCCCCAGCCTAAGGTGGTTCATTCGGAATTGAGGCCTGGAGCTTCCCATGAGCTATTGAAACTGCTACCTCAACAAAATGTCCATAGTGCTGAAAAACGTACCATTCCCAGCCTTCATGGATTAGGTCCCAGCATTTTGGAAACAGCTGATATTTTCTCTCCATATAGCTCAGGCTCATGAAGAACCAAAGTTCTCCTATAGCGAAATTGTATCTTGGAGGCCAGAAAAATATGTTTGTTTGTTTTTTTAAAGATTTTATTTATTTATTTGACAGAGAGAGAGCACAAGCAGGGGGAGCGGAAGGCAGAGGGAGAGGGAGAAGAAGGCCTCCTGCTGAGCAGGGAGCCCGATGCGGGGCTTGATCCCAGGACCCCGGGATCATGAACTGAGCCGAAGGCAGACGCTTAACAACTGAGCCACCCAGGTGCCCCAGGAAAAATATGTTTTAGCATAACTTTGTGTATTGTTTTCTGGACCTTTTTGTTAACTTCGCTATAGATGAAAACTGCTTCTCCTTTGCTTATAAAAACTTTTTTTTATATTCTTGTATAAGTCTGTGCTCTAAGGTTTGAAGCTTCATCTAATTTCTATAGTCATTGCTTAGAATTTTCCTTCCATTAGAACTCTGTCTCCCTTATAGACACAGGGCAGCAGATGCTAGTTGTATTAGCAGAACCAAGATTTCTTGATTTCCTTCGTTCTAAGCAATTTCCTCTCTGCGTTACAGGCCAGTCTGAAAGAATTCTGCCAGAAATCTTATATGTTTGATAGGAAGGCATGCAAAATCAATTTCTAGAATAAAAAGGTGAAAAAACCTGCTTAGGAGAAAGAGAACAGAAATTTACTTGATATGTAGAGTCAGGCTAAAGAAAGTTGAATAATCCTAAAAATGGTGTCAGAAAATGATAGAAGCTTGATAGATTGAGAAATATACTCATATAAATATATATTTATGAGACAATCTAATGTAATGATTAATAGCAAAAACTCTGAAGGTATACTAGTTGGCTCAAATATTGGATCTTCTGCTTGTTGGCTTTGAGACCTTGGCAAACTGACACTGAGTGAGTACCAGGTACACGGTAGGTGCAGATCTCAGAGTTTGCTATTATTAATCCCCTATAGAGTTTTGGAAATTTTCTGACACGTTCTTATTCTCCAAAATCTCCTTTAACGAGGAGTACACTTGTTGTGATGAGCACCGGGTGTTGTATGGAAGTGTTGAATCACTATATTGTTCCCCTGAAACTAATATTATACTGGATGTTAACTGGAATTAAATGAAAACTTAAAAAAAAAAACCACACACACCAAAATCTCTTTTTTCTAGATTTCACGAGGAAAACGCACCTCTTTCAAAATACGTAAAAAATCCAAATATACAAATTACTTTAATAAATACGTTTTAGTTGCCTGCTTCTTGATAAATTCTAGGAACATGCTTTAATCTTACCAAAAAACTCTCTCTAAATTACACTTTTGTCTGCATGACTTTAGTACCTGTAAATAGTGAATCCATTCTGTGACCTGGGATTATCACAGAGGGTCACCTTCCTCTGATCCGAGTATCTTTTCTTTGTTGCCAGATGTGGGGACAAAGACAGTTTGTGCCCCTGTAACTTTCAGTCTAGGAGCTCTGTGTCCCTCTGATCTTAGTTTTCATGTAAGAAAAGTGTTCAGGGGGAAATTATGTCATTGACTAATAGAGCAGAAAGAGACTTCAGAGGTCACTAGGCCAATTCTTTTATTTTCTAAGAACTGGGGTTTTGAGAGGAGACGAGATGCTTTTGGGTAACAGGACAGGGTAAAGGCAGAGGAGGATGTAAGGCATGCCTTCCTCCCACAGTGTATGTTGTAATGATACAGAGGGGACAGTAATTGATTCTGGAAAAATCTTAAAAAGCAAGTCAATTTACTCTGCTTTAATGCTTATTTCCCCCATTCCTGACAGAAGAATAAACATGGAAACTCATGTATAAGATTAAAATATTCGAGGAATGTTGCATCTAGAAATGCTTTCATGACATGCCCTAGGCAGTTACATAACCATACTCAAGGATATGCACACCATTTATGATGTTATTTTAGGGGCATTAAATGAGATAATACATGCCAAGCACTTTGCTTAATGCTTGGCTCACAGGAAGCAGTTAAAAAATATTAGTTATTTATATGACTATTATTTACTTACCTCTGGGAATCCTCTTTCAGGGAAAAGGCTAGGCAGAAAAATATTTACTCACCATCTTGGAGATAATTATTGTATGATTCTTCACAGTATCTGAAAAGTCAGCTAAGAATAGTGTTATCCCTGTTGAAATCTGGGGAACATAGACACTAAAGATTTGCAAGCACATTTCAATTACCCAAATAGGTTAGAATCAGAAAGAGAAACATAGTCTTCACTTCCTGACTGCTCCATCCCAGGTTTAAATACTTTAGTTTCTGATGTTTTTAGTTTCTCAAGTAACTTTCTCAAATAACTGTGAAAAGGAAATCAGGAAGCTGAGTAAAGGAAGTTCTGTGGGCTTCTCCTGGAGACTTCCTTCTTTCTCCATCAACAGAGGAGCTGGAAAAGTAGAAATGGGTGTGTTTGAACACTTCCCCTTTACCAAAACAAAACAATAAATATAGAGGAACTGATATGTGGGCTATTTTTTTAAGCATTATATTTATTTTTCCATTATATTTTTAAAGATTTCACTGATTTATTTGAGGGAGAGAGAGAAGCAGATTCCCCACTGAGCAGGGAGCCTGACACGGGGTTTGATCCCAGGACCCCAGGATCATGACCTGAGCTGAAGGCAGATGCTTAACCCACTGAGCCACCCAGGTGCCCCTATTTTTCCATCATTAAAGAAATATGTAATAACTACTGATACTTATCAAGTAGTGACTACACGTCAAGCAATGCACTGAATGATTGAAATACATTAACTTGTTTGATCCTTTCAACTCTGAGAAATCAGAATGATTTTTATCATTACCATTTCACAGAAGAGGAAACTGATGCAGAGGGTGTTGGTCTGAGGAAAGTTCCAGCGCTCAAAGTGGTAGTGTTGAAATTCCAATTTCAGGTAAGCAGTCATACCAGGTTGGAAGTCTTCATTAGGACCTTATATGACCATGTGCCTACATTGGTTGGAAAATCAGAAAAACAAGAACGAATTGGGACTCCGAGTCAATGTTGTATCGTGAACAGCAGTTAGGAACTCACTAATTAAATACCACAGGGCTAAGAGAGCTCCAATTCCGGACCCGCCAGAGAAAAATGAAGGTATATTCAGTTAAGTTCTCATTGTCCTTCAAATGCTTGTGTGGGCATTACCATACAGATTGTCACATGTATTCATAGTTCTTTCTCACGCAGTCCAATCTGGTGCACAGGGCAGACGTGAAGGGCGTGGGGTATGCAGAAAACAGCGCTAGCCCGGAGAGAATCAAGATAATCCATGAGGGGTGTTCACCCTGAGTCACCTTCTTTACCTTTCCCACATTCAAGCAGATCGTTGACTCAGCTCATTTCCTCAGGAGAAGATGAAGCAGGGTAAAAAGTAAAAGTTGTTTGGCAACTGCTTCTCTTTCTGGCTTGTAGCTCCAAGGCCTAACCACGGAGAGGGCAAGGACTCTTCGGCAGACACTGGCGAGGGGAAACCATCCTCCCTACAGACCGCCGGCTGACAGCGTTAATTAACTCTCACGAACACTCATCACCTCTGTGTAAGCGTGGAGGTGATGCACGCGTCTTTTTTAAGCACATATCTATGCACTCATTTAATGCTCTCAAAACCTCATAAGGTTGTCGTTACTAATATTGTTAAGAATGCTCCGTGAGGGGGGCGCCTGGGTGGCTCAGTGGTTGGGCTTCTGCCTTGGGCTAGGGTCATGGTCTGGGGGTGCTGGGATGGGGCCAGTGTGGGGCTCCCTGCTCAGTGCGGAGCCTGCTTCTCCCTTTCCTCCCCACTTGTGCTCTCTCTCGCTCCTTCTGTGTCTGTCTCTGTCTCAAATAAATAAATAAAATCTTAAAAAAAAAATGCTCCATGAGGGCAAGGATTTTTTTTTTTTCTGTTTTTGTTTACTGCTTTACCTCTATTATCCAGAATAGGACCTGGCAAATATTAGATACTCACTAAATATTTAAACAATATGGCTCTTCGGAGAAAAGGAATGTAAATGAAATATGCTAGCAGCAATGAGAACTTAAGGAGTCCTTGTAAACATGTGATTTGTGGGAAAATATAATATTTGGGATCATTCATTCAGCAAAGATGTACTAGTGCCTATGATGTGCCCGGCATTCCTTCCCATCGTGAGGGCGCCACACTAAACTGAACAGTGAAATGCCTGCTCTTATGAAGCTCACATTCTGCTGGTGGGGGGGGTGGTGAAAACAAACCAAGAAAATACACTATTTGTCAGACACGGTAATGAAGAAACACACAGCAGGTGAGGGATGAGACTGTTGGAGGAGGGTCCCGGTGAAGACGTGGTCAGCCAAGCGTTCTCTAAGGAGAACTAATGAATTGCAGAAGCCAGCCACGTGCATATCCGAAAAGAAGGCTTACTTGTGTTCACTTTCTCTCATTCTCCGGGAGCCTATGGTATAAGGTTTTTAAACATAGATGAGCATGTAGCAATAGGCACACATCAGCACCTGTAACTTTGATTTTATCAACTGAATGCAAATATGTTAGGTTATTATTCACACACAGAGATCCTATAAAATGCCAAGAAGAACCAGAAGTCTTTGCAGGATTGGACTGTTTGGCAGGCATATCTCATCTAAGAAATGAAGGAAGAGACTTAGGTGGAAGTAAGTCGCTTCGTCTCTCATTGGCTTGTGACTGTCACTTACTCATCGTATAAACCCAAGATGCAGTCACTGATGAGAGCATAGAAGATACTAGAGACTCCACGGAGACATAGCACAAGTAAGTGATAAGATTGAACTCTACAAAGTTAAGAAATGAGATAGTGTTCTTTCTTCATCTTAGTGTTTTTTATTACTGTGATATTCTGTGTGTGACTGAGCAACTGATACCTATTTTCACCATGCCACTCATTCAGCTCTCATTCAGAGCTTCTTTGTTAGTGGCCAGGTAGAAATCAAACAGTAGTTTTCTTTTCTTTTCTTTCTTGTTTCTTTTTTTTTCTTTCTTTCTTTCTTTCTTTCTTTCTTTCTTTCTTTCTTTCTTTCTTTCCTTTCTTTTTCTTTCTTCTTTCTTTCTTTCATCTTTCTCCTCCCTCCCTCCCTCCCTCCCTCTCTCTCTCTCTTTCTTTCTTTCTGTTTAGGGATTTTCTTTGTAATATTTTCTATCATTTTAAGGCTCATTTTGTTGCAGCATCTCCATGTTTTGCCAAGAATTTCATTCTATCATCATTTGGTTTCAAAGGTAATTTAAGGCATTTACTCCAGACTAAGAATTTGAACTCTCAGCTCCCAGAGGATATTTCGGTTATTCCTCTTGCTTTGGCTTTAACATGAGGCAACAATTTAAAATATTTAGTTGGTCTTTGGTGGGAAAAGAGAGATCCTGGCTTGCCAATGCAAAATTAAACATTCAGGATTTGACTGAAATCAGTATTTTACTCAGTTAACAAAAATGCTTATATTTATTGTCCTACAGTTTAACTCCAACCTGGCAACTTTTCCAGAACTGAACTAGACATGCTCAGGGACCCTGTGAAGGAGGGAAATCAACATTCTTTACCACCAACTGTTAGCGGGTAATGCAGTGCTGTTATTCAATGCCATAATGGGCAAGAAGTTCTTATGTAGACAATAGCAGCTCCTGTGATTGCTTTCTAAATTCACTTTTTACAATTCAAAACACTATAGTCTATATGATGGGATCACAAACATACTCTATGCTGGTACATTTTGTGTAGGTTAAATACTGGTCAAGTTGGGATCTAGCAAAGAACTGTCGGCAAATTCACAAATAATCTTTGTTCTTATACTTCAGACTTGTAGGTTATTGCATTACTACTAGGCATATATAAAACTATATCTGGAATTCTTGAGTATGTTTGACATTCCTTTTATTTAAGAGTAAGAGCTCATGTAGATCAACACTTTTATCAGTAAAATAAAGATAGATAGCATTTAGGTTTTGAAGCGAATTGTAAATGGTTAATATTTAATTCCTTATTTGTAAGTTTTTCTATCCATCAAAATTACTCCAAAAATTCAACTCCTTTTTTCAGTTACCTGCTGAAATCTTGAAGGTATGTAACAGAGTAAATGAATATTAGCCTCCTTGGCCAGAGTTGAATTTGGATGGTTATCTCCGTTCTGGCAGACATTAGCATTTTTGATACTGTTTTACTGTGCGCTTACAGCAACATACAGATTAGAACATCAGTTCAGTTAAAATGAAATGGTTTTATTATAGCTTGTACTTTATCAATGACTGCATTAAAATTGCCTCTGGGATTGAATAGTCATGTGTTTTGTGGTTGTTAATCAGTTGAAATGTGCCAGTGTTACCTTAAAGAAAAAGAGCTACAAATGAGGAGAAAGGAGCTCCCCAAGACAGAACTTTTCAAAACACTATTATTTTCCATGTAAATATTAATTGATTATTGATTAAATAATTTATTTATCTATCTTATAATTAAATAATTAATTATTTAAAATAATTAAATATTTAATTAACATTAAATATTATATATTAAAAGCTAAATCTACTTTTGCATTTAATGGCTCCATCCGTCTGAGTTTACAGGTGAAAGTGTCTATGCAGGGGTTTTATGAGTCATCATTCATATGTTCTTTGAGAAACTGTGTATCTTATTTTTCAAACACAATTTTAAGTGGGTTTTTTATTTATCTGATGAATCAGGAACTTTATTTTTTTTAAAGACCTTTATTTTATTTATTTGAGAGAGAGAGAGCATGAGCAGGGGGAGGGGCAGAGGGAGAGGAAGAAGCAGACTCCCTGCTGAGCAGGGAGACCGATGTGGGGCTCCATCCCAGGGCCCCGAGATCAAGATCTGAGCCGAAGGCAGACGCTTAACTGAGTAAGCCACCCAGGTGCCCCTTGAATCAGGAACTTTAAATGACTTCTTCAGAATGGAAGGAAGCCAGTGGTTAGTTTTAGTTAAAGGAAAGCATTAAGCACAATCAGCTTACCTTTTTACTTCTTGTCCTGTATCATTTCAGGAAACATTTTGCAGCATGCCCTACATGGGATTCTTAACACGGAGTGACAGTGTTCAGGGCTCAGAAATGAAGCTCACAAGGAACAGCATGATACTAGAATTTGCCTAGGCCAGGCAAAGCATACTTAGGTCTATCATGCAGCTGGGTATTATTTCTATATATTATGGGAAGCTGGGATCTAATTCTGTATAGTTTTCTTCTTTGTCTCAGTCTGGTCCCGTTAGATCCCCACCGAAATGGCATGTCTGTCATATATCTGAGGTTCTGTTTCCAGACTCTACACACCTCTAGATGTCTGGTCCTGAACAAAAATCACATTATCCTCATTACAAGGTTTTTTTAAAGTCTTGCAATCTGGTAGGTCAAGTCCTCTCCTTCTGTTCTCTTAATTTGTTTTGGTTATTTTGGTCCTTAGCATTTCCATTTGAAATTTAGGCTCAGGTTTATTCACAGATGCTCTTGAATTTTAAATACAAACAGTAACTTTGATTGCAAGTAAGGACAGTGTTGTCCCTTCCTTTCCATTCCTTACATATGCCGTTTATTGTCTTATCTTATTGAGTTAGCTGGGCCATCCAGGGCTATGTTAAACAGTAAGGGTAATACTGGGGTTCTCATTATTCCTGATGTTAAAGAAAATGCTCCTATTTGCTCCCCGTTATGTATGATGTTTGCTCTAAGTTTTTTTTGTAGCGACTCTATTTTCTTTTGGGCCTGGTGTCTTTCATGAATGTAACTAACTACCAATTCAATTTCTTTACTGATTAGTGCTAAATACAGGCTTTCAGGTGTTGCTTTTTCTTTTTTTGACTGTGTTAGTTTACATATTTCTAAAAATTTTTCCATTTAAGCGTTCAGATTCAGGGACATAAAGTTATTTGCCATGTTAGCTTATGATTTTGAATGATCTATTTCATCTGTTCTTATGACCCCTTTTTGTGTATAATATTAATTTTTGTGACTTTTCATACATTTTCTTTATCAGTTTTACAATTTGACCTTTTAAAAGTTGTATATAAAAGCTTGCCAGGCCCTAATTTCAAGCAGTGCATCTCTATACACTCCCCCATTTGAGTGGGAACCTTTATTCTCCTTTTTTCTGAAGGAGCTACCCTCGTGGATGCCACTGCCTCTCTCAGAATTCAGGGTCCTGCTTTATTTACCATTTTACAGGTGAGGAAACTAAAGCTAGGGACAGGTGATTTGCCCAAGGCCATTCAGACAGTAAGTGGCAGGGGTGACCCCAAAATCACACATTCCCTTTGCCACTGACCTTCTCTGCCCTTGAGCCTGTTCCTCACTGCATCTCTCGGTGGGAGCGCGATATGTCTTACTTTCATCCTTTTAACCCGTCATCCTCATGAAGTAAAGGCTTTAACAAAGTGAGATTATTGTAACAGAAATATACTGCTAAATGCAGTAAGAGGGGAAAAAAAATTTTAGGCACTGTCCTCTTTGGTGATCATTAGCTTATATTATAAATTGCCTTATAAATTTTCACCATACAAATATTTACCTGGAATGTCTTCTGTTAGGGTTTTTTGGGTTTTTTTTTTAAAGATTTTATTCACTTAGGGGCGCCTGGGTGGCTTAGTCGTTAAGCGTCTGCCTTCGGCTCACGTCATGGTCCCGGGGTCCTGGGGTCGAGCCCCGCATCCGGCTCCTTGCTCAGCGGGAAGCCTGTTTCTCCCTCTCCCACTCCCCCTGCTTGTGTTCCCTTTCTCGCTGTGTCTCTCTCTGTCAAATAAGTAAATAAAATCTTGGGGCGCCTGGGTGGCTCAGTCATTAAGCGTCTGCCTTCGGCTCAGGTCATGGTCCCAGGGTCCTGGGATCGAGCCCCGCATCGGGCTCCCTGCTCTGTCGGAAGCTGCTTCTCCTGCTCCTGCTCCCCTTGCTTGTGTTCCTTCTCTCGCTGTGTATCTCTGTCAAATAAATAAAATCTTTAAAAAAATTATTTTATTCACTTATTTGAGGGAGAGAGTGCTAATGAGAGAGCACAAGCTGGGGGAGAGGTAGACTCCCCACTGAGCAGGGAGCCCAATATGGGGCTTGATCCCAGGACCCCGGGATCATGACCTGAGCCGAAGCAGATGCTTAACCGACTGAGCCACCCAGGTGGCTCTCTTCTGTTAGTTTTTATGCAAAAGCTTTATAAAATATAGAAAGGATTTGAAGAATCCATAAATGTTTCCAATTGCATTTACATTTACTTATTTTTCATGTTCTAAAAATGTGCACATTTACCCTAAAAAACAAAAGTCTTCAGGTTTGGAAGTTTGTAGCTGTAAAAAGCAAGAAACCAGACTTGTGCTCAGTAGAAAATATAATTCTGCAAGTAACTACAGGAATGTGTTGTGCAACTACAGCTTCATTAATGAGTTATGACTGTTGAAAGGATGTTCTAGAAGGAAAGATAAGCATTTGTCAGATGGTCACGGACCTGTGCCAAATCTTAGATTTAAAGATGTATTTGCAGAAAACTATAGATAGCTGCCAACTTACACTAATGATTTCTTAATGTCTTCTTTACTTGAGTGAAACACAATATAAAATAGCATGTTTTTGCAAATGAACCACAGCAACAAACAATCCCCGTGTTTTCATGCAGAATTAGGAGGTAGACACTGACATTTACATGGCATTTGATCAAATGAGAAAAAGTTATATGTTTAATTTTTAATATTGATCATAACAGATGTATATAAATCTATTCATATAATGTTTGTAAGGAAAATGCATATCATGTCTCTGTTGCTGAGGAAAAATTGACCTATGACAGCAAAAATCAATAAAGGAAAGTTGTGTAAAATGTTCGCCAAGTAAAAACTGCAACCAAGAATGACACTTTTTCCACTCTGAAGGCTTTTCTTGTTCTTTTGAGATTTAAAACAGATAGATCAAGGAATTGTAACCACTACGCTTTTTATCTCCTAGATAAGAATGTTCCCTTTATTGTGATTACATAAGTATTTCCTTTTTTTCAGAAGGAAGCTTACTACTTTACATTTTTTATTGGCTATTTTTGTACTCTCCTATTTTTCCCACTATCTTTTTCTAAGCTCCACATTAAGCCTCATTTAGTCCTAACCCCAAATTTGAACTCCTTCTATGCATATTTCTCCCCCAAAGTACTGGGGCTCTAAATCTTGGAATTTTCATTAGTTCACTCCAGTGAATTCTTCCCTCTAGAGAGAGCACTCCCTCACATAGTGATGTGTGTGGCAGGTGCCACATGTCACTTGGGTGCAGACTGGACTGGCTAACCGGAGTGGGATGGGGCATGGGATGTTCAGAGTGACTCTGTTTCTAGCAAGGAGCACCAGCTCCACCCACAACACCTGGACAGGGAAAACCAAGGCCCAGAGAAGTGGACTCACCAGAAATCACTATCATCATCATTTCTTGGATCTTGAGGGGGTCTAGATAGGCAACCAGACAGTTCCTTGCAGTCACCCTCACCATGAATGCACGAACTTGGCAATCTAGATTTTTATGGTTTGTGTTTGACCTTTTATGTGATGTGCTTTCAAATATATTTTTTTAAGATTTTATTCATTTGAGAGAGAGAGAGAGAGTGCGCGCGCACAAGAGAGAGCGCATGAGCCAGGGAGAGGCAGAGAAGCAGACTCCCCGTTGAGCAGGGAGCACAATGCGGGATTCAATCTGTTCGGATCCGAGGACCCTGGGATCATTACCTGAGCAGAAGGCAGAAGCTTAACCGACAGAGCCACCCAGGACCCTGTGATGTGCTTTCAGATAGAATTTTGAGACTTCAGCCCAACTTTTCTTTCTAGCTAACATTCCATTAGTATCCTTGAAAGACTTCCTTAGCAGAAAATGAACTATTTATACTTAAACCACTTAAAATTAATGATATTTATGACTTCTATTCATGGAATTACTATGATTATTATTTATTTTTAGTGTACTGTATTCACAATGTTTATTCTTGACCATAGAATGAATTCAAAGTTATTATTGTTGATAGCTAATAATTATTAAGTGTTTAGCATTGTGTTAAATGTTTGACATGTATTATCTCATTAGATCTCCAAATCCATATTAGTACCTCTATTTACAGAAGTGGACTTTGAAATTCAGAGAGATTTTATTGATTAGCCCAAAGATACATAGCAACTAAGAGGAAGAGCTGAATTTCAAATGAAAATGTTTCTTTCTCAGTTGCCGGATCATCATAAAATTACCATACGTGCTACTACTATTGCTTAAAATCATTGTTTATAAACCATGACAATGGGAAGATACAAATCACAGAAAATCAAAAAATTATAACGGCCTACAGCTACCCAATGCCGCTAGTATTACCCAACTCTCCGAAATTTAAGAGAAGTTGCAACCCAGCGGCGTGGATGCAGTAAAAAAAAAAAAAAAAAGAGAGAGAGCAATGTTTCCCTAAGTCATTGATTCCTAGAGGGAAATGCCACGGGGGTGGGAAGAGAGCGGACGGCCAGCGCAGGCTGGCAACGCGGGCTCCCATCCTCTTGCATGTACCCTGTTCTTGAAATCCTCATCCAGCTGTCCTCACAAACTCAGCTGCATCACCAAAGCAAACAATAAACCAAATGTCAAATTACAAGTGAGTAAAGGCAGGACAAAAACAGCTTAAAATGGAAAGTTTTGGACTTTATCCTCTGACGGTGTATAGATAGATAGCTTCTCACTCTGAATTTTTTTGTAAGTAAAATTTGAGTCTGGTTATTTCACTGGAATGTTCTAGCTAGTTTTTTTTTTTTTAAGATTTTAATCATTTATTTGAGAGAGAGAGAGCAGAAGCTGTGGGGGGGAGGGGCAGAGAGAGAGGGAGAAGCAGACTCCCTGCTGAGCAGGGAGCCTCACATGGGACTTGATCCCAGGACTCTGAGATCATGACCCGAGCTGAAGGCAGACACCAATTGAGCCACCCAGGTGCCCCATCCAGCTAGTTCTTAAAGAGAGAGTCATGATCTTAATTCTGTCAAGTTTTCCCCATATGTTATTAGGATTCAGGCTTTGAAATATTCTCTAATATCTCCAGTTGTCTCAAAATATGCCATAAAGTTTTGAAAAAAGTCCCCAGAGGAAAATGTTGAAACATCTCTAGAGGGCTGTTAAAATAATCTTTCAATTTTTCTTTTTCCAGAATCATACCATGCCAAACTACAAACTCATTTATTTTAATATGAGGGGGAGAGCAGAAATTATTCGTTACATATTTGCTTATTTGGACATAAAATATGAAGACCACAGGATAGAACAAGCTGACTGGCCTGAAGTCAAATCAAGTAAGTGGCACAAGTAACAGTTTATGAAAATGTAGGGAAAATATGTCTCCAAAACCTTCTGTCTTTCCTCAGGGAGATGAAAAAATAGAGGTTTTTAAATCTCATGTAGCTTTACATTGAGAAGCAGCAGTTCAGGCAAGTTAAATAAATGCTATGTGGCCCAAATTTTCCTATTCAAGATGAAAACACAAACCTCACAGAAAGAATATATAAAGATAAACAATAAGAAGTTTTTTCATAAGAGCTGAAAGAGGGAATACTGAAGTGAGTATTCTTGACAACTCGAATTGGATGGGCTTACTACAGGTATCTACAGTCTTCTGACAAAGGATCAGATATGCTGCTCTAACAGAAAACCAAACTCAAGGTGGCTTAAATAAGAAGGAAATTGTATCACATAACTGAAAATCCAGAAATAGGACAGGTTTCAATAGATGACTTTATTCATTTTTCCTCCACTGTGTGTTTCCAGCATCATGAGGCTAGTAGCAATAAGTTTGCTGCAATTTCAGCCCCATAGCCTTGAACAGTAACATCAAGAGGTATATGAGAGAGAAAGAGCACTGCTTCCTTAAGTGTTCCCAGAAGAATGAACAAAAACTCCCAGAAGACCTCAGCAAACTTGTCATGTCTCACTGGCTCAGATCGGGTCACATGTCCATTTCTGAACCAGTCACTGACCAAGCAGATGGGAAGAACCTTGAACCATCTAGTCTACCTCACAAGTTGGGGTTAGACTCAATTTTCATGAAGTATGTGACTATTCCAAAGAAGGGTGAATATGTGAACAAAATCAGACAGAAGAGCAAATTGACAAATTGGGCAGGTAATCCAATGAAAACATGCTAGTTAGTACTCAGGACAAAGGGGAAGAATTAGAAATATTATTACATTAAAAAGTGTGTTGCTCTCAGTAAGCTGTAGGTCATCCTCTAGGTGCTATTTTCTTTTCTTTTTTAGAATGAAGAAAGGATAGTTGAGCTAATTCTTTGCCCATCATGTCTGCCTAGAAATACTAACTAAATAGTATTTGTCTAAAATTCACATTTTTGTGTTGGTATTATTACAAATTTGCTTAAAGATGAAGTTGAAAATAGTTGAAAGCAACTATTGAGTATATGAAGACTTTTGGGCACCTGGTGGATTTCATTTAATTTCTCCAGCATGCCTTCATGGGATGTATTATTGTATCTATTTTATAGTTGGGATAACTATAGCACACAGAATTTATGTAATTTTTCCAGGTTCACAGTCCTAGCAAGGTAAAACTGTTTTTCAAACACAGGTCAATTTCATTGAGTGGCCCAAGTTATTTACACTAGATAACGCCAATAACACCATGGTAACTGGCGTATTAACAATACATATCGCCAGATGCCTTTTAGAAACATGAGTTCCTTAAAAATCATTAGCCCTGTAGCCACTCTTTTCCTTATTAGAGAACTCTTCCCTGGTGGGCTAGAATATCTTATTTCCTGTTCTCATGAAACTTTCTCATTAATATCCAAACTTTTGGGGCGCCTGGGTGGCTCAGTCATTAAGCGTCTGCCTTGGGCTCAGGTCATGATCCCAGGGTCCTGGGATCAAGCCCCACATCGGGCTCCCCCGCTCAGCGGGAAGCCTGCTCCTCCCTCTCCCACTCCCCCTGCTTGTGTTCCCTCTCTCGCTGTGTCTCTCTCTGTCAAATAAATAAATAAAATCTTAAAAAAAAAAAAATATCCAAACTTTCCCCCTGCTATCAGAATTTGTACATGGGATTTTTAATTCTGTGGTTATAAAATAGGTGAAATTTAATTTTATCCATTAATTAAGATGGATAACAAGCTGCAAAGATGTTACATATAACAAATTCTGCCTTTTAGTTTTTAGATATAAATTCTTTGAGTGCCTCATACCCTATTCTATCTTGACTTTTCATTATGCTATTGAAAATGGAATTGCCAAATTTTCTTAATATTTTCATAGATTCTTTTTTTTTAAGATTCCATCCATTTATTCATGAGAGGCAGAGAGAGAGAGAGAGAGGCAGAGAGAGAGAGAGAGGCAGAGGGAGAAGCAGGTTCCCCAAGGAGCAGGGAGCCCGTGCGGAACTTGATCCCAGAACCCGGGGATCATGACCTGAGCCGAAGGCAGATGCTTAACCATCTGAGTCACCCAGGCACCTAATATTTTCATAGATTCTTAGAGTGGAAAGGTATCTTAAAATTCATGATGGTTAGTATATATATATATATATATAGTTTCCAATGCTTTAACAGACACCCAGCACAAGTGGAATTTAAGAAACAAAATGGACATTTGGGAGGGGAAAAAGAGAGAAAAAGAGAGGGAAACAAATCATGAGAGACTCTTAACAACAGAGAAGAAACTGAGGGTTAATGGAGGGATGTGGGTGGGGGATGGGCTAAATGGGAGATGGGGATTAACATAACGCTTGTTATGATGAGCACTGGGTGCTGTATGTGAATGATGAACCATTGAACACTACTCCTGAACCAATATTGAACTGTATGTCAACTAACTAGAATTTAAATTAAAACAAAACAAAACAAAAAACAAAAACAGACACCCAGCACAAAAATGGACTAAAGAGGATAGCAGTTTATTTCTTTTGCATAAAAGCCCAAGCTGATATGGCAGTTCTGCTCCACAGAGCTGTCAAAGATTAGGTTCTTTTTTTCTGTCGATCTGCCACTCCTGGTTGGTTGTCTTATTTACATAGTGTAAGAGAGTCCTGTCTCCTTCCACATTCCAGCTCACAGGAAGTGTGAGAGGGAAGGAGGCACATCTCTTTCTTTGAACCGCATGACCAGAGAGTTTTACACCTCACTTCTGCTTATAGCCCCTTGGCAAGAACTTCTTCACATGGTTACACATTACTGCAAGGGAAGCCGGGAAATCCTGACTTTATTGCTTTGAGAAAAAAGGAAAAAATAAATGTTAAAAACAGTTTCTTAGAAATTTTAGCTGGCCTCATCTACCTGATTTAGGAGTGCTCTCTGGTGTTGGAAACCCTCTATGATCTCCCCTCTGTGATAACCTAGAGTATCATTGGATATTTCTATTAAAAATTTCTTCTAGGTTGGGGCACCTGAGTGGCTCAGTCTGTTAAATATCTGCCTACGGCTCAGGTCATGATCCCACAGTCCTGGGATCAAGCCCCTCAGCCCCTCATGGGGCTCCCTGCTCAGCGGGGAGCCTGCTTCTCCCTGTCCCTTTGCTTCTCCCCCTGCTTGAGCACACACATGTTCGTGCACTCTCTCTCTTTCGCTCTCAAATAAATTAATAAAATCTTAAAAAAAAAAAAAACTTCTTCCAGGTCAAACCTGGTGGACTGTGCACAGGTATTGACATTTTTTTTCTCTTTTCAAATAACATTAAAGTACTTCTTTAAAAAAAAAAAGGCAAAGCCCTACAAGGACAAAGACATCAAGCTTGAATAAGAGAGCACAAAATTCTTAAAGCTGGAAAACAGGTCAAAGAATGGTAAGGTGACTAAGTAGGCCCGTGATGCCCAAATATAAGCCTGGTAGAGGCGAAGGCAAGCCGAATCACTGCAGGGAGCCCCCAAAAGGCTCAGGAATTGGTAGCAACAGAGAACTCTAAAAGCTGAACCAACAGAGGGTGGACTGGAAGCATGTGAAGCAACAGCATGACCGCCCTGGAAGAAGTATGGAGATGACTCTCAACAGATGACGGACCAGAGCTTTGTGGGACAATAGGCATTTCTGAGGACACAATACTACAAGCGGGACTCAGTGAAAGTCTAGAAACTAAATCGTGAGACCCAGAGCCCTTATCCCCTGCTCCCCAATCAGAATGCTACACCCAGACCAGTATCCCTCGGGCAGAAAGAGTTCTCTCAGGGGAAGCTGATCAATCCCAGAAAAATGTCTAACAGACACTGGACAGGTGGGAGTCTCAAGGCCATGGCCCAGCCCGATCCCATATACACTGAGATTCCAATTAGCTTCTATTCCTTTCGCTTATTTAAAACAGGAATGGAAAACCATAAATTAAGAGATAATTGTGAGAAGGCCTCTAATGTGAAACAGACATAAACAAAGAAGCAGAGGGAGAAAAAATCAGCTGAGGGCATCAGGGTGATATAGCAAGAAAAAAACTTCAAAAAATATAAGACCCTTAGAGATGGGGTGCCTGGGTGGCTCAGTCGTTAAGCGTCTGCCTTCAGCTCAGGTCATGATCCCAGGGTCCTGGGATCGAGCCCCACGTCGGGCTCCCTGCTCGGCGGGAAGCCTGCTTCTCCCTCCCCCACTTCACCTGCTTGTGTTCCCTCTCTTGCTGTGTCTCTCTCTGTCAAATAAATAAATAAAATCTTAAAAAAAAAAAGACCCTCAGAGAGAAAAATTCTATATATTCTGAACAAGCATGCTATAAAAAGGAATGTTCAGAGATAAAAAGGTTTTGAAAATTAAAAATTTGATACAGACAAAACAAATGAAATCAATAAAATGATAAAAAATAAGGAACTCCTCCAGAAAGTACAATAGGAAAAAAGACATAAAAAATAAGAGAAAAAAGATTAGAAAAATTGAGACTCAGCAGGTTTAGGATGTCCAATGTCTCAGTGAAATTCTGGGAAGAAAGAAGGAAAATTTAAAAGACTCTTCCTTATATAAAATTAAAATTTATCTCCTCAGTGGCTTTCATACACCGGTCTTGGACATATCATTTTAAATCGTGGAAAGCTGATTATTCCTTCTTTCACATCCAATTATTTGAAGCAATTTAGTATCTTTAAGACATCATAGAGAAAAAGCCACTGCTGTGTAGACAGTTCAATGATAATAGTTTGAGTGAAGATAAAGGTCACTGGCTGAATACAGAACTGAGTCTCAGTTAACTCATGCATCCATCCCTGTAGTTACCAACTTTTAGAACTTGCTTGTTTTTCTGATCATCATTGTGACTATCAGCCCAAACTTCTCAGCCCTGGCTCTACTTCTTGATTTAGATACTGTTTCCCATGAACTATATCAGATCCGCAAGGTAGGTCCAAGGACAATTCTCTTCTCTTCCTTGAGTGATCCATTTATATCCCTTGGTTTGGATTTCCTCACCACCCAAGAAGGACAATCTCCTGTTAGACTTAATGTGTGGTGCCTGGGGAATCCACAATGTTCCAGGCATAGGAACAGCGCAGAGCACAGCGGGACCACCACTCCTAGCACAGGTCCAGATACTATCCAAAGACATTTTACCAAGATTATAGTGGTTATTTTGACAGCCGTATCCCACAGCCTTATATTCACCGTCACTAAATTCCTTAAAGCTGTTCGACAGGTGCTCCTGTTGGATTACATCTCCAATAACTCCAAAGTTATTAATTTTTTTCTGGAACCAAATGAAGGACTTGGCATTTGTCTTCTTAAATTTCTTCTTGTTAGATGCAGCCCGACATTCCAAGTGTTGGCAATCATCCCAAGCTTGGCTCAAATGCTGCTAGTAGCTGAAAGCTTACCATCCCACAGGTCTTCCATGGTGCCAATGCTAAAAAATTATTCTTCATCTTGAGTTAATATCTGTGCCTTTTAAAGTACCTTTTAATTGTAGCTCTGCATTTTAGAGATAGTCGGAAAATATCCAATTTTTCATCCGTTTGACAGCTGTACCATATTTGAAGATGTCTATTAGGTTTCTTTTGTCTTCATTTGTTTTATCTCCCCCAGTAAAGAGTGCCAAGTTCTCCAGCCAATCCTTATAAAATGTGGTTTTCAGACCCTTCTCTAACTTGGATACTATCCTCTGGGTTTGTTCTGATTTTTAATGTATTCTCAAAACATGGCTCTTAGAACTATCAAAACAGCTGAGCAAAAGTTCCAGCTGAACTCAGTCTGAATCTCACCTCTACCAGGTATGTGACCTGGACTATTTATATAACCTCTCTTCACCTCACTTCCTCATTTGTAAAATGAGATAATAGTTAATGCCTACATCATAGGGTTGTTGTAAGTACTAGAAAACCTAATGGGTATGTTAAATATGTAGTACACTGCCTAGCATAAAGGAGGCCTCCCTCAAAATGTTAGGCATGTTAATTCCTAATCACATACTTTGCTTCAGATGAGGCATCACAATTTGTGTCGGCTGTCTTTGGGACTCTGTTTTGCTCACCGCAGTATCTCAGGCACGTAGACTAGTACTCGGCACACTCATTGGGTATGTACTCAAAGATGGTTTGATTCCTGATGTGAACCGTAGTTCATCTTATACTTAGTTACTATGCATACAAAAGACACCTGAAGGTTGATTCTAGTAGCTGCTCTAGGGTCATGGGATTGTTCTTTTCTCTTTTTCCAAAATAATTATATTTCCCAAAGCAAGGCACTGGTTGGAAAAATACATATGATAAAATATAATGTAGCCATTAAAAAGGTGATGTTTCACTGATTTGGAAAGATTTCAAAAAGATGTCGAACAAAAAAAGTGGTTTACAAATATATACTATAGGATGCTGTTTTTAAATATAAAAGAAAGCAATTAAAATATTCAAATGGTTATAATTATGTGGTAGAATTTATTTATCTTCAAGTTAGAATTTTTTTATAAAAACATATATTACCCTCTGACAAAAATATAATAAGTTTGGATAAGAAAACAAAGTAGGATCTACAGATAGAATGTTAATACATCTGCTATGAGGCTGCCCTATAATGGTACAAATTGCTTGCTGCCTTACTGTATACTTCACATAGTCCCTCATCAAAATAAGAATCTGGCTAAATTCCTTACCATAACTCAATATATAAATCAAACTCTCCATTTCCTCATCTTCTTAAAATTTATTTTATTTATTTTTAAAATTTTTTTATTAAGATTTATTTATTTATTTGAGAGAGAGAGAGCACAAGTAGGGGGGAGGAGCAGAGGGAGAGGGAGAAGCAGGCTCCCCGCTGAGCAGGGAGCCCGACGCGGGGCTCGAGCCCAGGCGATCCCAGGCGATCCCAGGACCCTGGGATCACGACCTGAGCTGAAGGCAGACGCTTAGTCGACTGAGCCACCCAGACGCCCCAGACTATGGTTTTAAAGAATAATTAATGGGTATCGCTGATCGAGGCCACAAAAATTAATGAAGCTTTGAAAGAAAGGTTTATTTAAAAGGTAAGTAGTAGGTATATGTAAGCCTATGAGGTAATACACAGTTTAATATGTAGTATCACTATAAACCTGGGTTTTAGACCTGGTGCTGCCATGAACTCTGCAGCAGGTCTTCTAACAACTCTTCTTCTTTTTTTTTTTTTTTAAGATTTTATTTATTTATTCATGAGAGACAGAGAGAGAGAGAGAGAGAGAGAGAGAGGTAGAGGGAGAAGCAGGCTCCCAAGGAGCAGGGATCCCAACGCGGGACTCGATCCCAGGACTCTGGGATCATGACCCGAGCCGAAGGCAGACGCTTAACCATCTGAGCCACCCAGGTGCCCCTAACAACTCTTCTTCTAAAAGACCTATAAAGATTCCACTACAGGGGGCCTATTGTCCCTTTTAGAACAAATATTCAGGAATTCCGGAACTTTAAAATCATGATTTGTTTCCATAATTATCAGTAAAAATGGAAGTAGTATTACTTGACTTTGTTATGGAAGTTGATTTTTTGCTTATTTTTTTTTAAGCTCTTCCATTTGGTAAAATCCCCATTTTGGAAGTCGATGGACTTAACCTTCACCAGAGCCTGGCAATAGCAAGATACTTGGCCAAAAACACAGGTAATATGTTTGTTGTGTTGAAGAGTTTTGATAACTGAAAAAAATACATGACATATATTCACTATTTGTTTATTAAATAACTATTATTGAACAGTATAGTGTAAAGAATGAAACAAAAGATACGAAAGAAACAAACCTAATCAGCTGAGGGTAGTTAAATGGATTGTGGCGCTTCTACTTACAGGAATCCCATGTGGGCTGAAAAAAGAGCAGGGATACCCTTAACACACTTGTAAAGGAAAGATCTGTAGGATATATGGGGATGTGTATATTGAGCGGGATATACAATTTTATTTTTATAAACAAATAATGGAAGAATACAAAAAAACCCCTAATAGAATGGTTACCAATATGGTAGGTAGGTAAAGGAGCACAATGAGATGGATGGGGCACAGATAGAAGTTAGTCTTTATTGGATACAGTTTTATATTGTTTTGAATTTTTGAACCATAAGAATATATTGTCTATTAAAAAGTTACATTTGAATATAGTAAATTAAATCCAGCATATGTCTGGGCATAAAATGGTCTCTATTTTATAGATTTGGCTGGAAAAACAGAATTTGAACAATGTCAAGTTGATGCAATTGTGGACACTTTGGACGATTTCATGTCACGTTTTCCCTGGGCAGAGAAAAAACAAGATATAAAAGTAATGTGATCAGTTTGTTATTACTACTATTAATTATGTCTACTTGTGGGGTGCTTTAACGCCTGGGTGGCTCAGTTGGTTAAGCGTCGGCCTTCAGCTCAGGGATGGAGCCCCGCATTGGGCTCCCTGCTCACTGGGGAGTCTATTTCTCCCTCTCCCTCTGCCCCTCCTCCCACTCGTGCTTGCTCTCTCTCTCTCTCTCAAATAAAAAAAATCTTAAAAAAAAGTTTCTTTTTATCAAAGTAAGACATACCTATAGTTTTAAAATATCAAATTATTTTTAAAAATTTAAAACAAAATACAGTGATTCCCTGCTCTACCGTCTCTTCATATTAACACCTCCTCAGACATAACCCACTTTTTAACACTTTTAACTATTTCTTTAGGACACGTAAATCCGGCTTTCTTTGATTCACTAATTTTAGTTTCTCTGGACTTCTTATTATAGTAATAAGAATTTATCTCTTATGTAATCATTGTCTCTGCTCCCCTTCTCCTGAACTCCCAATATAATGATATTAAAATGTTTTGGCCAAATCAATAGTCACTTGTAATATTAGTATGCCTACGCAAATATCGTACAGACACGCAGGTATCTGTCCGTTGTAGTATACCTTGATTTTATTTCCTTGCTCACTTTACCTCCTCAAAATTAGTAATTGCCTGCCTTCATTTGCCTAATTATTTTTACGTTTATTACTGAACCTTCCCACACCATCCAGTAGGCCGCCAATACAATTTTCCACAAGGTCAATGATATCAGATTATCCACTGTTTTCTTGGAGAGATTTGGCCGAGATCCCCTCTTTTTTTGCAGAGCTGTCTGGGCTTTCTGTGCATCTGCACATCTGTCCCCACTGGACTTGCCTCCACTGCCATCCCAGGGATGTCCTCCTCTTGAGTTGGAGTCCTATTTCCCGGATGCCATCCTCTAGCTTTGCTTACCTCTTTGTCCTCCAGGATTCCCAAAATTAAAATGAAGACTCAATGACAAGAGGTGTACTGATGACGGCCAGCATAGATATGTCTGTCTTGTGTGTCACACTGCTTCAGTCTGGTTTGGTCACCCTAAAAAACCTGGTGCACCATTGTCATTCCATAATCTTTATTATCACATTTTTCCTCTTTGTTTTGGTCTGTCTCTTCCCAGGAGTCAGACCATCCTTTAGAATCCATGGTAAAGAATAGGAAAATTAAAAAGTGTACCCAAAGCTCTCGGCATGTGGACAGGGTGTGTTGATTTTGAGCATCAGTAGGCCATTTGTGGAGTATTTCCCAATATTACTGTCTTTAGGGTCTAGAAAGAGTCCCTAGAGAAGACTTCTGATTTTTGCCTGGAAAGAAAGGTGTGAGTGCCAGTGTTCTGGGAAACAATCAGCGAAGAGAGGGCCACGAGTCTCAGAACTTAGTGTTCAGTATGCATATATTCATTCAATCCCCTGTTTTGAAGACATTATGAATGTCAGCTCCCAACAGACAGACCATCGATTTCCCCCTCTCCAGCCTTCTGATAAACACGGGGAAGAGGCATGTGTCAAGCAGTGTAAGACGAAGAAGGAAATCTTATGCTAAAACTACCTCTTTCACAACTTTCAGCCACTCCTCACATACCCTCTCCCTTACCTCCTTACTCACAATTCTAGATGTAGCCTGCCTTTTTCTGAACCATTTGAGGGTTTTATGGGGTAGATAGTGTTGGTTTTCAGCTTTCCCTTTGCAGATACCAGTCATCCATTAGCTTTATAGCTTTGAATTTTGTTTTCTCTTGTCTCCTCTCCTGTTTTCCACCTCTTTGTGGGTGCTATCTTTTAAAAAATATGGATTTACTGTGGTTTGGGGATGAAAAAAATCATACATGTGTGTCAAATCCATCATCTTTATCCAGAATTCTAAATAGACCTTGTAGGTTATGCTCCATTACCGCCCCTTAGTGGTTTCCTGGGGGGCACGCATCACAGACTCTATTTTAAACTCTTATTTGTCTCCTCCAGTAGAGCGTGTGGTGAGGGTAGTAATTACGTCTGTACTACCACTCATGCAACACACCCACCCCTGTGCTTTTCACGCAGCAGGGACACGCGTGTGGCCTCAGCCAGTCCTCCCAATCCTTTCATGCGATACATGCTTTCTATCATCATGCTCATTTTGCAGATGAAGAAACTGAGAATCAGAGTGGTTATGGAGTTGCCCAGAGCCATGGACTCATTTAAATGAGTGACTAATACTCGGAGCATCCCTTAGGGAGAAACTGTTATCTTCATTTTCGTGGATGGAGGAATTGAGGTTCATGTAGAAGTAACTTGTATAAGGATATTTAGCTCAAAAGTGGTACACAAGGAATTCAAGTCCCCGCCACTCGGACTCAGACCTCTTAACCACTGGCTGTAAGGCCTCAGTGCTGGCAGCTGGTCGGTATGCACAGATGCGGTGTGGCTTAAGGTCTATATCCAAAAGTTACCGCACAGAGCGAATGACAGTCTTATCAATTTACTTAAACATATTTAGGCTAAATACCACTTAATTAGGAACTTCTGATTTCAGTAGAGATATTTGGAACATAAAAGTATTCACATTTACTGATTCCTTGATAGAAATATAAGGTGTGTCACACACACACACACACACACACACACACACACATATATGACTAACCAGAGCAAAGTCTAAAATAAAAGCTCAGCTTTGATATAGCAACATATTCAGGCTCTGGAGTCACATTGCCAGGCTTGAATTCTGATGCCCTTCTAGTTGTCACATACCTACCTATCAATAGTACAAATTCTTTGTCTGTAAAGTAAGGATACTATAGAATCTACTTTGAAGTATGTTGGGAGGATTAAATGTTAGCATGAGTACCTATGACTAGGTCGAAAGTGTTCAACAAATTTTAGATATTATAATTATATTATCTAGTATATTAATAACTATTAATATGTATAATTAATAGTGTTATATAGTTCACTGCTCGTTGTTTTTCTTTTTGTCGGACATGGCATCTCTATTTAACACATCCTTATAAATGCAGAAACAAGTAGATACATAATGTCCAGTTTAGAAAAATGGATCTAAAGCTTTTCGTTTCACATGCCAAAACCCCACTGACTGGCAGTCTATCAACTTATGGGCTTGCCTTTAGCTATTTTCTACCCTTCTGTGGCTGAGGCTCCATAATAGAAGCTACCTCTCAGAGGAAACTATTCTTTGAATGCTTATGATATGAGTAACACTCTACCTTTGTATTAGATCTAACAATGCTCTTACCTCCTATCTAAAAAAAAAAAAATTCACAGGACAAAATCCAAATTTATAAATAAATCATATGAAGGGAGGACGCGTTGCAGAAATATTGCAGTTGGCTACATACTATCTGATTAATAAGGAGGACCTGGCTGGTATACAATGAAAAACCTGCATAGTTCTAGTACATTTCTTCACCTAGTCTCCCTGAAGTGGGTCGCGTTGCTGCCACCTTGTGGTCAGGTAATTTTTCAAAAGCAGAATATTGATAACAGTGAAGACGTATGGATAGTAAACATAGTCCTCTTATTACATGTGCCCTAAAAATCTATCAAATACACATAATTATAAATATTTCAGTATCTGTTGCTAGAAATTCCACTTCCAATTTAAAAAAAATTAAAATTAATTTAGAAGGCAAAATATGTTTGTGGACATTGATCACCCTGATAATCCTTGAATTTACCACTAGTGTTTCTCTGGTTATTCAACCTGTCTGTTTCAGTTTCCTCATCTAAAGAATGAGGAGGGGAGGACGAAGGATGAGCAGGATCAAAGAAATGCCAGTGGCACATTTCCAATACTAAATGATTTTGGTAGTATGGATTTAAAAATAGTGCTTTGGAGAAACATCATTCCTCTAAAAGTCATTTGATAGAATACTGTAGCAATGACTTCTCAGGTTGAGAAACCTCCTGACTTATAAGTCTCCAGAGGAAGAGGAAGGAAATTTCTGAGTCCACCAAGTGTAAGAGCGGCTATCTAAGATATCAAGAAATGCATTTTAAAAAAGTACACATCTGGAAAAAAGGATGCATAATCAAATTTCATCTTCTTTATGTTATTTTGGTGAGTATTCCTTACAATGACTCTTAAATACTAATGATTATGTTGGGGTTAGTAATTTACATATCGTTAGATGAGATGAGTCACTGGGATGATTCATCAAACCTATAGAGAACCTGGGCTACGGGAGAAGTCAATACAGATAAAAGATTTTTATTTGGCACTGTGTGCGCACAAGCATCTGTGTACGTGTACCTTAAGTGGTGGAAATACACATTCGAAGAAGTAACAAAATGATACAGGTGAGCACACAGAAGTTTTGGAAAGCTGTCCAGCAGCTACATCCTATTCCATTCAACTCCGTTCCATTTCTAGCTTTTCTAGGAGAGCCAAATTGACCATCACCTTCCCACCTGATGCTGAGCTGAGCTGGGCTGGGCTGTGGGAAGTGCCACATGGATCTGGGCCCATTGCCTCTCAGCTCACAAATTATGTGTAAGAAGAACTCACAGTGTTTTATTTTAAACTATGACAGATTAACCATAGAGAAAGAACCTTATGAATGTAGGTGGTATAGAACAGTGGAAAGGATATAAAGTCAAAATAATGACAAGCTTTCCAAGTTTCAGTTTGTAAAATCGGGCAAATGTATGTTAATATGTAATGATGCTTTTGTAAACTGTACTCTACAAACAAGGCATTATGTGGCAGTAAAGTCTATTACCTTGCTAAGTTAGAGTAATAACAGAAAGTAAATCAGCAAGTTGGTGAGGGAGCTATCCACTACCCAAGTTGCCTTAGTAAGGCTGGATTATAGGTAATTTGTCATTATTAATAAATAATATATATACACATATTTTATGGTATTTTTGAGTTTGGCTTACATTTTATATCCAAGATACACACCGGCCAGAATTTTCATATATAAGCAAACACTTCTTACAAAGAAAGAGGCCATGAATAAATTATTTGGTCTTCCAGAGTTTCAAGGAAAAATACAATTTTTAAAAATGGATATATCTTAATTTTTCTCTTCTAAGGATATTTGATTTATAATGTTACCTTACATAATATATCAAAAGGGGGTACTAGTTGATGGTTTTGTAGATAACAGTCAAGGCAGACTAACCTCATACTAAGGCACAATGTCAAGCCAACAAGATCCATAAAGCCTAAGAGCATAAGGATTCATTATAGATCACTTCCATTAAGTGTGATGGTGAAATAAAAGACTGCCAACCTGAAGGAGCCTAGCCATACAAAATAAAACTAATTTCTTTACCCTCAGTTATGTTATTTCACTTCAAAGAGAATAAGGATAATTTTAGAAATTAATTATCTTAATAAAAATTAAGATAAAAATCATGAAAAGATTTTGTAGGTGAAATATTTGGTCATTATATACAAAGATACCGTAAGAAGTCGACACAAAAGTAATTCATGAGTAACAAAGGGATGACTAAGTATAAGGAATCAGACCTCAATCTCGATAATGTCATACATTTGAAACAAACAACAAAACACAGCTACTTCTCTTTCTTTCTGAACTCATGTGGGAGAATAAAGATGGAAAAATCTACTTCCTCTTCAAATCATGTTATTTTTCTTCCTATTATCCTTAAAGTGATCTTCTTCATCCTCTCCTAGAATCAGATGTTTAATGAGCTACTTACATATGATGGACCTCATCTGCTGCAAGATTTGGACACATACTTAGGGGAAAAGGAGTGGCTTATTGGTAACTCTGTGAGTATGTTTTCACATCTTTCTTTAAAAAATACAAGTATACACACATACACATACATATAACCAAAAACTTACAAAGACTCAGTGAGAAAAAAAAGTTACCCATCAGGAAGGACTAGATAGCAGAGATAAAAGCTAAACTTCTTTGAATAAACCTGTTTTGGTGGACTTAACTTTGGAACTATGTACTAAAATATTTTATATAATTATATAAAAACAATGAAAATATTTTAAAAAGCTAACACTGCAAAGCAAAAGCAAAGTGAAGCAAATGAACCTATGTTAAATTGATGCATGAAATGTGTAGAGAAGTACCTATTACTCAGTAAGTGAGGAGAACCATTTTAAGAAATATCATCATTTGTAAAACACAGTCATTTGAATATACATTTTATTAAAAATATTCTCTCAGAACCAAAAAATAGAAATCTTATACCATTTTTAGTAGAGGCATACATCAGAGAGATATTATGGGTTTGGTTTCAGACCACAGCAATAAAGTATCACATATCAAATGGATTTTTTGGTTTCTCAGTATATATAGAAGTTATGTTTACATTATACTATAATCTGTTAAGTGTGCAATGGAATTATGTCTAAAAAAACAATGTACATAGCTTAATTAAAAAATACTTTATTGCTGAAAAATGTTAACCATCATCTGAGCTTTCAGAGTTGTAATCACTGATCACAGATTACCATAACGAAAAAGTTTGAAATATTGCAAGAATTACAAAAGTGTGACACAGAGACACAAAATGAGCAAATGCTGTTGGAAAAATAGTGCCAATAGATTTGCTCAATACAGGGTTGCCACAAGCATTTGTCAAAAATGTGGTATCTGCGACATGCAATAAAGCAAAGCGCAATAAAACGAGTGTTCCTGTAATTATATTCTTAGTGGTACTGGGTACAGTCATATGGTTTTATTAGGATTTCTGATATAACTTATTTTGGGGTAAAGCAGTAAGAAAATATGTGGATGTCACTGGGAACCAGGATTTTCAGTGTGGGAGAAAGAAGATAGAGATGTAAGGTCGGTGAAGCTAAGTAAACACCCTATTCCTGAATGTGAAATATATATATATGAATATATATATAAAAATATATGTGAATATATAAATTTATATATATATAACATAAGGTCATGATGTACTGACTGTAATATATATAACATAAGGTCACGATGTACTGACTGTATCTTAGGATAAAGAAAAAACCATGTTGTATCTCTTTTTCTTGAAACAATGACCAACCCTGTTGTCCTGGGCACCTTCAGGACCCAGATTCTGGTCTCTAAATATTAAAAGGAACCAGGGCTTCTTAGAGAAATGGCTCGTTCTCAGTTTGGGACAGGAAATGTAAGAGATGAGCTGGAAATACCTTGTCATATCAGAAGCAAATAAATTATCAAAGACAACTGAACTGGGGACTCCAAAGTCAACTTGAAGCAAAGGCTTCCACTGGCTAAATATGGGACAATTCAAGCTTCGCTAAGAATATTAACAGCAGTGGATTGAAACAAATCAAAATGAACGAATCCATGAATTTATGATGACCACTCCTACCACCACAACAAAACACAAACACATACATGCAAACCCCCAAACCAAATAGAACTTCATTGGTTACTTTTGGAAGATGATATGGAGACAAATTATTACTCTGAAAACTGTTTTTTAAAAAGTTGGGAGGTTTGAATAAAGAATTTATCTTGCCTTTCCGATCTGTGCCAGTTGTAACTCGAGATAACACAAACCAAAGGGCAAAGTTTGTCTTCATATAAGTATTCCAGTTAGTAAGTAAAAAGGGGAGACTAAAATCAACTATCACCATTTTCCAAGCCCTGATGGTTGGAACAGACCGAGGCATTGGTTAATAATTATTAATATCACAGAAAGCGAGACAATCAGCTATTACAGCCCTACTACTGAGAGAGAGGAGCACGTTACTGACAAAAACTCAAATCTAAACATGACTCAGATGCTGTGGTAGGTCGGAGTCTGTGCCTTCAAGGAGGCTGCATTCTAGGAGACAAGACACAGACTGTTTTGGGCAGCACTCTCGTGACTTACTGTTTATGGTCTGTTGAGTCCTTCTGGGTGACACGGACACATACTTTCCACATCTTTATTCTCAACTTTCAACCTCATCACATGCTTCATTTCCTCCCACATTCCCCAATAGACTTTCCTAAAATGGTCCTCTCCCTGCCCTATTGAAGGACTTAAAATCCACCCCCCTTGTTTTCTATTAAGACTCTTCTGTAAACTACCTCCTGACCCCATCTCTCAGCACTCTCTCCCTTCCTCGGTGTTCCACACACACTGGCGTTTTGTGCGCTCCTCCAACACACAACTCACTCCCCCTAAAAGCCTTTATACTTGCTGTTCCCTCTGCCTACAAGGCTTCATCTGCAGACCGCTGCCTGTCAGGATCCTGCTCTCATTTAAGCCTGGGCTTAAATGTCACACATGTAAGGTCTTCCCTCCATGACCACCTGAGGGTCCTTCCCATCACTTCACTTTTTCCTCATCATCCCTACCGGTTGAAAAATGTTTGTCTTCCTGCTTCTAAAACAAAAGGTGCACCTGGAAAAGGGCCTGTATCACATCTTGCTCTCCAGTCCAGCCCAGCCCAGCACGTAGACCTGCACAACACACACAGTAGGTACGCCATAAATATGTGTTGACTGAACTCTGAATCCTCTAACCCAAAACTCTCCTGGTTGACAGATGTTTAGTATGCAGGTTCATAAAACTAGCAATTAGCATTATTAGATTCCATACAAAAATAAAACTACGGATAGCCCACATTTAAACTTCACTCTTTGATGGGTATTCATCATCTGGAGTCAAAGTAATGTCAGCCAGATTAGTTTCTAGTCACAAAGGGAAAAAAAAGAAGTGTACGAAGAAAAAGTATACAAGGGTAGGACCGGGCTGTCATCACACCTGGGGATCCACTAATGCTCAGACACCGTATGTCTTCGGAGGTGATGTAATCTAATGTGTTAGCCAAAAATATTTCACTTGCAACTACGAGCTCTCTAGGGATAACTTGCACCCTATCCCTTTATACTCTGCAAAAGGAAGGAACAAGGTAAGATGAAATAATCACACAAATCCTGAAGACAGGACGTTCTTCAGGACTAGTATGAAATCTCTAGTAAAAGGGAGTTGGCATAACCAGACGAAATGCATGTCTTGGAATGGATTCTGCTTTGTCCTATAAAGGACATTTTTGGAACAGATGAAAAAGTATTGATTTGGTATTAGACAGCGTATTGTCGCAGAGAGGTGAAGATTGAATCAAGTTACAAGAGTATGTATTCTAAGATCTCATTTTAGAACACACACACACACACACACACACACACAACACATCATACCATTATACAAAGAGGTGTTAATGGTAGCAACCTCTGGGTGTTGGGAGTATGGTGTTATCTGTAATTTTCTATCATATACTCATTCCACTTTCGTAGTAACAGATAATTTTGAATTAAAAAAACTATTCTTGATTTAACAAGTTATGCCTTCTATGTTCAAATGGCAATTTTTGTTTGCTTTAAACTAGGTTACTTGGGCAGATTTCTACTGGGAAATTTGCAGTACCACACTTTTGGTCTTTAAACCTGACTTGTTGGACATCCATCCCAGGCTGGTAACATTACGAAAGAAAGTTCAAGCCATTCCTGCTATCGCTGACTGGATACAACGAAGGCCCCAGACCAAACTCTAGGTAATGCATGCTGCCTCTAAGCTTTGTTATTCACACACAGCATCGCTTCCATCAGATAAGAAGCTAGTCAGCCTGCCACGGAATCTACACACTCCCCTCCCAGGCTCCACCAAGTCTTTCACTTTTGCCATATTCTGCTTTAAAAAAAAAAAAAAAGAAAAAAGGGGGGAAGATCACTTAGTTTCAAGTATCCCTTTTGCCCCCCTTTCCCTTAGAATAATTTCATATCATTTATAACTGAGAAAAAAGTTTACAATATAGGCAGGGCTTACATTTCATGGGGTTCGACATACATGGATGTCAGTCACAACGGTTTAGGAACATACATGTTTTCCCCCAAAATGGTTTGGACTTAAGCTGTAATTGCATAAAGTGTTAACTTTGCTGCCAGCTCTGTGGTCCACAAATCACTATGTAAATAACAGATGCACAGCATGACCAGTGCCCAATTCCATCACTTCTTTCCAAGGCTGTTAAGGAGTGGCCACTGCACATCTGTTACGCACAGGTAGCAGGGTGCGTAGCTGCCTTGCCGGCTTGTTTCTCAGTGATAAACCCACTCAGAAATTTTTAAAAAGTGGATCATTGAAAAAGGGAACTCAGCAACAAAGATGAAAGTACAATAAAGAAAGGAAAAGTGACCATGCTGGAGCCAAATTCAAATTACACATAAATGGAAAGAGCAGACTCTAAGAATTTACACAGCTGCAGTTTAAGGGCCTCCAGAGATGTAGCTGGAAGAACTTGGCAGACCTACTGACAGAAATGAGGAAAATGGCCGTGACAAAGGTGATGTTCCAGAGGAAGAGAGACTGCCAAAGAGCTTCACGTTAAAAGAACAGAGATGGGGCGCCTGGGTGGCTCAGTCGGTTAAGCGACTGCCTTCGGCTCAGGTCATGATCCTGGAGTCCCGGGATCGAGTCCCGCATCGGGCTCCCGGCTCAGCGAGGAGCCTGCTTCTCCCTCTAACCCTCCCCTCTCATGTACTCTCTCTCTCATTCTCACTCTCTCAAAATAAATAAATCTTAAAAAAAAAAAAAAGAACAGAGATCAAAAGAATGAGAAGACAAGCCACAGACTGGGAGAAAATATTTGCAAAAGACGTATCTTTACACGATATGTAAATCATGGATACATGATATGGAATTCTTTACTTTCTGCTCAATTTTGCTACGAACCTAAAACTCCTCCTAAAAATAAAGTCTATTGAAAAAGAAAAAAGCAGGGATATTTCCTGACACTGGAAATGCAATAAAATATGGGAGGGTGATCCAAACTTAAAATTATGATAATTTGCCAAGGTATAAAAAGAATGCTCACTTGCAATTATACATGAAGGTATTATTAAAACTATTCTTAATACATTTACCGAAGTAATACACTTTTTCAGTTTCTTTTACTACTAAAATTAGTTTTACTACTTTATTTACCTATACATTTATAACCAACGTTTTTAATGTGTTGAGAAAAAAATTTAAGTCATAGAACATTTTCTTCATTGACTAAGATTATTTTGCACAATTTCAACCTGCAGTCATTTTTATGGTCCTACACTACTGTGGAAAGCAAGAACTGCCCATATAAACAAACCATTTAAATAGAAATCTTCCGGGTAACTATAGATTATCCCGCAACACATTTTAAACCATAACTATAGCACTGGAATATATTTTAGTTCAATTTGCATGTTAATATTAATATTGGATTGTCTAATCTTAGCATGTCATGTTATATATAGAAAGAGACTAATGAAAGAGATGGCATATACTTGAAATGCAGGACAGAGGAAAGAGAACATGGTTGAGAAGCCAGAAATGGGGAGAGGATGTAAGGGAAGAAAGAAAAAGAAAAGGAAAGCTGGGCTAAGTATGATTTTGTTTAAGGTGCTTCTTTCATCCCAACAATGTTCTACAAAAGAGGAGAAAAGATGTTAAATACTTGATACATCATTAAGGATTACACATAAAAACAAAGTATATTTCCCAAATGACTTGCTTCTTTGGATCACATTTTCTTATCGCTAGTCGCTGTTAATAAATGATAACAGGTTATAAGTGAATCTCATTGCAAAGTATTGTATCATGTTATCAAGGCAATTTAAGAAAAAATTATCTTTCACAACAGAAATTCAATTAATACTCTAGACAATGAAAGTAGTAACTTTTTTTCCTCTTATGCATGTTCATTTTCTGCCATAAAATTAAATTCTGACAAACTTTAATGAAAATAGAATTTAGTAAAAGTGAGAACGACAATGCTTATCTAACATTATGAAAATCCACAATAACATCAGTCCCACTTGTTTACACAAATCGTAATTCAAATATAAAATGCAACCACAGCAGGTCTCATAAAGAAGTATTTCATTTCAATCATAGCATCATCAATCTTTAGGTCATCTTTTCTCATTGAAGGGACAACACATTCCGTTATCCCACCCTGTACCCAAAATAAATGGCTCCTTGCTGAGCAAGTATGAGAGAATATGAATGAATCAGAATTGCAGATTGTAACCAGAAAACACATTTTGGGAAGAAAAGAGTTAAAAGAATCAGTTCCTTAATTTTATGGACATTTTAAGTGTCTTGCTTAGGGTCACCCAAATGGAACCCTAATCTCCTAATACTCCTGTCCAACCTCTATACAGTAACACCAAAGTTAGAAACAACAGTAGTTAATGTTGCAATATAAATATCTGTTGGTGTAAAGTTACAAGTCTATGGGATCAGGAATACAGTTATGAAACACATAAGGCATATGTCTTCTACCCTGTAAGTTGCATTAAAAAATAAAAGTTGCTTCAATTGGTCAAGATGATATTCCAACTATGGCTTCACATGCTCTTTACTACTGGTAATAGATTATGATGTTCATATGAACATCAGTCCAATGAAAGGACTAATGGGAATATATCCTAAGTAATAAATTCTAGTTTATTGAGAAATAGATAATATTTAAGCACAAATGATCTCATTTGTGCTCAATATTGTATTTTTAAAGGTAAAGGGAGAGTTAGAAACTATTAAAAAGGGTGTGAAAATAACTTATGATCACAAATATTTTTATTAAGCCCAAGACTTAATAGAGCATGACAGGGAGAACTCAACTACATCTCATTAAAGATAATATGGACTTAATAACAACAAAAGAAACAGCCTCTCACTGAGGACACATTACCACAGAAAAGTTATTAAGAAATCCACTATCAGATTTTGAAAGGTAGTATTTCCAACAGTCTAAGTGATTTGGGTCCTGCGATGTAGGAAGAGGTAGTAATAGTATTTGCAGATTCCTTCTAGCCCCATTATACTAAAATATATCGATTATATTCAATATACCTTCAAGATTGGGTAAATCTACTGAATCATGAGTTTTCAGAGTCTGTAATATCTGAAGATTGCTTTGAGAGCTTCATTACTCTTCTAACTCCAGAGGATTATATGACCTAAGCATCTTAGCAAGTCAGGATGCCCTGAAAGTACAATCTCCAAAATTAACAAGACTGTGATTTATAAATAAGTTTATTTATAATGATATTTACATAATAAAAACAAAACACATGAAACTCACAAGTTATACAAAGAAACTGATGTATAATAAAAACAGCAAGATAGACTGACAGGCAAAAATTTAAAGAAAGATTTAATAAAGAGTTCAATATCAAATAGACAACTTTACTTCTTCTAAATTTCACTTTGTCACCCACACTGAATTGGAATTGAACAATGGCTCTCTCTTCAGGAGGTCCTGTACTGGAAATTCTGGAAACTGATAAATTATATTTTGAGAAGTGTTTAAAGTTAATGACCTATTTCCATGCAGTACCTAACGCTGCCTTAATATGAAGTCACATTCAGTCTGCTTTGAAGTGAAATAGCCTGTTAATCTGTTCTGCCAGGCTAGACAAATGTTACCCACATTTTGCTGATACGTGGAGACGTGGCAGGAATAAACTACTATTTAGAGAGTAAAGAGAACTGGAGCAGAAGTGACTGGGCAACAGTTTCAAGAGAAGCAAAAGCCAGGAGAGGGAAATCAATGAAAACATGCACAAGAATAGGCAGAGTAATAAGCACAATTAGTGCAGTGGGGAAATGAACAGAAGGAATTAATCCATGGAGCAAGAGAAGGGCTTCTTCGTTACTATTCACTGGAAAACAACTTAGTGCCTAGCCAAACAAATTTGTTTTAACAGAAGTACTTGGAAGGACCTGGGGGTGTTAGTAAATGGAATGCCACCTTTAAATTCAGGTTGAGTTCCTGTTGACAGTGGTGAACATCTGCTTCAAATAGCAATAAAATGAAAGCTATATAATCTATACAGCTGTGTCCTTTAAACTAACAAAAAAAGAACTTCAAATGAGACAAGGAAAAACAAGACGTAAGCATTGTCAAATAAGGCACATGTAAAAATCTACACACATTATCCAGTGAAAGACAATATATATATATTTGGAGGTAGAAATAATTACAAAAATACTGACATTTCTAAAGCATTAGCATATTTGTTACAAACAATCACCAACTAATCCCCATTCAGAAAACTGTTTTGTAAAATGATTATTCAACATCTTCAGGACTACATATTTGTGGGTTTTTTTTGTTGTTGTTTTTTTTTTTTTTGAAATTTCACATGTGAGCATCTGGAGAATTCAGTTAGTGGCAAAAAAGTTGTCCATACTATGAGAAATGTAATATGGAAATTATAAAAAGTTATAAATGTTCATAAACCCCATGGTCGTCATAATGTAAATGTCCTTGAGTGCACCAAGTTGATATTTCCTCATCAATTAGGAATTCACAATTCTTAATTTCACAGGCCCATTGACGTTTTTAGTAACGTGGCTATATCTGCTGGCATACTCCCTTCGTCACCTGCAGGTCAGAAAGGGGCATTAAAAGTTTAATAAAAATATTTTATGAAATATATTTTCTCTAACTTTCATGAATTCCTAATCATCTTTCAAGGTCCAGTTTGCTTCAGTGTCACTCCTTGTTAAAAACCTCCGTGAGGGGTGCACAAGTGGTGCAGTCGGTTAAGTGCCTGACTCTGGGTTCTGGCTCAGGTCCAGATCTCAGGGTCTTGGGACTGAGCCCTGCGAGGGGCTCCACACTCAGCGTGGAATCTGCTTCAGTTTCTCTCTCCCTCTCCCTCTGCCCCTCCCCACCGTGCACGCTCTCTAAAGTAAGTAAATAAATCTAAAACAAAACGACCTTTGCAAATCCCTACATACATTTAAGGCTATTTCCTCTGTGCTCATGTTCATATTACCAGCACAGTAATCTAGAGGCTAGGTTTCTGAGTTGACATAAATAAAAAAGATAGGCAAGTATTAATTTGGATCATATTCTATTCATATAGAGCACAGTATTTACTACTCAGGTTTACTTGATAAAAACATTTGTGCAACAAAACTGAGTAATGCAAATAAAGACAACCAATCAAATCATTCATCCAAACCCTTATTTTCAATCCAAAAATACAATCACTTAGACTTAACTGGCATATCTAAACAAAATTGTGAATATGGCATACCAGTTGAAGATTAAAGTGCTCACTGTAAATAACCTTTTCCCAATGTTTGCTCCATATTTCAATTAAATGAGACTCCAGTATCTAGACACTTATGCAGGAAGCATTCAGGATTTTTTTTTTAAGATTTATTTATCTGAGAGAGAGAGAAAGCAAACTCCCGAGTGGGGGGAGGGAGAGAGAGAGAGAGAGAGAGAATCTCAAGCAGACCCCCCACTGAGCGTGGAGCCCAACACGGGGCTCGATCCCACGACCCATGAGATCCTGACCTGAGCTGAAACCAGAGGCCGGACAGACGCTCAACTGACTGAGCCACCCAGGTGCCCCCAGGATTTTTTAAAGCAGGAAAACATCTTGTGTCAATTAAGTACTCAGACTGTTTAGAGATGAACTGATTTATTAGTTTATAGTGACAATGGTATAGTTGACAATTCATAAATATTTGTACGTTCATAGCAATGAATAATTTTATAAATTAGATGTGGCTACAATGCAGCCAAACTAATCACTACTCTGTCACACATACACACCCCAGTTATAATCTAAAATTCTGAGTACTTTTATCTAGTCTTCTTTCAGTAAAACACATATGCAAAGAAACACAGACTATTCCATAAACTCTCAAGGAGTTCACGGACACCCTTGCGCCTTGAGGCTCTTCCATAGATTTAATAGCCTATGAAATCTAACTTGAAATGTGCTAAATTAACTGACCCAACTAAATAATCAGACAGCTCCAGAAGACAGTAAGACAACAATTCAAGAAAGTACAAGACAGCAAGACTGTACAAGATTTAGTATTCTGGGAATGGAGGGGGGGTGAAAAGAAGGAAAAGGGGTGAGGAGACTTTTGTAAGTTTGAAGATACTGAAGATATAATGCAATAAAATGCAATGGGTGAACTCTGGATTTTTTTTTTAAGCTATAAAAGATGAGGGGATAATTGGGAAAACATGATAATATTTGGAAATTACTGTTAATTTTCTTGGATGTAATTGGCAACTCAGAGGGAATGCTAAAATATTCAGAATGATGTGTCATGTCTACAACTGACTGAAATGGTTCCTGAGGAAAAAAAGGTAGATGAAGCAAAATGTTTACACAACTGCTAAATTCATTTATACTATGCTTTTAACATCTCTGCATGAAAATTTCCATTTTAAAAGGTAGAAAATCTATTAATCACATTAAGAGATTAAAGAAAAATAACACACCCCCAAACCATAATCCTTATTCTAAAGCAGTGGCTCTCTGACTTTAGCATGTATCAGAACACCAACCAGATTACTGAGTTCCATTCCCAATTTCTGACTGAGTAAGGATGGAGTTGGGCTTGAGAATTTGCATTTCAAAACAATTTCCCAGATGATGTTGTTGCTGTTGGTCCAGGGACTGCACTTTGAGAACCACTAAGGCAAGCTCTAGAAACACAAAAATCTGACAAGCATTTCTGAGAGGATTCATGGTACTTATCTTTCACAGTTTCATGGAAAGGGGGGCACACAGATTGTTAACATAAAGCACAGACACACTCAATTACAAATATGCTTTTTGTTTACAGTGGAAAAGAACCTCACTGTGAGAGATGAAAAGGGTACAGGTACTCTCGTTAGGTCTGTGTCCAATTATTTAAATGAATAAGCAGAAGCACAAGCAAAGATGATAAAATCATTACAGCTAAGAGAATAAAGACATTATTGTATCCTTACCCTACCAAATAAAACACATACCAGAAAACACTGATACAGATAGCTTTAACAAGACAGAGTAAGATTTCCTACAGAAAGAGAGAGTGATAAATGGGGGAATGATTCTTTGTAATAAAAGCTTTACGGTAACAGCCTAAAAGCATAGCTGAAATAAGTTGCTATTCTAACAGATACTTGATGTGAAAATAACAGGTAAAACTTTAAACAAATTTATATAAATACAAATAATTTATGTGAATTATGACTAGACATCACTGGATATACACTGGTCTCATCTGAAATACCATTAAAATGCCATGGAAAAAAGAAATCAGGGGCATTATACAAAAGAGAAAAGAACAGAAGAAAAAAACAACAGTGGGGACAGAGCTGTCAACAAATTTGGGAAGATGAAAAGCAAATGGAAGAATGGAAGCTGACTTTAGCAGAATAGACAAAGCAAAAACTTAAGTGAGCACATAGAAAATGCAAGAACGTTACTTCATACTCAGAATCTAACCACACCCCTCCCTCCCCCCACCCCCACTGCCCCATTTCAAGACAGGGGTAATGCATGGCTCCCAAAGGATGGGGAATATACAGAGCTATAACAGATTGAAGAGTACAACATCTAAAGCCTGCCCAACAGAGCCAGCCATTTACCCCAGATAACACAAATGAAAGTTTATTCTCTGCAAAGTCTGAATCAGAGGAATGCGAAATATGGGCACAGAAGACAGTGAAGTTATACTGGAACAGGAAAATTAACTATATAAATAGGACAAGAGCCCTCCCTCCCCCCCAGCTTCTCCTTAGCTCTAATAATGCAGTCAACAGGTTTATACTCTATGTCCCACCATCCTCATTTCACAAAAGACTGGTGAATATGTTCCTGGGGAAATGAACTAGCCCATGAGAAGCAACCTATATAGTTAAAGACAGTGGGGACTCCAACAATCAAACTGCTGAAACCCCAACTAAAACTAACTATGATGATTCTATTTAAAGACTTACTGTTAGAATTAAAACAATGTATCCGGGAAGGTGGCAGCAGTGCTAAATGAGAACAGGTATTTAATTGTTTTTCTAAGTTTGAAAAGATGCCCTAACAAAACAGGAAAAAATGTTGTGCTATGGAATCTGCCTTCTATTGCTTCTGCTAGATAATCTGATTTTGGCAAGTTGACACCTCCACACAAAGCTTAGTAACTGTTTAAGTTATAATCAACACACTTGCTTCTACTCAAACTTTCTTTAATGCCTGCCTCCCCAACCTGAAACACCCTGAAATAAATGCTATACAGGAAGGACACCTACTAATTTCACCATACACATCTCCCTCCCTCTCTCTCTCTTCTCAAAGACAGATTAAAACACACTGAACTCTTTATAGTACAAAGTGCCCAGCAAAATACTGGGACCTAGTAAATATTCAATGGAAGTTTGCTGAATTGAAACAAACAATGATCAACATTAGGAAGATCCTTACTTATTAGAATAATGATTAAACAGCTTGTATCCAGTTAAATTTAACATTAAATAAGAAAAGTACAATGTAAAAGACTGCATGCGAAGTTGTGTAAAAGGGAAAAAGAATACATATACTTATTTATTTCTATCTGCATAAAATGAGCGGTCACATGCTAATAAAAGTCAACGTGTCATTGTTAAGGGGAAAATGGAGGATAGGGTGAGAAGGCGGCCTCTGTTTGCTTTTTATATCTTTTGAATCTTGAACTATGTGAATGTATTTATTATCTTTTCAAAAATAGAAAACTTAATTTAAAAACTATTCTTTTCAAAAAGGTGGAATAAAGAGGGTTCTCTTAGAGGGTTCTTTCTAGTACCCAACCAACTTCAATCTGAAATTACTAAATTTTTGAGGAAAAAAAATGCATTTTATTGCACTCTAGTACCCTTAAGTATTTACTGGTCAAAATGAAATTAATGTAAATTTACAGTTCTTAAGAAATTAATATTACACCATGTATTTTAATTCTTGGGGATTCATATGTGTTACTTATATAGTAAATAAATTATAAAACTGTGGATAAAATTATAGAACTAATTTTATTTCGGGGATGTTTTGGCATCAAGAGATAAGGGATGGAAGAGACAGAATTATCCAAAATCAAGTGTTTGCATCAATTCTGGCAAAATAATCTTAGTTATTATAGTACTTTTGAAATGAGCATGCTTTTTCTATACTATATGCCAGTGAAGGATTTGGGCCATTTTTGTTAATCCCTTGCTACTGCTAATTTGATGCCCTTTCATATAAATAAATACTGATGGTTCTGTTTACAAACAACTTACCTTCATCAACTGTGGTCATATCTTGTTCTAGTTTCAATTTCTGTTGGTTAATTTTTAGCATGGATTCTTCAATTGTCCCTTGGCTTATTAATTTTATAACTAGTACTTCTCTAAAGAAAACAGAAGATATGTCCGTTGGTTACTTAATATAAAATTATTTGGCTACATATAAGCTATATAAAACATCTTAAGAGTTCAATAAGAATAATCTGAAGATTGTATAACAAATATATCCATAACTTTATTTTTTTTTATATCCACAGCTTTAAATTCCCTTTTATTCAAACTTGGGATTGGTGTTTTCTAAACATGTAACTTTTAAACGACCTTTCTTATTAATCCAAGATATCTGTACTCCAAAAATTACTGGTAAAACTTACTACAACAAACAGTCTGGGTTCAGATAGGTATTCATTTTAAAAAGGAACATGTTAGGGGTGCCTGGGTGGCTCAGTTGGTTAAGCGACTGCCTTCGGCTCAGGTCATGATCCTGGAGTCCCGGGATCAAGTCCCGCATCGGGCTCCCTGCTCGGCGGGGAGTCTGCTTCTCCCTCTGACCCTCTTCCCTCTCGTGCTCTCTATCTCTCATTCTCTCTCTCTCAAATAAATAAATAAAATCTTTAAAAAAAAAAAAAAGGAACATGTTAAACAAAAAATAAAAATAAAAAAATAAAAAGGAACATGCTTTGCTTGTCAGGTTCCACTAAATAATTCAGTATAAAAAGTAAGAAAGCGTAGTGAAGTACAAAGATTACACAGAAGTTTTAGTCCCATAATAGGTACAGATAAATATCTGATTCATAAATGAATTTATCAGTATCTTTTGGAAATATAGTAACACACTCCACACAGAAAATATTGATTATTCACTACTTACATGTGAAAATAGAGTTGAGTTATAGGTATTGGCACCTCTTTATGGTCCAATGTCAAAATGAACCTTCACCTAAAATATCTACAACTCAAATAATGTATTTCCTAAAGGATAACAGGGTAGCAATAGTATACATTTTACTGTCTATCTGGCTCTTAAGGGATCTAACAAGACTTTTTAACTAATATTTTTCAAAGGGGCTGAACCATTGGTAATATTTTGTTTTCATCAGCTGCAGAACTGACTGGGGTGAGGTGGGAGGTTATTTTGCTTTAACTACTAAAAATGAATAGGACATATAGTGAAGTTCATATTCAACACTGCTGGTATGAAACATAGTAGCCATGCTTTGCTGAAAATACAAACACTGAAGCAGGACACTGACAGACTATATTCTACTACTATATACAAATTAAATTGGCATTTAGTTAAAAATAAATTTCAACTCAAAACACTTACTTAGTCTGGCCTACTCTATGGCATCTATCTTCTGCTTGTTTGTCGTTGTACGGGTTACAGTCAATATCATGAAGTATAACAACATTCGCTGAAGTGAGGTTTATTCCTAGGCCACCAGCTTTTGTTGACAGCAGAAACACAAAGATATCCATATCGGTATTAAACTCGTCAATTAGGTGAATCCTATAAGATAAACGTATTAGGCTAAATTTCACTAAAATGTATACAACTAAAACTGAAAAAACAACACACTACATGGAAAAAAACCCTTAAGATGTAAATACATGCTCTTGGCAATATAGTTACCTTTCCTGCAGTTGTTTTACTGAAAGACCTTCCCAATTCACCAAGTTCTTTTCTATTCCATTTCTCTATTAATTCTCACTTTAATTCAACTATTTGGGTTTGAGTAATGCTAAAGGGTTATTTTCTCCTCTGTTTAATGACTTCTGGCTTACCTAAATTTTGCATATGGCTTTTCAATCTTTAGCCTTCTCAGAAGTCTATTAGTGGCTGCTCTTGATACCAGATGAACTAAAGATTTCAAGATCAAACTAGAGCAGTGTATTCCCTTTTAGCATGACTTCTACCTTTAATGCAGGGAAAAGAAATCATTCTGGCTGATAAAAAATAAACCTAAAGATGTAATGCATTTTAAACACACTAGAAAAAGTATTCCTTTTCTTTTTTTAAGACAATCTTTTAATCTTTGGGAATTAAAAAAATAAACAAACCAAACTTATTCAATTACTCTTAAAATACGAAAAGCCCAAGATTTTAAAACCATCTTGGTTTTTGTTTTTTAAACAATCTTGGTTTAAAGGTAAGGTGCTTCAAGGATTTGAATGAGTCTTAAAGGGCAAAACATTCTAATTAGGTATCGAAAGAGATTTCTATGCAATTCAGATCAAAAACTTAGAAAATTTTCCTTATCTTAAGACAATGGTTTGAAATAACCACACAAAAGACTCAAAAGCAATACAATCCAATCAAATGCTTTATATACATTTAAAATTCCAACATTTACTCTTATTTAAAGGTGAGGTGGAGATTTTCTGAAACTAAAGTGAAATATACCAACCTTTCAGAAATCTGAGTCTTCCCATCTAATCTGAGGTACCTATGCTGATGATGTTTTAAGAGAACCTCTAAAATATCCAGCATCATGGTAAATTGGCTAAATAATACAACTCTATCACCCTGTGAAAATACATATATGGATTAGATACATGGAAAAATAAAATTCTAAGAATCTAATGATCAACTGCTTCTTTAACAAAAACCAAGTGATCACAGCAAATGTCTATTATATAATGATCCTGGGGTCCTGGGATCGAGCCCCGCACTGGGCTCCATGATCAGCGGGAAGCCTGCTTCTCCCTCTCCCATTCCTCCTGTTTGTGTTCCCTCTCTCGCTGTGTCTCTGTCAAATGAGTAAATAAAATCTTTAAAAGAAAAAAAAAAAAATCAATCCAGATGGTGTATTCTACTAACTTCTATTTTTCTTTCTCAGACTCAATAGAGGAAAATTAGGAAAACATATCCCCAAATAATATCCTCTAAATGTTCAAAGCATTAATTTCTAGAAACATATATAATAGATATAGGCTAAAACTTCAAGAAAGTCAAATCATGCCAGAATTATCTTAAAGAAGTTTAATTGGAAAAATACAAGAGGAGTAGCATTCTTTATTACCTTCTGTTTCAATTCAGACAAGATGCATCCTAAAACTCGGAATTTTCCAGAATCTAAAATCAAGTCCATGTCTAACTGGAAGTTATTAATATGTCGATACTGTTTACAAAGTACATGTAATTCAAAGTCTGTCATAACTTCCATATCTTCAAAGATCAAGTCAGGGTTAGCCTCACAATGTGTAGGTTCCTTAAAACAAAATAGAACAATTCACACTTCAAAATGAAGGTAATTTATAATATGACCAGAACACTCGAATAAAATTGTTCACATCTGATAAAATATTAAGTAGCTAAACAGCACGTTACATGGTACAATTTAACAAAGGAAAATAATTTCATTATTTTAGGTACAATAAAGGTGGAAATGTCCTTACTGTTTTAGAGACAGTGTCCTGAAATATTTAGAGATGAAGTAATGTCTAGAATTTGGTTCACAATAATCATGGGGAGGGATCTAGATGAAACAAGAGTAGCATCATTCTAGATAATAACTCTAAAAAAAATGGGTGGTTACATGGGCAGAGGATTTCATTATACAATTCTCTCTACTTTCACGTTTGAAAATTTCCATAATAAATTTAAAATAATATAAAAACATTTTAAAAAGCAAATAGTTGCTTTTAACACAAAGATCTATAAAGGAGAACTATAGGTGGGTGCTGAGGGAGAATGAGGCAAAAATAAAGATTAATAAAACTATAGACAAAATATAATGAAGAAGAAAAATGAAGAAAACAAATAGAGATAAACAACTCACTGCCCTGGACATAAAATCTGAGGGATCCTTTTGGTAAAATAAAGAAGTGCATTATGGCAGTCTCAGTCAGGAGCTGGCACACTTTCTATAAAGGGCCCGACAGTAAACATCTCAGGAGGCTCTGAGTGATCTGTTCTGCAACTCCTCCACTCTGCCCTTGTACAGGCATACCTTGCTTCATTTTTGTGTATGGGTTTCAGATACTGTGCTTTTTACAAATTGAAGGTTCGTGGCAACCCTGTGTCGACCAAGTCGACTGGTGCCATTTTCCAACAATATTGCTCATTTTGTGTCTCTGGTAAATCTTAAAATATTTCTAACTTTTTCATTACTATTGTATTTGTTATGGTGATCAGTGATTATAACTTGCTGGAAGCTCAGATGACAGTAGCATCTTTTTTTTAGCAACAAAGTATTTTTTAAGTATGTACATTTTTTTAGACATAATGCTACTGTACACTTAACTGACTACAGTACAGAGTAAACATAACTTTTATATGCACAGGGAAATAAAAAAATTCATTTGACTCCCTTGCAGTGGTCTGGAGCCAAACCTGCAGTATCTCTGAGATATGTCTGTGTTGAGAAAGCAGTCACAAAAAAAAAGCAACAGAAAGACCGGGATGTGTTAAAATAAAACTTTATAAAAATAGCCACGGTCCTGTTTGGCCCTAAGGCCATAGTCTGCTGACTCCTAATACAGACTGTCAATCCCCTTGGCTCTTATGTTCCCCGAAATTATCTTGAACTTTGTCTTAAAAATGCTTTTCTTAAATATGGGGTTAATGGATCAATATGCTCATTAGGCTCAACTGATCTTTAGCTAGCCTAACAATTTAACCTTACGTTTAATAGCGTTAATAAAGGTTAGTGTTAACATAATATGAAATCCTTACCTTTAGCATAAGCTGCGACATTTCCTTGAGCTTTTCAGCTGTGTAATATTGGCGATGTAATAAAGGATGATTGGCCATTTTTCTCAACTGCATCATGACATTGCACATTTCTGTGTTTTTTTCTGTGAGCACACATTAAAAACAAAAAAACAAAACCCAAGCTGACAGCTGTCTGCTAAAATACATCTCAATGCAAACAAAAAGTTTAAAATTATTTCTTCAAATTCTAAATAATTTTTAAAAATGAGCAAATCCCACTATAACATGACTAAACAAAATGTAGCCCCAGTACAGGATTATTTTTCATGTGCAATTGTGAAAATCAGATTATACCCATGTTATTGATAGATTTTTTCAATCTGTTGAAAAGACCCAAATAGAGTTGCTCCTGTTTCTCTGACATTGCACACAATTCAATTTGATCTTTCTTGGGGGGTAGCTGCTTGAGAACCTGAGAAAGGAAAACAGTTTAAACAGATCATTCAAATAAAGAAAACAGGTTTTTAAAAAACAATCATCATAATAAATATGCAGATAAGTTACCTCTTCTTTTACCCTTCTGAGAATAAATGGTTTTATAATTTGTTTTGCGTGTGCTATTCTCTCCTTTTCATATATACTTTGCTCATCTGCTGATTTCTAAGTAAAAAAAAGAACACATCCTTTTAGAAATTACTCATTTAAATGATCACAGTTAACAGTATTACAGAACATGAAAATCAACCTCACTACAATCTCTGAGTTATTTTCCACAGAAACTCACTTCATTCTAAATGGAATTTCACATATCAACTCTGGGCTATTAACCTACCTCTTCAAGCTCCACATGTATTTTGAGGTTTTAGGTACTCTGCTGAGCTAATAAAACTGAACTGCCTTAGGATGGTGTCCAGAAGTTTAAGTCATAACTAATGAGTTATTAACTAATTATCAGAGAGCTCTCATGAAAGTGTGTGTGTGTGTGTGTGTGTGTGTGTGTGTGTTTTAACAGGGTGGGGAGAAGAGGAGAAGGGGAAGAGATAGACAAGAAAACTTATATTTATTTCTATAAAAATGACCCCAAAAGAAAGCTAGTGCAAGTGATGTACACCATGTGTTCTAAAACAAAGGGATGGTTCCTAGTCAAGGCCTGTTAATTTTGGAGAATTAAAGAAGTGGAATTTCATTCTAAGATGTGAAGAAGTCCTCCATAGTCTATAATCTACTAGGCCATCAAGTGGGAGTGAATACATTAGTGAAAGTTTAAAAGGCAGTTAATGTGCAGTGGAAGAATATCATAGAGAATTCCTGCAAAATATATGTGACTTAGGAGACAGTCAAGAATCTACATAAACATTGCTGTACTGGAGAATTTAGTAGGAGTTCCTGAACACTATACTGTACTTTTTCTTTATATTGTACTTTTTCTTTCTTAAAAGATTTTTCCTTCCCTCCCTCCTTCCTTCTTCCTCTCTTTCATTTATTGAGACAGAAAGAGAGAGAGAGAGAGAGAGAATGCGGGGGGGGGGGCAGAAGGAGAGGGAGAGAAAGAATCTCAAGAAGACCCCACGCTGAGTGCGGAGCCTGAAGTGGGGCTCGATCTTAAGACCCTGAGATCATGACCTGAGCTGAAATCAAGAGTCAGACACTTAACCAACTGAGCCACCCAGGCTCCCCTATGCTGTACTTTTTCTAAGCAACATGGAGAAAATTAACCAGATTTTCTTCTATATAGAATTTAAGTGTAACTGTAAGAAATTGTTACTTTGGGGTGCCTGGATGGCACAGTAGGTTGAGCGTCTGACTCTAGGTTTTGACTCAGGTTGTGGCCTCCAGGTCGTGGCCTTCCGGGTCATGGGCTCAGCCAGGAATCTGCTTGAGATTCCCCCTCTCCCTCTGCATGCTTCACCCCTCCACCTGACCCCCTCACGCTCTCTCTCTAAAATAAATGAATTTAAAAAAAAAGTGCTACTTTTGAATTTATGGACTTTTATTTCAAAACATATTTCCCAGTACAGGAGTTTTCTGGATATTCTACCTTTGTCCAGTTCTACAGTTTACCTATAAAGAAATGCTACTAATTTACCAAATTTAATAAGGTAAATGCAATGACCAAACTTTCCCCACCTATTATATATCTGAACACTCCACTAATTTGTCATTTCAGAAAATTAGGATATTAAAACCAAATCTTTTGGATATCAATTACAGAAGTCACCAATTTATTTCCCATGGTATTCTGGCAGACTTCCCAAGTCATCCAAGTACAGGGATATCAACTACTTAAACTTAATTGATATCATATATACACTATGAAAACAAGAAAGAAAGAAGAGTGGCCTATATAAAACAAAAAGTAACAGATTTGGGAGAAAATATAAACGTATGCTTACTGTTTTAGAAGAAAACATTCTTCGTATTTCACTGGTGCTACTACTAAACATGTGCGGCATAACAAAGTTCAATAGGGACATGAGTTCTAGCAGATTATTCTGTACAGGTGTGCCTGTGAGCAGCAAACGGTTATTTGCCTGTGAAAGTAAAATTTGGATTAGTTTTCTTTTTTTTTAAAGAGCTAAGTCCTTCCTGTCTATACTATTCAGTAGGGGGAAAAAATTAAAACCATTATTAATAATGTAACATTCTGTGATGAAAGACTCCTAATTTAGAAAAATTATCATCTTGAACTTTAAGGTAGAATGTGAAAACTCATGGTTTCATTCTATAAGTAGGTAACTTGATTGTATTTGATATTCATAAAGTTTATCATATAGAACAAGGGCTGGTAAATTGAGGCTCATGAGCTAATAAAAATGGTTTTTATACTTCTTAAGGGTTATAAAACAAAACAAAAACAAAAACAAAAGCAAAGAACAAGTCGCAGGGGAAGACCCACAAGACATGAAATATTTATTATCTGGACTTTTAAAGAAAAAGTCCACTGACCCTGATATAAAATACTAAATACATTAAAACATGTAACTTTGTTGTAATTGGAAAAATTCACAAAATACTCTTACATTAATTGTCATAAGGTGCTGATAGCGGATGGAGCCCATATTCTTCAGCATATGGCCCTCATCAAAAATCGCGTAATTAAGTTTCAGCCGTCGAAACAGACTACGATCATCAGAACTGCTGATTGCACAATTATACCTGTCACCAAAAAAAAAAAAAAAAAAAAAAAAGGTTAAAGAGCCTGGACCATAGTGAGACTTAATGTTTTCTAAAATTATTTTTATTTCTACATTTCTAGTACCCAGTACCTGAAAGATACCACTAGACATAGTTGGTGTTCAAATAAATACTGACGCACTTGTATACAGTAATTATTTATGTACATGTAACCAAGTTATAAAAGCTGCAATGCGTAGGTAAAGGAAAATTTTAATGTTATAATTAGACAACTTCTACACAACTAAGAAGAAGCCAATTTGGGTATGATTTATAGGTTATATGCAACTGTTACACACTTTGCTTCATGAACTGTTATATTTTCAGAACAAAGGTGGGGAAAAAAAGGACTTGAAATGACATTTGTTAAGAACATAATACGACTGTATTAAACTAGTAGAACACATCCAAGAAAAAACAGTTAATAGTAGCTAGCAGTACTAGACTATATATAAAATGAAGTCCATTTTAAGTAGAAAAGATGAATTTTGGATTCATCTTTTAATCATGGCCTCCTACAGAAGTCAGTAGATGGAAATAATAAATACTGACAGTTAATATGAACTTGAAATAACCTATATTTAAAAATGTAACATGACAGCATTAAGTTCTCTGCTAGGTATTTATGCTAAACGGTTACTACCAAGTAATAATGACTAACTTATTCAAAGTTTTATTTTCCATCCTTTTATTTTAATTCAATTTTTTCATTTAGAGATTCCACTGTATTTAATTAATCATTAATATTAATAATTAACATTTAGAAGTTACAAATATTACGAATCATTTTGGTGGGATATCTTCAATTTTACCTGAAGTTTAACAGAAAAAGTCCTATAAAACTATGCCTTCGATCAAATGGACAAAACCTTTTTATAGCCACTATCAGTCACCTGCTGTACTAGTAAAAAACTGAAAAATGCCTGAATACTCAACATAAGTCATTCCATTACTTTTGTTCAGGAAAGCCTGAACTTTCCTTCATATTACTACTAACATATTTTAAGTATTTTTTTAAATATAGGGGTTACACAGTATCTCCCAATTATTTTTTTCTCCATACTTACGTGGTCACAATTACATTATATTCTTCATATTTACTATGGATGTTATATCGAATCTGTTTACGTTCTTCTTGAGAGCCTACAATTTAAAAACAACACACGCATATTGATTATATTTAATGTACTTTATGTTAGGATTTTAAAGAAATTTCCAAATTAAGGCAAAATGACATTCTTACCATAGTAACAGAGCACCTTTAAAGTGGGGCACCATAAATTAACTTCTCTTAACCAGTTATCTAGGAAACAAGAGAGGTATTACTTGCATCTGCTAAATAGGTTAGGTATATGCAGTGAAATGAGTTCTATACAGAATTTTTTCTTTTGCAAAATAATGTAAGATTTTTTAAAAAAATCACAGACCCTTCACAATTTTACTCCTGATGTTTAAAGTAATTTTGAGAAGGCATAAAACAAAAGGCAAAGGAGCAACCATTATATTTATAGGATGATTAAATTCCAATTTAAAGAGTTTTTTTGGATTATGTTCATACATACATTCCCTTACTCTAGTCTACATCCAATCAATTACGTAATTTCAGTGGGATGAACTGTTTACTTTCTGATTCAATAAATGTTTAATTAAAATTTAAAAGCACTTGTTTCTCTTAAATTACTCAGTAAAACAATTTTTTTCATTAAAAAAGAATTACAAAAACAAATGATCTTATCGATGGTCCTTGAGGCATAATAATTTAAAAGCTGAGTGACTTGTATTTGAGTTATTTTCTTTTAAAAGACGTCTACTAAAAAGACGTCTTGTACAAACACACGTACATACACATACACAAAGGGGGAAAAAGTGTAAGGAGACCACAGAATTATATTCACCTCCACAAACTAAGAAATCACACATAAGCAGTTTTTCTTTTCCCTGTATAAAACACTAGACAGTCAAGTATGGTTGTTCACAGTATTACAAACCTATAGTTGACGCTGGAACAACGATCAAATGAGGACCTTTATTACCCTCCTGATAAAGGTATGCGAGGAATGCAATGGCTTGAATAGTTTTTCCTAGGCCCTAAAATTAAATGTTCAAAAGACAATATATGAAATTTAAAAACAAACAAAAAATACTGGAAAACACAAAAGGAAAAATAATATTTCTGGTTTATTTTTGATTCCCCAAAATGCAACCCTATGAGACTTCTACCATGTTCTTAGTTCAACAGATCATAATCTCCAAATATACTATAACTTAGCTTAATGAGCATGATGGATGTATCCTAACTGCTAGTTAAAATGGGACATACATGAATATGGAAGAGCTCTGCAATGCATATAAAGGACATAATGTTGGTAACTGTTTTATATAAAACAAATATTTAATACACACTGGATAGATTAAAAACAATGTTCCAATGACTAATTGGATTTTAACATAATGCCTACCTTGTTACCCACCAATTTCACTTCTAAGAGTATATTCAAGAGATATAAGAACATATGTCCACAAAGAGACTTGAGTAAGAATGTTGACAGTAGTTTTATCATGATAGCCAAACACTGGAAATAACTTAAATGTCCTTCAACAGGAGAATGGATAAACAAGTTGTAGCATATTTATACTAGGGACTACTGCATGCCAATAAAACACCAAACTACTTATATATATAAGAACATGGATGAAACTCAGTATCATGCACCAAACAAACCAGAAACAAACGGTATATACTATATGGCTCTCTTTATATAAAAAAGTTCAAAATGTGAAAAAAATAATCTACGGTTATAGGTGTCCAAATAGTGGTGGTGGTAATGATTGAAAAGGAGCATGAGGGAACTTTCTGGGATGATGGAAATGTTGATCTGGGGAGGGGTGGTCACACAGGGGCACATATATGTAAAAAATCACCAAGCTGAACATTTGTGCATTTTACTACAAGTAAATTATACATCAATGAAGGGTTTTTTTCTGTTGTTTGTTTTTAAAGGCTACTGGGGAGGAGCTAAACATTACCAGCTGTTAACTGAACTGCCCTCACTGCCCCATTCATGTTTTGAAGCTCTATATTGCAATGTGACTGTATTTGGAGACGGGGCCTTTAAGAAGGTAATTAAGGTTAAATGAGATCACAAGGATGGGGACCCAATCCCCATCTTAAGAGAAAGAAATGCCAGGGATGTGTGCGCACAGAGAAAAAGACATGTGAGGACATGGTGAGAAGGTGGCCACCACCTGCAAATGAAGGAGAGAGGCCTCAGGAGAAACCAAACCAGCCAACACCTTGGTCTTAGACTCAAGCCTCCACAACTGTGACAAATAAATTTCTGTTGTTTAAGCCACCCAGTCTTTGGTCTTTTATTATGGGAGTCCTAGCAGACCAAGCAAGACACTAACTTATAAATACAGTGCTTTACAGGTCACAAAAAGTTTTACATCTTATACCTCATCTGGTAAGGATTAGCATATGAGAGGCAAAGTTGGGGCACCAAACCCAGATCTGATCCTCAAGTCCAGCTTTCCACAACTGTAATGTTCTGTATCTAATTCCATAACTATTCTGAAATCCTGCATAATTATTTAGTTTTCTATCAGATAAACAGCACTTGTTATGATGACAGTATGATATACGTGTGGGAGTAGTCTTTTTTTTTTTTTTAACTTAAAAAGATTTTTATTTATTTGACAGAAAGAGACACAACAAGAGAGGGAACACAAGCAGGGGGAGTGGGAGAGGGAGAAGGCTTCCCGCTGAGCAAGGAGCCCGATGTAGGGCTTGATCCCAGGACCCTGGGAGCATGACCTGAGCTGAAGGCATATGCTTAATTGACTGAGCCACCTAGCGCCCTTGTGTGGGAGTAGTCTTAAAGTACAAAAGATTACTAGAAGCTAACTACAGAATAAAGATCAGTATGTTAATTTTTATTTTAATAATGTAATATACAATGTAATATGTGTATTTAATAAACATTTTCTCCACTAAATATGACTAATTTTTAATGAACTTTTTAAAAGAGAAAGGACATCAGGTTAGGGTAAAAGTCAAGTTTCTATGTGACAATACCTGAACCAGGCTGTAATGAACTTCCTAAGCTTAGTTTCAAGCAAATGTGATTTGGGAAAAAACAGAAACTCAGAGACATCTAACAAAAGTAAAATAGCTGAAATGATGTTGCTGATAAATGTGTGATTTATAGATATCTATAAAATTTGATAAATGTGCAGATTTACTTATAAGTTATCTATAAATTTTAAAGGTAGCTATAGAAAAGCACATATAACAAAATCTTTCAGTATTTTATACATATGTGTGTATGTATGTGCACACACACACACACACACCTGCAGGAGAAAATAATCTGAAAAGATACACATCAAAACAATACTTATTTCAAAGTGGTAGGAATATGAGTGATCTTGATCTTTTTTGTATTTTTATATAGTCTAATTTTTAAAACACACATATTAATTTGATAATTAGAAAAGAAGTAAGCCCATTTTCATTTTGGGGGGCAATGAGGAGGCTAGAGCTAAGAGAGGCAATAGAAAATTAGAAGAGGTGATTGGGGTATTAAAATACTAAAGTGAGAGCAGTAAACTACAGGGGTCAACGGAAATTTTTATTTTTTAAATGACAGCAAGAATGCCTTTTAACGACAAATCCTAAAAATAGAGTAGTACTTACCATTTCATCTGCCAAAATGCCATTAAGTCCATGTTTATGTACCAATGCCAGCCAATTCAAACCAACTTTCTGATATGGCTTGAGTGACAAACTGGTAAAGAGAGTTACCAAATATTATGGATTTGTACTTCTATTAGTTTTCTCTACTAGTTTTCTGACATGATGGTTAAGTTTACAGTGCACACAAAAACTGAAATAACTATGTCTAGTCTTACCTTTTACCTTATGTTATACAAGCTATTTACACTTAGTTAAAAAAATTAGCTCAAAACACAATACATTTTTCCAATTTTTATTTTGTATTGATCTGTTTTTTCTGGCTGTAAGAATTATAAAAAACCATCTCCATATTCAGTCATAATGTAATGCCACCAAATTAATTCCATAAATGATCAGAATATTAATTATGGTAACATATTACTAACCTAATATTTATACTAGAAAATGGTATTGTATGGATTTGAATTTTACCACATTAAGGAACTTCAAGTATTAGGACAACACAGGCTTAATTTGCCTTTGCTGGGATGACTGAATAAATGTCAATCACCTCTATTATCAGTGGAATGTGTTAATTCTGGAAGGTGTATATTTGTGTCTGAACTATGTATGAATGGAAATTTGCTAGTCATCAATTAGCATCAGTGAGTAGAAAGTAGCAAGCCAGTGTCAAAATCTCATTTAATTTGTAAACACATAATTTGGAAATAACTTGCTTGGAAGGTAATATGGAAGGTTATAAAGGATGAACAGTTATTTTTTTTCCCTAAAAGTTCAAGTGGTTAAAAACTAATAGTAGTTATTAATAAACATAATTATATACAGACACACAAATAACATTTTCAAGTACCACCTCATTTAATCTTTTAACATCCTATAAAGATAGCCTTTTATCATCATTTTAAACAGATGAAAAGCCTGAGGCTAAGTTAAGTAATTTGCCTGAGGCTACATAGCTACAAAGTGTTTTATGGAAGGCTAAGATTTAAACTAAGGAAGTCTATCTCATTCGGAAGTTTATTCTCATACTCACTAGGTAAGCATATAGCCCATATTAAGATGGAAAGCTAGGATAAGGCCATGTGCCTCTCGTTCTCCAGCATTTATCCTGTCCCCTTAATTTCTTATTACACACATCCTATCTGCACATAAGGAAGGGGTCTGGACATAACTATGGTAAAATAAAATAAAGGGCCAAATTCTAAAATCAATATACTTTAATTAGAACATGGGTAAAAGAGTTGGGGTAGAAAGATTTCCACCTTAAATCAGAATCTATGCTTCAACTGTGAGGTATGCAATCTACACAACATTTCTCATTAAAAAAAAATTAAAAGAAAAAACCAGCAGTGTTGCTGAAGTCTTTGTAGTGATTTTTAAAAATGTCCTTTACTTATTGGCCAATATAATTTCTACTGCCACTACGAAAGTAATAATAAATAAAAACATATTACCATAGATATTTTGATTTCCAAATCCAAATGAATTCTTTCTACTACAATAATGGTGAAAGTAAATGCTAATATTGGAATATTTACTCTATTCCAGACACAATGCTATGGGCTTGATATGCATTATTTCATCATTTAATCTACATTATCAAGCAAGTAAAATTATTATCCCCATTTTACAGATGAGACCATCTCTGGGACTCAGAGAAGGTAAGTAACTTGTCCAAGGTCATATTGCTATCCAAATCCATGTCTGCAGTGGCAGAGACAGTATCCAATCCGGGTCTAATCCAGAGCTCATCCCTTAAACAGAAAATATGAAAAAGTTCTTTCTCTCTGACCCACCCACTCTATGGTCAGAACTGAGTATTTTTGAGCCCTTCCCAAGGCCTTAGTCATCCCAGACATGTAAGTTCCCATTTCATGAAAATGATGAAACTTGATAAGGTAGGCACAGCACACCATTTATTAATGCATTGAAGGGCCAGTATGCTATTCCAATGTCAATCTATCACAAGTGGCCAAGAAATATTGAGAAACTAGTATTACTGTTAAAATATTCTTCACTATGCATAAAACTTTAAAAAGTGATGAAGGAATTTTGAGAAGCATCTACTATACAGAATTTTTCGACCAAATAAAACTGTTTCATCCATAATCACAAAGCAGCTCTGGTAGCTGTTTTTGATCAGGACATTAAATAACTTTGTTATATTGTAATATTTTTTTAAAAAAATACAAGTATTTGTGTGTGTGTGCTTGTTTATGTGTATATACATACACATATCTGTGTGTGGATGCACTATCTACTGGATTTACCTAAACAGTGCTGTCCATCAACAGATCATTTCTTCAGAATGCAAAAGATCAATGAAAATGCAATTTTGACAAAGACGTTTGAAATCCAATTCACTTGTTATGACAAATTTTTAAAACAGGGAAGATGTATTCTAGCAGGATCTAATATTTAGATGTTGTACAATTGTACCTTCCATTTACTCAATTTATTTTGACATTCTATAGTTTTCTAAGAATTTTCATGACTGCATATGAACCCCAACTACCAGTTAAAGATAAGAATTTATCCTGTCCAGGGTTACCCAAATGGCAAGAACTAAGGCCCAGGCCTTCTGAATTAGTTAAGTGCTCTCTTCTCATTAGCAGACTATAAATATCTTTAAACTGAAGGTTTTTTACCTCCTACTAAAAAAAAAATGATTTTATGATTTTAATTTTTCTGAGATCATGAGAGAAAACAAAAGCAGCACATAATTCTGAAGTTACTTGTTTTGTCAGGAGAAAAAAAAAATCATTCCAGACAGTTATGATTTCTTTTGAGTGAAAATTAAATTAGGTTTAAATCTCCTGCCAGAGAAACTAGTATCAAAATTATTTTGAAAAGGTGAGAAAAGCCTGAAATGGAAACAACAGGAGCCCATACAATATGCTAACTTTGAGTTTAAAATGCAGAAACAGTCTAGGGAGACTTGTTGCAAGTAGTTCATATGAAACTAGTTTGGGGATACTAGCTGACCAAAAGTTTATGTCCCGTAAGTTTAACATAGTTGCTGAAAATACTACTACAACATTTGTTTGTACTAATAGTAGTACCCGAACTACTAAAATATTTCCATCATAGTACTTTGAGTTAGTCAAATCACATCTGCAGTATTGATTTGCATTCACATCACTGTCAAATGGCTTCATAGCAACTGTTTAGAACAGGACAGAAAACCATCTCGTCAAGTTGAAGGACAAACAAAATCAGAAAAACCTTGGGTAGATTTAGCCCAGAAAAGACAGGACACATATAATTAAATATATTTTACATTGAACATCTGAGAAATCTTTTCAGTTAAAACAATTTAAACCCAATATATTTTAGATAAAAAGCTAAAATTTGAGATGGCTACATTAACGGTAGGAATAAAAAGGGAGAAGTAACTGATTTTTTTTTCCTTTTCCCTCACACCATATTATATTTCAACTTTAGGCACCTTTAGTTTTGGCATCTTAAAATAAAAATTATGAATGTAATGGTTTTGAGATATATGCGAGACATTTTATTTTCCTCTGCAAAGATTTTATTTTTATTAAGGATGTTGGTATGTCTGTATGTCCTTAATCTCTAAAAGGCATTTTTTTTGTTATAATTCATATAAATTTGTAGTAAGAAAATAAACAGTTAACATAATTTTGCTAAAAAGAATTGGTTCTGTTAAGAAATGCAGGACAGCTTAGTCATCAGGATAATTCAACATTTTCCTCCATGCTAGTAAATCCTTTCCCAAGGCAAGGCAACTACTTTGCATGTCTCTATGCTAAGCAGCAATGATGCCTGGCCAGTATACCAAGTAAAACTGCTTGTGTAACTCTTACCTTGGCTAAAAATAAAAACCAAGACAACAAATTTCACCCCCTAAAAGTGCATTTAAATAAACTCTAAAGAAACTACCACACAGGTGTTTAGAAGATATGTTTTGGGCTAGAGCACTTTTAAAAAAGAGCTATTTTTCTCATCTATTATATATTTCATCAAAAAATTCCTCAGCCTAATGGAAAGGATACTTTATTACCTGATCATACTATTTACAAGTAACAGGACTTTGTAGATGTGGGTTTAAGAGAGAAATTTTTTAAGTGATGCAATAAAGCACTTGATTTTTTAAAATCCAAATTACGATAAAGTAGACTCAACTGGGTAAGTCTTGTAGAGTGAAGAACTCCCCATATCCAATGCTGTAGAACAAGAAGGAGCAGCTCCAACTACACTTTTAGGAGATGAATTTGCTGACATGGCCATAGTTCTTTCTATGCAACAGAGAAAAGAGCTTCTTTGTGGGAACTGCATCACGTTTCCCTACACCATCCCATAGCACCCTAGAAGGGCACAGAAAAGATTGTAGCTTACTATTAAAGGCCAGTAACCATACCTTGACTTTTAATTAACCAATGATCAGCAAATATGCTTTGATCATGAACTAGAAAAATGCTAAAAGAAGTAAATAAAATCACCAAGGTAATTAATTTTAATGAGGCCCTAGTGCTAATCTTATTAAATACCTATCAGAAATATTCTGAACAGATGTAACTTATTTTTAATGTTGCATAACACTACATAGCTTGGATATACCATAATCCATTCTAACTATTCATACCACAATTCATTTAACTATTCTGATTTTAGGAAACTGGACTGTTTTCATGTTTTTGTCACTATATATATTACCACAGTAAACAATTTTATACATTTCTGAAGAAGGAAGTATTCTAAATAGTTCTGAGTCCCCAAACCACTTAAAAATAAACTTTTAAAAGAAGTTCAAAACAATCTCCCCAACCCAATACCCCAACACCATGCAAAATGGGGGTGTTCACAATTATAAAATGCCATTTTAATATGCACTGGTTGTTGTATGAGTTTTTTATTGAAAATAATTTAGTGTCTATTTTTTGTAAGAATTCTGACAAGGCATTATACTGACAGTAGCAGTTTTGGGAAATACACTTTTTATAATCTTTCCTTATATAATCTATTTAATAAGTGTCCTTTTCATTTTTGATGTGTTTCTACTCCAAAAAGAGATTTAAAAATATGGCCTTTTTAAAGCATTTAAAACATTAAATCACAGATACAGGATATTTTAATCATTTCATTTTATTTATGACTAAAAAGAAACTGAGCTAAGACAAATTTTTTTCATTGATGCAATTAAGCAGCTGACTTTTTGAAGCACCGTACTGCATAAAGGGGTAGCTAAAATTAGCTTTTCAGTTTTTGTGATTATATATGAAATTATCTGTCATCAGACAAGGAAAACACAGGTTACATAAGATCATAACATTTGCTCCCTCTAATTTATGATATAATGGAGTAAATACCCTTGGCAGGGTGGGGGGGGTACTGATAAAAAACAATTCCTATATCACTTATGTATTATAGGAAACCTTGGGCTTCCCTTCTACCATTAGTTTTCATAAAACGTCCACATTTAAGTTCCCTAGGCACAATACAGAAGTAAGTTCAGAAGTTTTACACGGCTGAGATAAAGTAAGAAATAAGTAAGTACAACAAATATTACCTCTGGTTTAGAATGGAGGGTTGTTCTATGTTCCATCCACCACCATTTCCAGTGAGCATGGTAACTTGCTTTGTCAATTTATTTGAAATGTCTTCACATTTGTTCATAAGCCTTATAACTACATCCCTTTCTTGGATCAGTGTTTTACAATGCCATATCAAATCTTCTGATAAGCCATTAGTTTTGGACATCTTTGTGAACTACGGGATAAGAAGAAAAATAATTTAATAGTTCGGATCTAGTAAATACAAATCCAGTATCAATTTAAGGGAAAAAATTTTGTTAATTTAATTAAACTTTTACTAATGACCTTAAATCAAGTGCTAAGAGATAAGAGAACCTGTTTCTTCATGTTTACATTTGAATTTCCATGTTTCTCTTTGGTAAATCAAACTCACCATACTAAAATAAAATGTATCTTTCTCCCCAAAATGCACAATCTCAACCTCAAGCTAGTTACTTTGCCCCTAGTAGCTGTTCTCTTATAGGAGAAACTCTCAAGTAATCGTTAATGTCTTCTATGAAGTTTTGTTTTCAAAATCTCAGATTCATCTTTATCACCAAAGGAATGGCACCAAATATAATAATTGTATACCTGAAATCTTGCCTCCATTTTTGTCACTTCCCATGACTATAACATATTATCGTATGATTAATCTTCCTAAACATACTTTTCCCTATTATCAAAGCACCACCCCTTGAACTTTCAAACCCTCAATTATTATTTGCCACTTAAATTTTTGCTCCTAAACTGAGACCATTATTTGGAAAGATACTGCATGAATCAAAAGTTAACTACAACCAATTAAATAACTTGATAAAAGTTCTTTAAAAAGTCAATTTCAATACAACACTTGTATAAATGGTTTTTTTGTGAAAGCCCAAAGCATTTTTTTTAAAAATGTATTTGTATTTATTTTTCTAAAGGAGACACTGAGGGGCACCTGGGTGGCTCAGCTGGTTGAGCGTCCGACTCTTGGTTTCGGCTTGGGGCATGATCATGGGGTCCTGGGATCGAGCCCTGTGGTCAGTTCCACTCTCGGTGGGGCTGCTTGAGATTCTCTCTCTCCCTTTGCCTCTGTCCCTCCCCCCACTCTTGCACATTCTCTAAAATAAATAATCTTAAAAAAGAAGACACTGAAAACTTGATCATGTAAAAGCTATAAAAGAATTAGAACTTTTCCATACAGACAGCTGGAAAAAAAATATCCTGAAGAACCTTGTAAGAAAAAAATACTTTTAGTGAGGATGAACAAAGGCCCATAGCTGTCTAAAAACTAAAAACCTTGGTGGGCAAAAAGACAGATCCCACAATCCAGAAATGAATAAAAGAAACTAGAGTAAATGGGTGCCTGGGTGGCTCAGATGGTTAAGCATCCACCTTCAGCTCAGGTCATGATTCCAGGGTCCTGGGATCGAGGCCCACATTGGGCTCCTGGCTCAGCGGGGAGCCTGCTTCTCCATCTCCCTCTGTCGCTCTCCCTGCTCATGCTCTCTCTATCTCTGTGTATCAAATGAATAAATAAAATCTTTAAAAAAAAAAAAAAGAAACTAGAGTAAAATCACCTGTTAAGATAAAACTACATGATTTTGATTGTCATCTTATTTAGCATATTCTTTCAAGTTACAACAAGAATCACATTAACAACTCTAAATAATCTTTGTGATCACAGTGTATCTAAATTCACAGAGAAGCTCAAATAATACAAATTCAACACTTACGGGATATACAAAGATAATTTCATCAAAAATGCATTTATAATAATATACTTTTTCATATCTTAGAAAAAGTTGGAAAGAAATAAAATTTCCACTCTATTCCAAAGCCATGTTGTTATTATACCGCAGGATTAAAAAACAAAACAAAAACTTATTAGCACTTCACAAAATGGCACTGCGAAATACAAAGTTATTTGCACACGACTTTACATCTTCACAAGGGCAACATTAACAATCACAATGTAACCTCCCACTTTGTGCTTTCCAGGGAAAAGATTTATACATTAACACCAGGATATATAAGAATCAGTGCCTTGAAGATTTTCAGGAGGTTCTGCTGGAACTTTTTTTTTAGATTTATTTTGAGAGGGAGATAGAACACGAGCGAGGGGGATGAGCAGAGGGAGAGGGAGAAGCAGACTCACCACTGAACAGGGAGTCCGATGCCGGGCTGATACCAGGGCTCCATCTCAGGACCCTGGAATCATGACCTGAGCAAAAGGCAGACACTTAACCCACTGAGCCAACCCAGGCGCCCCTCTATTAGAACTTCTAATTAAAATATTTTCAGGGGCTCCTGGGTGGCTCAGTGGGTTAAGTGGCCTGTTCTTGATTCTGATTCAGGTCATGGTCTCAGGGTCCTGGACCAATGCCTGGGATCAAGCCCCCAGGCGGGCCCAAGCATCAGGGCTCTGTGCTCAGTGGAGAGTCTGTCTAAGGATTCTCTTTCCCTTTCCCTCTGCCTCTCCCTGACACTTGTGCTCTCTCTCTCAATAAATAAGTAAATCTTTTAAAAAATAAATAAATTTTTAAATGGAACCCTAATACAGGCCAGAAACCCAATCTCGTGCTTGTTGTGGGTAAATGTGTAAGTGTATGTTTCTGATGTGTACGTGTGTGAGAGAACAAGTAAGAATAACCAGGAAATAAAGAAGTAACAAATACTCTGTACCATGTGTGTGCTAGAAACTACTAGATGTCTCTTTTATTTACTAACTCATTAAATCTTCACAATAACCAAAGATCAATTCACCAATTCTGGATGAATAAACCAAGGTTCAATTTCCAAGGTCATAAAGTAGGGTAAGATTCCAAAGTCCATACTGTTTTTTCACTACAATTAGTACCTCCCTAAGTTAAAAAAAGACCTTAAAAGTTTAAAAAAATGAAACTTTTTTTTCTGTAAACAACTACCATTTACTATATTCTAATTTTTTAGCAGATAGTACCCTGGCTGGTGAAGACATCTGATGTGTAGACACAGTCCCTGTCCTCATGTTGTTTATAGTTGTTGGGAAAGACATGCAATGAATAATTTTAAGTGTAAGACTTGTATTACAAGGGAAAGAACAAAATTTCACGGGCACTTCCCAAAGAGACTAATATAATCTAAGATCTAGAAAGTTCTTTCAGAGTAATAAGGCCAGAAATAAGAAAGAACTATTTTGACCCCAAGAAGATCAATTCAATTATGTCAGAATCTAGAAAAGAGATAAACATTACAAAAAAGAAACAACTAGCCATAACTCTCCTGATGAAAGAACACATCAACAACCATGTAACAGTAGTGGTGGCAGCATTTAACCTTCTAATAGTAATTTTACAGAAAATACTGATCCAGAGGAATGTGTTAAACTATACCAGGGAGGTGTAAGCAGAAAAATCTAGACAGGGAAGCTGTAGAACAAATGATCCAGTTCCTTCACCAAAGATATTAGAGGAAGAGAGAGAGAGAGAGATGGACTGGGGAACCTATAGGTTAAAATAGAGTTAAAAGACTCTATAACAATTTCAGTATGTGGACCTTATTTAATGGATTCTAACTCAAACTTACTTAGAAAAAAAAATTATGGCATTTATGAGAAACAATTTGAACACAATGGATATGTTCTAATATTAAGGAATTATTGATGATTTTTATTAGGTGTGACAATGTAGTTTTGTTTAGAGAAAAAATCTTTTTATATTTAAATTTTTATGGATAAAAGGAACTCTGAGATTTGCTTCAAAATAATACGAGAAGGAAGGAAGTGGATGAGGGTAAAGATGAAACAAGATCAGACATCAGCTAGGAACTGAAGCCACTGATGAAGACATGGGGGTTCACTACACTATTCTAATTTTTACATTTGAAATTCTCGTAGGGGAAATAAAGGAGAGTACAAAAGGGTAACTCTTATTTCAGGATACTGCATCAGTTTGAGTTGGTTATTAAGATTTTTAAATGAACTTGACATTTTGGTTATTTTTGAAGTCAAAATTTATCTCCCTGGGGCTTCCTACTGTCCCTACCCTTCCTCCCATATAAGCCAACCAACATTAGAGATGATCAAAATTATTGTTGCTAGTTTAGCATTTAAATCTATCTAGCAGTAATACACTGTCCATGAATGTAAAACACCAGATTTTCAAGGAAAAGGTTTCACTGAAAGACGAAGTTGTTAGGATTAGGTTCAGTTATGAGTAACAGTAAACCCAAATCAGGGGTTTAAATAAAATGTAAGTTTATCTCTCTCTGATGTGCATGATGGTTCCCAAGTCAAGGACTTTTCTACTTTGTTGCTTCATATCCTCAGTATGTGGGGTTCCTGCCACCATGATGACATCTCAATCAACAAGAAAAAGGGATCCTATTAAGGACACTTTCCAAAAGTCCTAATATACTTCTGCTTATATCCCATTGGACAGAACTTTGTCAAATTACCACAAGGAAGGCCGAAAAATGTTGTTTTAATATACTGTGGGTAATGTAACCAGCCATAAATCTGTTTAAAGCCCAGAAGGAGTTTTAAAATAAAGAAAAACTGATCCAAAAAAGTTCCATTCAATATGGCTATAACTGAAAGGGGGATAAGCAGAAAACAGTTTCTTAGCATTTCACTAGTAACATATACAACACTTCCAATGCAAAATATTGTGGATATTTGCAGCTAACATTTTCTAAGAACTGGGCAACTAAACGGACGTTTACTTTATTTAACCTTAGAAGTCCCACCGGTCAGTACCATAAATACACCCTACTTAAAGATGAAGAAATGGAGAATAAGAACTTGCTGAAGGTCAGATAAACTGCTGGAAATGTCAGAATTGGGATTCAAAGCCAGGTCATCTAGCTCCACTATATAATTCACCCACCTCTACCTCTTAGCTTACTATGTACTCATAAAACCAAGGGAATAAAGAGGCATGTGTGAAATTCAGGAAGAGATCCTACACAAGAGAGACAACAAGGATTCCCGAGGATGTCAGGGAAATGAGAGTCCGAGGCCACAGATGAATAGCAGGCCCAGTGTAAACCAGAGCAGGTCATTAAGATCCCAAAGAGACTTTCTTAGGAAGATGAAACCAATGGAATACCTGAAGTGTCTAAAAACTGAGGGGAAATTTAGACAACTGAGGAAAATTTTAGAGTTGAAATAATATAGAATATAGAATATAAATATAGAATAAAAGAAAAAAAAGAAATAAATATAGAAGATTAAGCAAACAGAAAAACCAAGACAACTAATACCTAGAGAAAAAATGCTAAGCAATATCATGTAATATTCTACGTGGCTAAGCTAAGAAAAGTATTTATATAGTGACAACAATGTAGATAACAAAAAAATGATCTTCAAAATTATCCTATCATTAACTTCTATTAGTAGGACCAGGGAATAGGAAATGGGCATGGGAGGGGAGTCTGACATTGACAGTTAATCTCACCATAATGTTATAATGTCATGTCAACAGATAAGACCTAAAACAAAAATTAAAAATAGCCTTATGCTTATATTACCTAGAGATATGGAAGTGATAAGAATCAGACATAAGAAGTGACAGCAGTTATTTGAAGTGTGGGAAACAGGCTGGAGAAGGGGATGAATGGATTTTTGGAGGAAACAAGCATGTAGAATTTAACTTGTTAATCCAAACACATGAATAATAAAAATCAAAACTTATCTTCATAAGTGGTGTGTATGTTTGTATGTGAAAGAGACAGGCCAGCACTTAAGGAAATTTGTAAGAATACTCTACTATGTTACTGTTTTCTAAAGACAAAATGCATGTAAGAATTCTATACATTACTTAGCCTCACCAAAAAAGGATTTTAAGAAATGAAAATACTCTGTAAATGCAGGATCTACTAGTAAATCTAAAGTTACTGATGAACATAGAAAATATGGTCCTATTTATATAATATGAAATATACAAATGGATGCCCAAATAGATGCTCAGTAAAGTCTTACGTGATGGGTATCTTTGGTAGAATTACCACTAACTTTATTCTTTGTTATTGAAGGTACTATTTTAGACAAAGAAAAAGCATTCCTCAAAAAAGAGATAAAGCTTTTTTTTATTTTTTCTGGGTGGAAGGAAAAAAAAAAGAAAGCAATTCCTACTTCCTGGATAACTGCATGGAAAAAAAAAAAAGAATATCAATATGGCCCTGATTACGATCACTTTGATTAAAAACTCAAGTATCACTCTAAAGACTTTTTTCTTTTAAAAAGTCACAAACTGAAGTACCTCTCTCCCACCACAGTGTGTCACTCTTACAATACAAGTATTTTTGAATTTCGATGGGGGGGAAGGGGGGGATTGTTTAAAACCAGATTTAACCCTCCACCTAACGAGTAACATTTTTAAGGACAGAGTCCTAATCTTATTCACAGATACAAATACCTGGCAGCAGCCGACAAAGTGCTCAGAATGCATTTATAAATGTTTATCAAACTTATACAAATTAAAATAAAGCTGAATTGGGCGCCTGGGTGGCTCAGCGACTGCCTTCGGCTCAGGTCATGATCCTGGAGTCCCGGGATCGAGTCCCGCATCGGGCTCCCTGCCCAGCGGGGAACCTGCTTCTCCCTCTGGCCCTCCTCTCTCTCTCTCTCTCAAAATAAATAAATAAATCTTTAAAAAAATAAAATAAAATAAAATAAAGCTGAATTTACTGAAAATCATCCTATCAGGAAGGAAGTAACATGCATTACAATGCTTTATGTGACAAACTTAAGACATTTTACAGTAACAACTGAGAAAGCAAAAAAGAAAACCTGGGGTCCAAGTTACTAGTAAACGGGAATTGCATAATGAGGAGCATAAAGTATTTTAACATGAACTAAAACCTGGGTTGCATTGTTAAGGATCAAGGAAAACTGCATCTACACTGACCTAAATGTTAAGGAAGTAGATGCATCTATGAAAAGTTTTTAGGTTGAGTTATCCATGAATGAGTTTCTCATGAATCTTGCTTTGGTCAGCAGCATACATTACATCCTGATTAAAGTATAAAGATGCAACATCATAAGATTAATACAGATAAAATAGCATCCCAAGGCACAAGGCTAGACAAAAACTCAGTTAAGTGGTTAGTGAAGGTTAGTGAACTGATGCAATCAAACGAGTGAAATTTGGCAATTTTAATAAAAATCCCAATTTTACCACATTAACTGTACATGTTAAACTGACATTATTGGTTTGCTGTATTTCCAAAGTCTACAGGGTTTGATGTTGTGGTTTCTTACAACACATACTATACTACTATTAAGCAGAAAAATGAGATGGAAAAATTATGAAAAAAATCTGACAAACAGCATTTAAATTCTGATTCAAAGAAAATAGGTATAAAGCTGCAAACATAAACAATTGTACACAATGCACTTACTGTGCTAAAGAAACACATTTTACTCATGTAAAATAAGGGTGACTAGCATATCTTACAGCATTTAATGTTTAAAAAGTGTATTTCTCTGAAAAGGAAAGTCATAACTGAGGTACTTTTCAAATTTTGTTTTAAAAGGCACTGTAAACATAATTTGCACATTTGAACTATTTTTATAAGACAATGAAATACTAATGATTACATTAACCTACCAATGTTACAGACTTCATTTTTAACAAAAATCATAATTAAAACATGAGTACTTGATTTGTTGGCTCAGTATGCATTTTTAACTGAAATATAAATGACTTTTAAAATTCTGATAAATTCCCCAATCCTTAAGACAAAATAAGCTTCAACAATGTTAAGACTACTATCATTTACATGCTAATCTTAATATATAATGCCATGTAATTGTCATTATAGTATGACTGAGTGTCATAATTAAAATTTCAACTAATTCTCATAGGAATTTCTAAAAACAGTAGCTATGAACACAAAAGTCATGTTTTTTCTTTTATTTCTTTCTGAAGTTGTTTAGAGGTACATTAAACCTTTCTGAATAACAGGAAAGGAGTATACCATATACAGTTTTTTACTAAAATGTACATAATATTAACTTTACCTTTGATGATTTTAAGATGAAATTGCTCTCTAAATCAGTCACACTGAAAATTCTAAAGTGACTGAAAGTAGAAGCTTAAAGTTTTACACAAATTAAAATTCAAAGCTTATATACACAGATGTGCTAATGTTAACTGTTCATGTCCAAAAACTCTTCATTTACCTACATTTTTCAGAACAACAAAACCCTGTTTTTTGCTGATGTAGCAAGTTTACTTTTTAACTGTTACATAAAATAACCAACATTTAAATAAATAGCTGGCAAAAAAATCTTTGTGTTCAATTTTTAAAGAGGGGGCAAGATACAATAGGAGATTTACCTAGGTAACGCATAATCCACAAAAATTTCATGTTGAGGCTAATTTAAATTATGCCAATTAATTAGCAGGGGAACTATGCTTTCTACATTAAAAGCACCTGGCACACATAAGTCTGGTATAACTTACTTTTACTGTAAGATATTTGGGCAAGTAGTTACAGTTACTAAATACAGTGGTGTAGATAAATGCATTCCTTATTAAATAAATTAGAATCCCAACAAGCCTGAGCAACCGACTCTGCAATAACATAGGAGACCATTAAAGATTAAAAGAAAGAAGAAAAGCAAGAAAAGAAGAACAAGAAAGCCCTTCAGCAAATACTTTAACAAATAAATCACTCAGGCAAAGCCAAACAAGTTTTGAAAGGACCTGCTTTGACAGATGTTCTCTGGAAAAGCAAAGGCTTTAGGCAAACCAAATGGCTTTATTTATTTTATTTTTTTAAGCTATGAAATACCAGTAATGTTTATTTTTCAAATATCTTAATTTTTTAAAAAATGCTTTTCAGAACCACTGTTCAGGGACCCTCCCATACTGCCACTTTAAAGATACTTATTAAGGGAACTTATGCTCTTACAGATTTGTCACAAGTATAAAATTAACCACAAAACAACTTTACTCCTTAAGATAGGGAATAAAACTGCCTTAAAATTTCTAAAGCTTCAAGAGGCACTTCATCTTCGAAAGCTGTAAAAAATCATCCATATTGCTTTCACAGCAGGGCCTGTATATAATTCATGCTATAAAAGCCCACATTCTCACAAAAGTCAAGGCAAAATTGAAAAGACAGAGTTCTTATATTTCTCTGTATGAATAAAATTTGCTCACTGAGACTTATAAAACTCAAAATACAAGTATTTGGATAACACTTGCTTATAGGAAATTGAATTCCATAAAAGGATCATGCAAAGTGTACTTACCAGTTGCTTATGCCTTCCCTTCACCTAACGCTTGAATTCTAGGCTTCACATACTTTTTTTTCTATCTTTTCCAATTAAAAACGCTGCAGCCTGCTACACTCCATAAAATGGCCGTGTTGTTTAACCAAGAAAAACATGTTAGAGATTTAGCTGTTATTTTTAAAAGAAAAAGAAAATAAACACTTGCTTCTTTTGTGGTGAAGCATAAAACACTTAGGCTGGCATCTTGAATCATGGAGCTCCCCTGGACGTTGCTGTTGCTCTTCAAGTAGTTGTAAAATTTCTGCCATTCTTGCTTTCTGCATGGTGTCTCAGCAGTAACAGATCAGAACAGGCTAGCAAACAACTCCTTCCTAAATGTAAGCTCTAATTTCTTCTTCTGCAGTGAAATGAACCAAGTTTCTATGCAAAAGAATGAGTGACAGTATGCCCAGCCAATCAGCTTGGGTTTTTTCAGAAAATCACCCCTTAATTCATTCAAAATTAGGTCATATGACACTATTTGAAATACTATTGGCTTACAATGAAAGTAATGTTTGCCTCTACACAGGATAAGGCCACCCATCTATGCCTCCCTGGGCTGAAGACACCTTGACTATAAACGGTACTGTGAATTAAACACACACACACACACACACACACACACACACACAGGGGGAAAAAATGTAGCCTTACCAGAGCTTCCCAACTATTAAAGGGCCGGAGTTCTGTTATCTTCTGAGCCTTTTTCTGAGAACACTGAGGAATCAAAGTAAGTTCACCAATTGAAGCATCTTGAAGAAAGTGAAGAATTTTACCCTTATAGCCATCCTCCATCACTTCTTCACCACTACTGTAGTCCTCATCTAGTGAACTACCCACATCAGAGCCCGAATCGTATTCAGAGTCTTCAATAACTCTCTTAGGATTAAATACATTTTTTTTACGTTTCTTGTTAAAACCATTTTGTGGTTTCATGGAACATTTCTGTTTCAGTTTTGTTTTAGCTGCATTTTTAGGGTAATTCTGACTTCTTGAGGAAGCTTCTTTTCCATTTGGAAATTCACTTTGTGAAGCATACTGCATATCTGTGTAGGAAGACAAAAATAACTAAGTTAGAAAGATATAAATCAAATATAAATATAAAGATATAAACCCTCAAATAAGAAAAAATTACCTAAATGTGTTATTTTCCCTTTGAATACAGAATTCAACTATAATTTGTTAAATCTTGATATGCTTTAAAGAGAAATACTGAAGTGAAATTTGAAGTTGTACGGTGAGTTGAAATAATTAGCTTCAAAAACAGGTGATTACTAAAAAAAAAAAAATGAATAAAAACCCCCATTTTCTAACAAAGGTTCTGAGAATATAAATGGCAGCTGCATTTCTGTAAGATATCCCAGATGCTACTTAGCAGCCCCATCTTCATGCCAACACTAACAGGTATAGCAAAAACATGCTCACCCTAAATTAAAACCATTCCTATTACATTAATTTTCCATCGCCCTGTCCATCTATTGAAATATACTATTATTAAAAAACATTGCAACTTTATCACTGGTTAACCTATCATACTCCATAGGTTTCTAAGATGCCTGTGATTGAAGATAACTCTGTTATTTCTTACCAGTTAATCTATTACATAATACTTCACTGTTTAGAATGTCTGTTTTACTTACTCAAAGAGCTTTCAGACTTATACACTGATTACCATACATTCATATGCACATATAAAAGAAAAATAAACTGGGATAAGGTAGTTCTCAAATTCTTCACATTCATAATCTATCTCTTTTGAATTTTTCAGACACAGAATTGGTGATATTGGTGGCTTTTTTTCCCCCACACAATCTCATTCTCTGTGCCATCAAGAGCACTGGTACTAAGGTATTTCTTAAAATAATTTATTAAAAAACAAAACCAAGAAAACCTAAAACCACTGTACTGGGTTTTTAAAGCTGGTTTTGTAATCAAGCAGGAATCAATTAGATCAGCTCTTCATAAGGATGTTACTAAACATGTGTGATTCAACTCTTCTCCACTATTTCCCCTCTAACATTTGGTTCTGAGAGTTAAAAGTGCTCCAATACAGGTTTAGGGACTTTCTTCCATGCCAGTGATATTCATCTTTTAGGTTTCTGATACTGGTGCTTCTGATTATTCATGTAAGAGCAGGCTAGGACACCTACATTACAGGGATTATAAACCACCAGCAATCATAAAATCCATCCTGTGTGCTGTTAAAATATAAAAAATGTTCCTTTTATATTCAATAAAACATGGTAATTTAAAAGTAGCCTTAACTATCAAAAAAAAAAAAAGCCAAGTGGAAAGACATTTACTATTTCATTTTACACTGCCATTAAAGAACAAGCCAAAACATTTGGAAACTGCTCATTTAAAAATTTTTTACATCATTATTTCCAAGATCTTTTGCAATCCCATTCTCTGATAATTACCTAATAGGTTTACATTTTCTTATATTCCAAAATACAGAACATAACAGGAATTATGTGTTTTCTAGGACAGAAGAGCTAATTACCTTGGTCTTCTGCAAACACTTTTAAAGATTCTAAAGCTTCTGTGTACATCCATTCATGTTCCTTGAGTACTTCCCTTAGTTCCTAGAAATAAGTCATTGATCTTTCTGTTAAAAATCTAAAATTAGCAACTTGTAAAAAACTTTTATGCTCTTTTAAAAATAAGTAAATCACTTGAAAATTCATATCTGATTATTTCACATTTGTTTATATGCTGCTTTACAAATTCTTTGTGTGTATAAAATTTCACCTCTGCGAATTTCTAAGTCTTCAAAGTAAATGAAGCTAGACTTTTTCTGCATTTCTATTCTCCCTATGAAGGTTCTGAACACATGAGGATCAAAAATGTTTGTTCAATTAAACTTATCATGCAGCTAGGCTTTTTCAAACTGCCAACTTCAAAACATATAGTTTCAACACATGTAGAGAACCAACCAACAAGATTTTGCAGTTAGCTTATCAGAATTCAGCAGATGTACTACCCGTGCATGTACCTGAATAAATCAATTCAAGTGTGAACGTACTCTAAATGTTAAACAAATAATGTGCTTCTACATACAATCATGTGATTGAAGAGAAGCAAGTTTGGCATGAATCTTTATACAGACTCTGAAAGCATTCTTACTACTTAGCAAGTAGAACAAAGCTTATGGAATACTAAAGTACTGAAATGCAGTATTATACTTTAAGATTATTTTTTTAAGTTTATTTTTTTAGTGATCTCTACAACCAATGTGAGGCTTGAACCCACGATCCTGAGATCAAGAGTCATGTTTTTCTGACTCAGTCAACCAGGCACCCCTAACCCTTTAAAACTAATGATGTAATGTATGGTGATTAACATAACAATAAAAATTAAAAAAATAAAATTCTTAATGAAAAATTTAAAGGACAAGAATATGAAAAAAGCGAAAACGGTTGACTTGGCTTTCTACATACTCACATTTCATATATGAGTTCCAACTGTTATGTTTGTTATGATTATGATTACTGTGCTGATAAAGTTAGCAATTAAGATAAATAAACAACGTAAAGAATTAACAAGCAGTATAAAAGTATTTTATAATATTGATAAAGGAGTATATTTAATTAGGAAAATGCAAAACACACCCTAAGCTTTTCCACAGTTTTTCTCAAACACTATTTTGTTCCAAATATTTAGTACACACTGATTATATTTCTGTCCACGACCACCTACCTGTTTATCAAAATTGGGAAATTCCTTTTGCAACTTCAATACAATACTTTCTTGCTTTTCCCAATTACTACTAGATTCTGCAGACTCATTTGATTCCTCTCCCTAATGGAAAGAAAAAAAAACCAATTAAGGAGATCATCTATAACGCTAACAGTCTTAAGACAATTACATTTATATTTGACTTGATTTGGAACTTACCACATTAAGAATTCAAAAATGTTTCTTGTGAAAACTGACAAATTTGTATCTTTAAGGATAAAAAATATTGCTGCTTTACGATCACAAAAAGACCTTTACTGCCTATCCAATAGCTCACACTTCATTCACGAACACTCAAAATGAGATAAATCTGCAAAAAGACTAGAATGTTCCTCAAATTATTCTAAATAATTTAGGTATTTTGAAGTATATTTGCTAATGGCAAATAAAAAAAAATGATTCAAATATCTCATCTATGCTCACACTTTTGTACCTCCCTACAAATTTCAAATACTGAGAGAAAAAAGTTTACTTTTCATTTGGTGCTGATTCACAGAATGGCTTAAGTATTAATTGTTCAGCCTTAACAAAAAAGTAACATGAATGATAAAGAAACTTATGTGAAGCCAAAACATTAATCTGGGAATAATTATAGTTACTCATATAATCTCTTCTTTGTCACTTGACTTAAATAAACTGGTTAAAATTCCACATTTAAGGAGCACCTGGGTGGCTCAGTCAGTTAAGTGTCTGACTCTTGGTTTCAGCTCAGGGCATGATCCCAAGGTTGTGGGATCAAGCCTCACGACAGGCTCAGTGGAAGGTCTGCTTGAGATTCTCTCCCTCTCAAAATAAATAAATCTTAAAAAAAAAAAAGATTCTTGGGGTTCATGCATAAGAAAAATCTTGCATTTCAGTCAATCAAAAATACTTATCTAACTCTGCTTAGAAGTATACCACATGCCATATAATCAAGATATAGAAAAATACAGCCTCATGTTTTCTCTTCTACCTCCTTCTTATCCAACAACTAAATGTTATTTTTCCTTCCCCACCCAAAGTAGAAATACTAAATTGTGAGTGATACCTCTGCTGTACAGAGGTGTAAGATGGAGTTCCACAAGACAGACGCAAATAAAATACTATGGAAGTTTGGAAGAGGAAGAAAAAAACTCCATGTGTTTTTGTAATAGTGAATGGCCCATTTGGGTTGAAGCACAGAGACCATGGATAGGCTACTAGGCTGAAAAATTAAATCAGAGCTAATACTGCATTTGGCCTGCAGTGCTAAATTGAGCTCAGCCTTTATTAAGAAAGCAAAGGTTTTGAGCTGGAGAAAAAAACACTAATACATGGAGAAAGCATTTCAAAACTCTCACAAATTCATACTGCCATCCTCACTTAACAGCTGAAGACACTGAAACGCCAAGAATAAACCTTTTAGGTCATAGATAGATAATAACTATCTGAGGCAGGAATAGAAACTTAGGTATCTAACTGTACACTGCTGTTTTTCTACTATGTAAATGTTTCCTAAACCTTAGTCATTCACATAGCACATTCCTGTCTATCAAAGAATGAATGGATAAACAAACTGTAGTATATACGTAAAATACTATTCAGCCTTAAAAAAAGAAGTACTGATACTTGCTACAATGTGGATGAACCTCCAAAAACATTATGCTAAGTGAAAGCTAGACACAAAAGGTAACATTGTGTGCTTCTATTTACATGAAATATCCAGAACAGGTAAATCTAGACAGAAAGCAGACTGGTGGCTGCCCAGGGCTGGGGGAGGGGGGGAAAGAAAGGAGAGAAACGACTTAAAAGGGATGGCAGGCTAGTATGGGGTGATAGAAAGATTTTGGGACGGGATGGTAGACTAGCAATGAACTGTTCATTCTTAAAATGGTTAATTTTATGCTATGTGAATTTTACCTTAATAAAAAAAAGTCTGATGTTTGGAAAGCAGTAAATATCTTTTGGGAATCAAATTAAACATTCAGTAGATGGTATACCTCTCATTTGCTGTCTGCTCTCAGATTTTAACACTTCTGCCAGCTCTGCTAATCCCTGGTGGCTTAAAATACCTATGCGATCCAGTGGTAACACCAGAGCTTTACACAAGACAGGTGATACACAGAGTCTGGGCCGAAATCTGTCTCAGTGGGCTGTAGGGTTATGAATTAATCTTGTGGTTATTTTTCCCATTCCAGAATGCACAGCTGGAGCAGATATATTTAGGACTGGCAGCAATCTCATATTAGCTCCTTGGCCCACGAAGTAAGGGCCATTATTGTAGGAAAAAAACAAATCCAAGTTCCTAAAACCGAGGGGCAGAGGAAGGGGTAGGAAGAGGAAGAAGAGAAGTACAAGCAGCAGCAGCAGCAAAAGCATATTCCTCAAGGAACTGAGAGATGGTATCACCATCCCATCCCAATGAAATGGGCCTCCTTGGCCTATACAAGACCTAGATGATGGGTTTTGGGGGATTACTTCAGGTTATCATAAACAAAGAGGTGATGACCCCGATTTTTACTACTAAACCAGATGTGGTATTTTTACTGGAGCAAATCAATAACACTGTGTGTGCAGTTATCAATCTGTCAGATGCTTCTTCCCCCACTGTCCCCATCCCAATTAGAAAGGACAAGCCAAAGCAATTGTTTTCATCTGGGCAGGGTCAGTGATAGATGCACCTTCACTGTCTTTAGGGCTATGGTAACTCTCTTGCTCTTTCCTCATACAGTACTCTAGGACTGATAGTTTTGCACAGTGCACAGAATTCACATTAATCATCTACACCAAAGACATCACACTGACCGGACCTGGTAGGCAGGAAGCAGTGGGTACCTTAGTAAGATACATGCATGTCAAAGAGTGGGGAATAACCCCCCTCAAATTCTGGGGACCACCACTTTCATGAATTTTATGAGGGATCCAATCTGGGGCATGTTGCAAATGCCATTCAAAAAAAAAAGGAAAGAAAAAGGGTGCATACTGTTTAACTCTATAAGAAAGAAGCACAACACTTGGTCGGCCTCCTTCGATATTGGAGGCAAGGTACACTTTGTTATGGTGTGTGCTGCTTAATCTGTTTACAAACTAACTCTTTAACACTGTCACAGTTATGAATGGGGCCCACATGAAGAGAAGACTCTGTAGCAGTCCAGGATACAGTACAAGGTGCTCTGCCACTTGGGTTTCTTGACCAACAAGCAGATGCAATGGTCTCAAAGAACCTGTGGCTAATAAGGATGTTGTATAGTGTCTGCAGAAAGCCCTAATAGGAAAATCACAGCAGAGACCCATAAGCTTTTGAAGCAAGGTCAGGTGTCCTGCTGAAAACTACAGTCTGTTCTGCTACATGACATATGCAATTCCAAAATTACCGCACTGTGCAAAATCATGAAAATGATAAACTACAGTGTTTAAGAAAAATCATGTTAGAGGCACAACATTCAAAAACTTCATCAGTGACACACTAAAAAAAGAAAGGATTGTGCTTAAAACAGGGTAGCACAATTTCACATACATTAAATGGTTAAGAAATACATAAATACTATAATAAATATGAACTGAAGTCTGCTTGGGGGCGTTAGCACTGGAAGGTACTGTGAGGTACTGTGAAGTGGTAGAAGGGTTATCTGAAAATAACAAATTTGTTAACACCAGCTATGGAATGCCATGGCTCACTGTGTTATCTCTGCAATATTGGCTGAAAATATAAATAAGAAATTATAAAATAAACAAATATGTATTTCTGCTCCTTTGAGAGCCCCTCCTTTCATACTAATGCTGTCTATATGTTTTTTTTTTTTTAACTTATTTATTTGAGAGAGAGCACGCACGTGCATGCAAGCCAGGGGAGGGGCAGAGGGAGAGGCAGAGAATCTTAAGCAGACTCTGAACCAAGCGCGGAGCCCAATGTGGGGCTTGAACTCACAACCCTGAGATCATGACCTGAGCTGAAATCGAGCTGGATGCTTAACTGACGGAGCCATCCAGGTGCCCCTGTCTGTATGGTTCTAAATTCAACTGGATGCTATGCATGACTCTTACTACATTCAGCATTAAAGCCATTATCTTTAAACCAGTACAACTGTTTTCAGTAACACTTAAAACACCTGCTAACGTGATGTGTTAAGCTGTCATGGTGTAGCCTTTTAGTCTTCACCATCATTGTCATTGTCACCTTCTGCATTCATAAGGCCAGCAGCAGCAAATTATTGCAAGAGTTCTGTGGTTAGATCATCAGAGTGGGACCCTAGCTCTTCATCACCTCCAGTTTCTACTTCTTCCAATCCAACCTGCTTTCTTAACATAGCTTGTTCTAAGTTTTAAAAACTTCTCTAAAGAATCAAAATCTTTCAAAATCACAAATAAATCAAGGAGAGTTTTCCACCACACAAATGCAAACACTCTTTTATCACTCCAGGCTTTTACAATGGTAGCAATGAACATTCTGATGTTAAATCTATTCCCAAATTCTATAATCACATCTGCATTCTTTTGGTAATAGCAATTAGCATCTTAAATGGTCACTTTAAATAGTAAGCCATAAATGATGTAATCACACTTTTATCACAGGGCTATCTCAGAGGGGTGGTTTCTGAGGCAAAAAGAAGAAAAAAAATGGGGTTGAGTTCGGTTTTTGTAAATAGGCAGGCTTGATGCATTATAAGAGTTTTTAAGGAAAGGTTTTTTCACTTGCTTTTGTTTTTACAATAACTCTCTTACAACAGACAAGAATTAAGTAAAAATATCAATGCAGATTTGGGCAATCCATCCATTTTTCCTATACCTGTAGTGAACTCTAAGGCTGACTTTCTTTTAAAGGGCTCAGCTCAGTTTGGTAAGTAATAAACTACTATTGGTTTTAGCTCTAAGTCTCTACCTGGCACTCGTGCTGAACATCAAGTAATGCCATCTTTCAAAGCCCCAATTCCTCTTTTCTGTCTTTCAGATTTGGGACTTGTAAGGCAGGCATTTGTAACAGATACCTGTTTTGTCAAAATTTAGAGTTTAATTCAATGTATAGTTGTTTCCTTTAGTTTATTTCTGTATCACACCTGGAAAATTCTTTTGCAGCTTTCCCATCTGCACTCATCACTTTGTGTGACAGTTGATGGCTTAGGAATTTGCAGCACTGTCTGAAACTACTAAAGCAACCACTAGTGGCACCAAAAGAAGCTACTTCTGCAGGATACAGTTATTTCCTTAAAAAGGCTTTGTATATAAAGATCCATATGGAAAAGGGTGTTCCTGATTTTTTCACTCTTTGATCTTTAATTCAAATGCTCAACCATCTTTACTCTTCTCCTATTTCTTTATGCCTATCCCAGCATTTCATGATAGGCCGGCTGTATTATATTTGTGGCACTGTCTCTGATGCTTCACAATGTGGATTCCTTTATGCCTGTTGCTCAGGATATAGCATATCCTTATTTCTTCCCAAATGTTTGTTTCAAGCTTTTCTTTAACACTTAAAACTTTCCTTTTGTATGTACTGACTGATATTCTTGAACGAGATTGCTTAGATATGTTCGGGATGTTGAACAGGTGCTTTTTTCCCAAAAAGTCCACCATTGTGAAAGAATAGAAACACAGGCTCATGGGATAATAAACATGGTAAAATGAAGCAGCCAGTAATGTTTGGGGTGTGTGCATTTTATGTATTCCTATGTGGCCCAGTGCAGCTGGGTACAGTGTTCTGTGTTCATCTAGTACTTCTCATGAACAAAACTGTACCATAAATTAACACAAAATTTAGGCTACACTAAAACTGCTGTTTAACATATTTACTGCACTGGAACAAATTCACCTTTTAAAAACAGAATGGACTTATCTCTCTTCGTGAAACAACTGTTGGCTTGATAGGGAGTCCTGACAGGAACAGAACGGTTGGCCATGGGACATTAAATGACCATGAGACTTGAGCTGATGTGATCTGATTATCTCATCTACCAAGCCTAAAACTGGGCATGAACAGCTGCAACCCATCATCAAAATGGGAGACTCAAATTGAACTTGAGCAGGTTCAGGAAGCACAAATAAGTTGCATGTGCAGGAGTCCCAGACTCCCATAGTACCTACTTCTGCTTTACTGCTGCCCCTCCTTCAACCAATATCTATGGCACTTTTGGGAATTCTTTATGATCAAATAATGAGGGAAAATCTTGAAATTGGTTTTCAAAGGGTTTACATACTGTTAGAAGCAGCCCAAAGTGAAGTAAACTGCTATGATTTAACCTCTTTTAAAAGAGTAGCCCTGTGCACAACTTAGGGCAGTATATCTTACTGTCCCTTTTGTATAGAGAGAGATGGCCAGATGTATAGAGCTATGATATATTATGGACAGAAGCCAAGGAGGAGAGTAATAAGAATAAAAGATCAGTAACCAGAAGTCTGGGAAAGAGGTGCACTGTTGAACTTATCAGGAGTTTTTCTGAGAACAGAATGCAAGGGAAACAGTCTTCCTTGAGAATGTTCAGCAAAGGCCATCTACTACAGAGGGAATTTTTAGTAATCAGATAGACAAGATGATCTATTCTGTGAATACCAATACCACCACAGCCATCTGAATGCTTGCCCAATGGGTCTACATACAAATGGCCATGGTAACAGGAATTGAGGCTGTGCATACAAATCAACAAGAGAGTCCTACACCAAGTTTATCTGACCATTGCTACCAACAAATACTTAACTTGCCAAGAGCAGAGGCCAACAATGAGTTTCCACAATACCACCATTCCTTGGGAGAGTCAGTCAACTGTCTGGTGGAAAGCTGATTACACTGGACCCCTTTCATCATGGAAGGGACAGTAACAGAAAACTACCGTAAGCTGCCTTTCCTCTCTACTTGCTTCTAGCAATATCAGTTATGGGCTGAATTCTGTCTCTCCAAAATTCATGTGACGAGTAACACCCAGTAGCTCAGAATGTGACTTTATTTGGAGACAGAGTCTTTACTGAGATAATCAAATTAAAATTAGGGTGAGCCCTAATCTGATGACTGGTGTCCTTACAAAAAGGAGAAATTTGGAGACAGACATGCACACAAAGAGCACACAATGTGATGACGAAGGCAAGGATCTACAAGCCAAGAAACACCAAAGTTGCCAGCAAACCACGAGAAACAAAGAGAATAATGGAAAGCCTTCAGAAGAAACCAACCCTTCTGACGCACTAGCTTCAGAACTGTAAGACAATACATTTCTGTTGTTTAAGCCACCCAGTCCGTGCTACTTTGTTATGGCAGCCCTAGGAAACTAACATCACATATAGATATAGAGAAAACCTAATTCACACAGTACACTGTAACACCATAATGTTCCTGACCAGGGAGCTAAGAAAAGTGCATCAATGAATTCATGCCCAAGTTCAGTGATTTCACCATGTGCCTCAATACTCAAAAAGCAGCGGGCTTATAGAACAGTGGTACCACTTAGTGAAAATCCAGCACATGAACTTATAGAGAACACGCAAGACTGATGTGTTATTCAACAGGATGTACAAAGAAAGTAAATGCTTTGAATCATCAATATGATGCTATTTTCCCCACAGCCATTATATATAGATCTGTAAAATAAAATGTGGGCCCAGTCTCTTATACTACGGCTGTTCCTCATAGCTAAAAACCCAATCACAGAATTTTTACTTCCCATCAGTATTAGTTCTTAAGAAAAAAATGCTTCCATGTAGGGACATAACACTGTCTCATTAAATTAGGGTAGAGATTGCCACCTGGCTACTCTGGGCGTCTTATACCATTAAATCACAGGTTAAAAAAAAAAAAAGGTTATTATACTAGTTGGGGTAACTGATTTTGATTTTGATTACCAAGAAGAAATTGTGTTGTCTCTAATGCAGGCAGGGAGGACTATGTCTGGTTTCACTGGGAGGCCTCTCAGTGGTTCTATTCATAAAGTGAAAGTTAATGGAAAACTATAGAGTAACCCAAAAAAAGCATAACCGTAAATATTTTTAGATAAGCAGTTAAATATCAAAGATGTCATCTAGAAGAATTATAAACAGCTGCCACTGAGGAGGAGGAAATGGTGCTGGTGGTGATAACAGCCATTTTTCTTAAGTGTTCAATTATATATTCAAAGTGTATTTTCCCAAAGTTACTTTATCATGCCACTAAAATGTTTTTAATAATTGATTTTATAACTCAGAGATAAGCAATTAATACCAGATAAATTAAAAAGAAAGCAAAAAGTCATAAATGAAATGTAAACACATTCTGATTTGGCTGTGAAAAAGGAGTGATTCATTTAGGTCTAATATCCACAGATTCAAGATATTCTATGCCTAACAGCTGATTTTGATACTGAAGTTCAAATGTAACTTACGTGATCCAGTCTTTTCTTTTTCATAGACTGATCATCATTAAATTCATCTTCCTCATATGGCTCCGAAGAAGAAGATAATTTTCTTTTCCTGGGTCCACCACCTTCTAAAACAGAGAAGAACAATCAAAGCCTGCATAGTTATTATAAGAAGCATTAATGTAAAATAAAGGCAAAAATGTTATTATAATGAATACATGTGTAGACAGTTCTCTTGACATCAGGCCCAATGTTATCTCTTCTACTTATCTTGTATACTCAGTAAATGCCAACTGAATTAAAGGAAAAATAAATAGAGACTTTTATCAGTCTTTCAAAAGTAGAAATCACTATAATAATGTTATTTGTAAACCATCATGTTACTTAACAATAACATACATCACTAAACTGACGGGTAATTCTACAGAGCAATATTGAAAGGAAAGGGTTCCCCCGGTGACTTAGTGTTCAGCAGTGAAAATAAGTTGAGCCCTATCAGTGTAGCTTATTTGAATAATTGTTTACTATGTACCAGGCTTTGAGGGCTTTTATTAACCGTTGTTATAAACTTCCACAATAAACTTACAAAATAGGTAACAGTCTCTCTCATTTAACAGATGAGGAAGTGAGATATAGACAGCTCAAGTGATTAATACTCTTAACCTAAGACCAAGAGAGTGTAACACAGAGGCTATAACAGTGATAGAAAATTTACATATTGTCATAACTGAAAGAAAAACTCAAACTACATGATCTTAATAAGCTATATTATAGGGGCGCATGGCTGGCTCAGTAGGTAGAACAGTGACTCAATCTTGGGGTTGTAAATTCAAGCCCCACACTGGGTATAGAGATTACTTAAAAATAAAATCTTAAAGAAACAAAAAAAGGAAGCTATATTACATATTTGTACTTTGAATACATTTATCTATTTCTTATACACTTTTACTTTCAGAGAGCAAATTCCTCAGACATACTGCTGTGTTAATATGAAACCATCTGCTAAAGCTTACAAAAGTGCAGTATTAATTAAATCAGTACCCTAACTATGCTTTTAGAAATAAAACTTGTAGAAGTACAGTATTCAAAATAAATATAAACATGACAGCTTTTAAGTTGAAAGCCTGAAAATTTTATAATATAGTTGTAACAAAGTAAGAAATGTTATTAAAGTTTTAAAGTATAATTTCATGTAAGTGTGGATGGTTAAATTTTTATTTTCCAATTTATTTCATAAAGTAAATGTGCATTCTGCAGATACCAACTACTTCCCATTATCCACTTTAAAAAGGGATAAAAAAACCCCATATGTTTATTGGGGTAGGGTGAGCACTGTTAGTAACAGTCTAAGTCTGAAAAAAAACTTCGAAAGTGGCTACAGGCAAAAAATTTGCAAAGTGTGGGGGACAAAATACAAACCTAAAATTTTAGTATGAAAAGGTTAAATACAGCACACAATGCTGCCTACATCTAAATCTACTCTATTTATAATTAATTAAAAATTTTGTATGTAACTATGTTATGCTGCGCTCATCTTAAGGGTAGCTACCGATGCTATTACGTATTCCTGACTATATTCCCTGTGCTGTGAGACATGCTCACCGTGTGGTAAATGCGGCATAAGGCATAGCTGTTGAATCACTATTGTACACCTGAAACTCACGTCACACTGTGTGTTAGCTATACATCAATAAAAAAAGTTTTTGCATATATCCAAAGAAAACAAATTAATATTTTACATTAAATAGCACTTCCAAATTGTGTTTCATAAATTCTCATCTTTTATTGGGAGCACCATCAATTTCAGAAAAAAAAAAGTTAAAATTGTACCCCATACCCCAGATGAAAATAAATTTCATCTAAGTTCAGTATTTAACAATAAAAAATAAAACACAAAACTGTATAAAGAAAATAAACAAAGAACACATATAGGCAGTTCAACAGGAAAAGAAAATGAGAAGATGTTCAACTTCATTAATAATTAAAAACAGTTAAAATAAAAAAAATAAAATACCATTTATTTTTCATCCATTAAAAAGACAGTCCTAGCAGACCACAGGCAAAAAAGGCACTTTTAAACATTACACACTGTTATACCCTTTCTGGAAGGCAATGTAAATAATACATCTCAGAATTTTAGATATCTTTTAGTCCAACAATTCCTTCTCTAGGAATTTATTTGACAGAACTGATGGAAATGTGTGCTTAAGTATACATACAAGAATTCTGTCTAAAAGCTTAAGATATTAAACAAGTTAGAACATACACATAAATCCCACTGTTATAAATTAGGTAGACTTTTAAAAATAAACATGGAAAGATGTCTCTAATCAATAAAAAGGTCACAAAGCAGATATATAAAAGGATCACAATCACCTAAAAACGGTTTTACGTATTTTTATAGAAACACAGAGAAGTAGAAGAAATAGCTAGAGACTCCTGACAACATCAATAAATTCGTATTATTACCTTTTAAAACAGGGTAAAACCTTCGGATATATATATATGTGTGTGTGTGTGTATATATATATATATATATTTGTAATCTAGTATTCTTAAATGAAAACTTTCAGAAAGCAATGCATAAAAGGTACCCCTACTGTTTAATATGTGAAATATTATCTGTAAGAGATTATAATTTGTGCTAAAACCAATATCCAACATCATGATGTATAAAACTGTCCAAAACATCTTAACAGATATTTAAAAAGACCTTTTTTGGGAAAGGTTCTAATATATCGAAAATAGTTTCCTGTCTTAATGATACTGTATATTGAAGGCTATCTTAACGTTGGTGAGGCAAAGCTGTCTTTCTATACATCACCTCATAAGTATAATATACTAAAGATGAAGATGACTGATAGGACGGTCTAGTCTATTCCAAGATGAAGCATGAAGTCTACTTTAAAAACAAGAAAACCCTGATTTCTTCTTTCCTTATAACTTTCCACTCAAAAATATTTATTTATCATTAAAGTATGCTCCATGCCCAGTATGGATTATTATTATTATTGTTGTTATTAAGTAGGCTCCATGCCCAGTATGGAGCCTAATGGGGGGCTTGAACTTACGACCCTGAGATCAAGACCTGAGCTGAGATCAAGAGTCGGACACTTAACCAACTGAGCTATCCAGGTGCTCCGAAAATACTTTTTTTAGTTAAGAAATAATATCAATGTACAGTGCAAGAATGAGAATAAGAAAAAAAACTCAGATGAAGTTCAAATTTAACGAGGATTGTGAACTCCATGAAAGCAAAGGTTTTGTCTATTTTGTTTCCTTATATATCCTCAATGCCTAAAACAGCATCTGGCACCTAGTAGTAGATACACAATACATATTTGTTAAATTAATGAATAAGTTCAATGATGTATGTTGCTTGAGAAAAAAGATTAGACACTATTATGGAATAAGGCTTTTTCTACAAATCTGGAAAGATTATGGAATATTGCGGTATTATAAGAACAAGAAAGTATACGTAAAATTTCCCAAACCATTCTGCAACTCAACAAATGTTCAATGAGTCTATCATTTTTCAGCAACTTTTAAAATAAGTGCCAGGGCTATGGTAATGAGGGAGATACAGTCAACCTTCTCCTATACCATTTTCTATCATCAGATGGCCCGTAAGAACAGATGACTAACATTTACTATGTCAGCACAGTTATTTATTATGTGCCACATACTACAGTAAGAAATTTACATTAACTTGATCAATTCTTCACAACAACCTATGAGTTCAGTACTATTATTACGCTACTTTGCTGCTAAGGAAACAGAGATACGGAAGAGTTAGGCAACGCTGCCCAAGGTCACACAGCTAGTACGTGGAAGAAAAGGAAGAACCTTAACATACCGTGTAGGTAGCACCCACACAATACTATTCCCTTGCTCAAATTGAAGAAAATGAAAGACTTAAAATATTTCATATGGATGAAACAATTTCATCTTTGGAATGCATTCTAATAGAATCTACTTGGTTGGAGGTAAAAGTGAGGTAGATATTTGTTGAAGAGGGATGACAGGCCCATGAGAACACACTATGCTATCTTCTATTTTTGCATATATATTTTAGAGTTTCAAAAAATTTTAGGAAGCTAAAAAAATTCACTTAGGGAAATGGGCATTTATTCACACAATGTTCATGAAAAAACAAATTAGCACAACCTTTAAAAAAGTAACATGGAAGTACATATTAAACTTGATTCAGCATCCCAGTTTGAAATTTAGCCTAGAGAAATAATAACATAAAGATTTCCTTATAAGGCTATTTACTTTAGTACTATAATAACAAAATAATGGAGATATAAAGGCTATTTAACAGAGAAATAGTTAATAAACCAATCATATGCGTAGTTACAGAGGAATGTTATGGGGCCGTATTTCAAAATTGGATAAATCTGATTGTTCTGACGAGTTATCCATAATAATTCATCAAGTGATTTTTTTAAAAAATGCAAACCAATACTATTATTGCATTTCCTAGTTAAATGTGTATGCGTGTGTTGTGTAATAGTAGGTACAAGCATAAGAAAAGTTGAAAATGATACAAAGCAAATTTAAGAGTGGTTAATGGAGTGTGGATTTGCTTTCATTCCTTAAATGCTTTTTTGGTAGTGGGATTTAGGTTATTTTTACTTGTTTGGTATATACAAGTTAGGAAAAAAAAAACCAAGACAGTATTTGCTGGGAAAAAAAAAAATGGAGGTGCTTTTATATTGCAAGCTCCTTCAAATGCATTTATTTTTGTATCCCAAGCCTGGAACATAGCATAAATATTTACTAAATGAAGGAATGCTGATTACCAGCTAGGACTTTCCACAAGACATTATGTTCCTACTGACTCAGATTTGTAGACCTGTAAATAAAACCACAATGCAATTAGAAAGGACACTTAAGAAAGAAAATATACCTTCCAAAACTTCACTGTTACGAGATTTGATCTGTAGAAAACAAGCAAAATTACCAATGAAAACCTGCCCCCTCCCTAGGGGAAAAAAAAAAAAATCAACCTAGAAAATTTGGTTCCCAAATAGCTGTATGACCTCAGGTAAGTCACTTAACCTTCTTAAGCTTCAGTTTCTTCATTTAAAAAAAACTGAAGCTATTAACAACTCATAACATTCCTGTAAGAATTCATGAAGGTGCTTGGTAAATTGGAGAGCAGTTATCAAAAATGTGAAGATATTTATTATTATAAAACTAATAAACTGACATGGCTAGAACTAAGTCAGGCCTACCTGCATCACCAAACATCAGCAAGGCGGCAGCAATTGCTCCATCCATAGTGCTTGTTGATTCAATCAACTAACAGAATGAGAAAAGATTGTTTTAAAAATAACACTTTAAGAATTATTTCACAAAAGTCTGTATAACATAAGCACACCTTAAAATGTTATTGGACTTACTCATCATCCCTATGTAGTGAAATATATATTCAAGGTATTCTTAATTTTTTAATTGCAAAGTTCTGCATTAAAGCCTTAAAAACTCCCTACTTATGTGCTTATGTGTCCAGGCAGTGAGAGAGAGGGACAGAGAGAGAGGGAGGAGGGACACTGGTAGACATTTGTATTATTCCTTTTTTATTTATGAAAAAATAAATCACAATTCTGCAACGATTTTTTTAAATCTAATATTTCTTAAGGTGGTTCTTTTTGATTTTTCCTCTATTTCTGAATTGGCCTGAATTTATTCAAGAACATATTCATATACTATTTATATAACTAATAACCTCAATATATAATTTTTTGTACTGATCTATAACATTCTGCATTTCAAAAGAAACTAAACATCCCGTCATTTTTCCTTGCTATATAGTAAGAGTGCTCTCTTCTATTAGTTTTCCTAATCTTGGATCCTTTATTATCCTGTAAGCCACTCTTCATTTTCAAAATAGTCAAAGCATATTCTTATCAAGTCTAGGACTAAATTTATATTTTACAACTTCTTGAATTCTTTTATATGGGTGTTAAGAGCCTTCCCACAGTACTTTATAAATGTCATCTTTAAATCTCTTGAAATGATAGGGATCAGTTGAAATGCAGAGTACTTCAAGAGTACTCTGCTTTGGAGTGAGTGATACACTGAATTCCCTAAATTTCAAATACTGATTAATAAAACATGCATACAAATTCTGTTTATCAATCCTATTTTCCCACTGTAATTATAAAATTAGAGCTAAATATTCTTACAGAAGAAAAATACCCTTCAACTATGTGAACAATTAGCAATCAGGCTAAAGTATTTTTAAAACTGAGATTTGTTCCTTTGAATATTTAATACATCACGTTTATTCTGTTGGAAGCTATTTCCAACACTGTAAGCAGCCCATGTAGCTACTGGTCCCTACATTTATTGTCTTCTTAGTCTAGAAAAAAAATCACACCCAGAGGAAAATAACACTGCTAGCAGGGTGCAGACTCAATATACCACTGAAGTTTCATTTAGCTAACAGTAAGAATGTATCAGAATGATTTGGGGGGAAGAAAAGATTTGGCTCAGGTCATGATCCCAGAGTCCTAGGATCGAGCCCCACATCGGGCTCCCTGCTCGGCGGGAAGCCTGCTTCTCCCTCTCCCACTCCCCCTGCTTGTGTTCCCTCTTTCGCTGTCTCTCTCTCTCTGTCAAATAAATAAATAAATATTAAAAAAAAAATAACAGAGAGTAATAATAATTTATTCTACGGAGTTTAAACTAGCAGGCCCAGGACGACAGGACGACCTTCAGTTCAGACATGTTGTTTGGCCTGAATAGTACTTCCTTCTTTAAATTAGTTACCATAGGGGCACCTGGGTGGCTCAGTCAGTTAAGTGTCTGCCTTCCCGCTCAGGTCATGATCCCAGGGTCCTAAATTGAGCCCTTCTGTCCAGCTCCCTCCTCAGTGGGGTGTCTGCTTCTCCCTCTGCCCCTCCCCCTGCTTGTGTTCTCTCTCACAAATAAAATCTTCAAAAAAATTAAATTAGTTACTATAAAAAGTTAACAAAGTACTGATACAACATGGATGAACCTGACACCCTTTTGCTAAGTGAACGAAGCCAGTTCACAAGCCATATCATCAAAGATCACATATTATTTAATCCCATTTATATAAAATGTGAAGAATAGACAAATCTTTAAAGACAGAGATTAGTGGTTGCCTAGAGCAAGAGGAAGGAAATGCAGAATGACTGTTAATGAATACAAAGTTTCCTTTTGGGATGCCTGGGCAGCTCAGTCAGTTAAGCCTCTGCCTTTGGCTCAGGTCATGATCCCAGGGTCCTGGGATCCAGTCCCACACCTGGCTCCTTGCTCAGCAGGGAGCCTGCTTCTCCCTCTGCCTGCCACTTCCCCTGCTAGTGTGCGTACTCCCTCTGACAATAAATAAAATATTTAAAAAAAAAAAAAGTTTCTTTTGGAAAAAGATTAAAATGTTCTAAAATTAGATTATGGTGATAACTGCACAACTTCGTAAATATATTAAAAACCACTAAATTATACACTTCAAGTAGTTAGGACGCTATTAAATTGATCAATAGTAAGTAACAGCCTTTTCACTTTATTTGGAAACTCTGAAACCTAATAAAAATGGGCTACCATTGATACCACATGGCCATCTCCTGCTGGCACTAGAGAGCAGCTACCCATTTCAGAAAGAGCATATACTCTATGATACGCCAGCGAACAGCCTACCCCATACAGATATGGTACCTCCTAAGGTTCCAATTGGAGATGGTGGTAGTCACGACAGATACAAAGGTGAAAAACATAAACCTGCAATTAAATGATTCTCCTAGGGTCATTCAGTAAGTGATAGAGCTAGAAATAACCTATTTACTAGTAATCTTCAGAGATTCATTCTCTACCTGAAATTTAATTCAATTTTTATGTGCTCTTATGAAGATACCTATTACAGTCCAAATACAGCCACTTATTTTGTTTCTATATAACTCAATCAATGTTTCTCAGCAAGAGAGATATTGACAGGATAATTCTTTTGTTTTGCAGGACCATCCTCAGTACTGCAGGGCATTTAGTGTCCCTGGCCCCTTGGCATTAAATATCAATAATAACCCTTTGTCATTATGAAGACAAAAAAAGCCTCCTGACATTTCTGAGTTTCTAGTGGGAGACCAGTAAGTCTCATTTTAGAACTATTTAAGCACACAAAAAAAATTTTCACAAGCTATGTGAGCTGAGGGAAATACTATATTTTATTATTTATAGGTGTATAACCTTACCTATTTAAAAAGTTAAGACTCCCAACAAGTAAATCTCTGGCATTTACTTTTATTATTACGTAAAATAAAAGTTAATTACCTCAAAACATAAGATATCTTTAGAAAAATGACTATCTACTAAATACAGTACTAGATACAAGGGAAATTTTAAACATCATTACAGCTACAATAACCAATTACTATAAAAGGGTATAACCTTAAGTAAATCACTGTCACTTCTTTGCGGGAAAAGTTCCTTCAAGGTCTGAAGTTTAGCATCTTTAAGGTCTTCCAATTCCGAAAGGTCTTCCAATTCCGAAATATCATCAGTATTTCTACCTGCCATGGTAGGAAGGCCCTGGGACTCTTCATCTTCAGATGGCTCAGAACTAAAAATATTTTCAGAGGAAAAAAACAATATTTTGATGTACTACTGTTATTTTATTAGAATCATATATGTATGTAATACAGCAGTTCTTTCCAATAAGAATGCAATCTACCTCTGTCAAAGATTAAAACAACTTTTTTCATTTCAGTATGGTTATATATATAAATCTACATTCCCAGAGTCAGCATACTTTGAAAATATCTCATATTATCTGGGCTGGAATGGAGAAGAACAATAAAATACCTGGCAATTATTTTAAGATACACACACGTACTGCATGCCCACTTTCTCCTTCCTATTCCCTTTTCACCTATACTCTATATATCAGATGAGCATTGTCAGGTTGCTCTTGAGAAATTATAAAGCCTACACTAATACAAAAAGAATTTTCATGGCCTACCTAGGTGATCAGAATCTAAGTGTTAAAGAATGGTTCCATTGAGTACCAGAATCTCTGGTACCAGACAAGGAGCATTTATTCCATGTGAGGTTTTATTAAAACTACAACTAACTTTAATCTCATTCCATCTCAATTTATATGTTAATCCTATATAAAAGACAGTTGAGGCCAAATTTTAATCATCTATCTCCCAAACAAAAATCTCACTTTGAAATTTTGGTTTTCTACCATGATAGCCATTCTGGAGATCAGAAAATAGCAGTATAAAATGGACAGAAGTTATAAAGATTAGAGAAAGAAAAGTGGGAATTTAGTTAAGTACATTCTTAGTGTCAGAGAATGCAGATTATTGCTATACAGCTAATTCTATTTTGGGAAACATATTCATGATCTGTATTTTAGTAATTTCACTGTATCTATTCATGTTAGTTCAGTCGTACGGTCCGGGTACTAGTTTTACCTGAGAATCCCGCAAAATATTTAAAAGCAGACAGATCCCCAAGGACAAGGAATATATATATTTTAACAGACTTCTAGATTGACTTCTTGAACCCTGCTTTAAGAAAATGCTCTAGAGTAATGAGGTAAAATAGCTTCCTTTGTAGAAGGAATATCCTTCAATATTTGAAGGCAATTACATGCATCTCCCTTTCCATTACACCCAGACCTCTCATTCTTCATATCGTCAACTCTGAATTCTCATTCTGCCTCACTCTGGATACATTCCCGATTTTGCGACCTAGTTCATTGAGAAAATGAAAGCATTCAGGTTGGAATCTTCTCACAATTTCTGCCCTAGAAAACCACTTTCAAAAGTTCTTACTCTGCTAGCCATCACCTTAACCTAATGATCAGATTCACGACCATGTGCCTCTTGCTGTAGTAATTATACTACCAATTTACCATGCCTTGTATTAACTGTCCAGTTCGCAGGAAATACAAGTGAGAGAGGAATAAATTCAATACCATCATAAGGAGACAATCATAAAAAACTATTTTTTCGAAGAAAAGATTTTACTTCTTCAGTAGTTAAAATCCTTAAAAAAGAGGAGGGGAGAGACTCTTTAAGATCAAAAGAAAGTCAGGAGTTTCAACATGTAAATGCGGTGGATGCTTCTTGTTTGGATCCTGGTTTGAAAAAGCAGCTATAAAACACATGAATGTAGGGGCATGTCGGTGGCTTAGTCGGGTAAACGTCCAATTCTTGTCTTCAGTTCAGGTCATGATCTCAGGGTCGTGGGATCAAGGCCCAAGTCAGGCTCCACACTCAGGGCCAAGTCTGCTTGTCCCTCTCCCTCTGCTCCTCCCCTCACTTGTGTTCATTCTCTCACAAATAAATAAATTTTTATTAAAAAAAACATGAATTAGATGATATTAGAGAACTGTTCATTGATTAGTATTGGGCTTTGGGGAGGAGAAAGACCTATCACCAAGTATTACGGGTAGAAATGTTGGCATGTCCATAATTTTCTTTAAAATACTCGAGGCCAATAATAATAATAGATGAAACAATGAAACAAACAAGGAAAAATATTAACAAATGTTAAGTCTAGGTGGTAGGTACATGGATGTTCATTGTCCATTACTTTATTTTCTTGTATGCCTAAGATTTAAAAATAAAAGAAAAAATCTACAAAAACAAGAGTTGACTACTTTGTGTTCTTTTATCTCGTGTAAGATAAAGTTCTTCCCTTCTACTGAACGTAAAGTCCCTTCTCAGTGCTAAGGGATTCCAGCCCTTTCTAGTTCCTACAGGATCCTGCTTCAACTATCTGTCTTCTCTCCCCAGTCTCCTCTCCCTCCCTGAGCTCCTCCTCCCAAGCCTACAACGAGCTCAAGACTGCATTAACCAACTAATTCAATGTGCCAGGAACTCTAGGAACTGTGGACACAAGCACTGAAATAAGCAAATTCTCCTCTCCTTCACAAATTTAAAAAACCGATTATCCACTTGCTCATTTCCTGTACAGTTTTCCTCTCAATGTTTTATTACCTTTTGCCCCACCCATTTCAGTGAAGTTGTTCTTACCAAGGCAATAATATCCTCTAAAATGTCAAATGTAATAAAAACCTTTCACTGGTTATCTACTCCTCTGTAGTCCCATACACTGTTGACAAATCTCTGAAAATCTGGCCCCACACCCACCCTCAGCCCATGGGTTTTGCAACATTAGTACTTCTGATTTTCCTTTACCTCTCCACCTGTCCTTAATCTCTAAAGAAGGCTTTTCTTCCTTTGTTCATATTTGTGAATTGTTGGTGTTTCCTAGGATTCTATCTTCAGCTTCTTCTTGTCTATTAAAAATTCTTAGGAGATTTCATCAACTGCCAGTTTCTATTACTGACACCAGTGCTTATCAAAAGGGGGATGATTTTGCCCCAAGAGAACACTTGGCAATAGCTGGAGACATTTTTGCTTCTTTGACTAGGGAGGTGCTACTAGCATCTAGTGAGTAGAGATCAGAGATTCTGCAAAACATCCTGCAATGCACAGGAAAGAAGCCCCTCAAAGAATTATCTGGCCCAAACTGTCAACGTCAAGGTTAAGAAATGATGATAACCAAAATGGCCCACTCATGGGTACTGATTATAATCATGGAATATTCACACAGTGCAATACTATGGAGTATGAAAAAAAATATAGGTTTCTATAAACTAATACGATTTCTAGGATATATACCTAAGTGAATAAAACAAAGCTCAATTGAGTATGTATATATGTATGCATTTATGTAGTGTGCTATCTTTTGTGTAAGAAACAAGAAGAAAGAGGGGTGCCTGGGTGGCTCAGTCGGTTAAGTGTCCAACTCTCCAACTCTTGATTTTGGCTCAGGTCATGATCTCAGGGTCATGAGATTGAGCCCCGAGCCGGGCTCTGCACTGAGCATGGAGCCTGCTAAGATTCTCTTTTTCTGTCTACCTCTGTCCTTCCTCCGCCCCACATGGATGTGTACTCTTCCTCTCTGCCTCTCTTAAAAAATAAATAAATAAATAAAAGGAAGGAAGGAAGGAAGGAAGGAGAAAAAAGATACATGGAAGAAAAATTATGAAAAACTAAACTGGTTAGTCCTGAGGTGGGATGACAGTGGGTATTACAAGAAAAAGGAAGAGGTAATACTTTTCTGAGCACATTCTATGCAGAGTTTTGATTTCTAAAGCCTTCTTAATATTTTAAATATTCAAAAGTAAAATTTAAAAGAGGGATAAGGAAAAAAACCTTAAAAGGAATACAAACAGAAATTAATGAACTGAACTAGATTTCAAATCAATAACAGAGAAACGTTAAGTAATCCAAATACTTTGACCATATACCTTCAATCTAAAGACAAAACAAACCTATAAACAAAATTTAACTCTACTTAGTAGGCTTAATGGTCAAATGGTATGATTACAGAATTCTGAATCTATTTTATGTATACTGGATGACTGAGCAAGTTAAGAAATAAACTGATATTGCAAGAAGCCAGAGTTCTCAATGTCAGAAAAGGAAATATAGAAGGAGAGCCAAGGAAAAGCCTTGTAGTGGTCGATTAGAATTAAAGGTTATCATTAAAAACTCATAATTTAAAAACACACACACACACAAAAAGACACACACATTCCCCTCATATTTCCTAGTTCGTATAGTGAAAAGGGCAATGACATAACCCCTGCCTCGCCTGATAGCAAAGAAAGAACACTCCTAGTCCCCAGATTTCCAAATACCATTCTCTATTAAAAGGAACCAGTGCAAAAAAAGAAAGAAAGAAAGAAAGAAAGTAAGAAATATAAAAGGAACCAGTGTTTCTTGGAGAAATGGCTAATTCTAAATTCAGGCCTAGGGTAGGGATAGTGTTAGTCTGTACCATCTTTTGCCAGAAGGGAAAGGCTCATAAAATAACAGGAACCTCTCAAAACCAGAGCCTGCCTAGAAGGGCCCTCAACTGCCAAAATTTAGCAATTTGAGCACCAAAATGAATAATGACAGTAAGTGAATTACAACCCACTGAACAAATAAATATCTATGATTCCATTTTTGATATTTACTCATACTATAAATGGGAAAAGAGAAAACTCTTCTTTATATTAGAATACCAAATAAAGTATAAGATCTGAAATGCTAGTTAAAATACCACCAATTCACAACCCTCATTTAAGTAACTGATTCAGGTAAGAATCATCAACAGGTACTAAAACTGCTGAATAAAAGTCTGCTAAGGAATAAGGTCAAAGTATCTGCGAATAGATTAATCACTGCAAAGGGGAAAATAGTAACTCTTTAGGGGAAAGCTGGCAGGTTTCTGAGTGATCCAAGTTCACTTCACCAATAAAGAGACAAATTGCTATCAGTGTGCCTTGTAATATGACACACTGAGGACACAAAATATTTATGTAGCATTCCTACCAGTTAACCTAAATTTAATCATGAAGAAAATCAGCTAAGTACAAACTGAGAAACCTCCTTAAAAAATGGCCTCTTAACCTTCAAAGGCCAATGACATGAGAAACAAAAAAAGGCTGAGAAACTGTTTCAGAGTAAATGAGACTAAAGACACAGGATACTGTTTAAAAAAAAATCCAACATGATACTGAGGGAAAAATTACTGTGAAGTACTTACTTAAAATACGGTCCAAGGACTGACTACTAGTTCTTAAGCTCACACTGTTATCCATCAATAACAAGATAAGGAATTTACACCAGAAGGTAAAACAACTATATTACTAAGCATGTAACTTAGTCAAGCTGATTTTTCCTTATAATACTTTCCTGGAGAAGAAACTGGTACACTGACTTGCATTTTAGAGCACATTCCTTATTTACAAACCAGTACTTTTGAACGTGGGATTAACTGGTAATATTTAAATATGTACTATACATTAGATAACTGTACTGTGCCAATGTTAATTGGTATTTCTGAATTTGAATGCTTCTTTTCTAATTAAGAGAAAGACCTTGTTCTTAGCAGGTAAATGTGAATCTAACACACTTAACCATGCAGGATCTTCACTATTTTTTATTTCAGAGTGAATTTCAGGAGAAAGGCATGTTCATTATGGCTTATTTACAAAAAGTTCATTTTAAGAGGAAATTATCATCAGCAGACAGTCTCGATCTCTTGGCTCCTTCTTGCAGCATTTTCTTAGCTTAGCTTCTGAGCACACAACCCTTTGACTTTTACCTCAACAACTATTCCTTCTCAGAACCTCCACAGATTTCTCATCTCCCTGTTCCTAAAATCCCAAGTTCCCCTGGCCTGAGTCCTTTAACCAGGAGATCTCTTTTCCAGCTATACAGTATCTCTTAGTGATTTCATCATAAAACTTAAAATATCAAATCTATATTCTGACAATTCCTAAATTTAGATGTTAACCAGACCTCCCCTCAAAAACTCAAATGTCACAAATCCAATTGCCTACTTGACATCTCCCGCCTAGATGTCTAAGAGTCTTCCCAATCACAGCATGTTTAAGACTGAACTGCCAACCTTTCCTTCAAAAGGAAGCCTACCACACCCAAAACAGTCTTCCTTATCTCAGTTAATGGTAATTCCATCCTTCCAGTTGCTCAGGCCAATCTTAGGGTCATCCTTCACTCCCTTCTCTCCCACCCAAAATCCAACAATAAAACCTCTCTGCTCCACCTTCAAAGTATATACAGAATCTAACCCCTTCTAATCATCCCCACAAGTAGTAGCCTTGTCTAAGGGTCCACATTTCTTGCCTGGGTTATTACAATAGTATACATGCTTCTAGTACTGCTCACCTATAGTCTCAAATCCTTTTAAACACGTGAATGAAATAATTTACCCCTCTGCTCAATACACTCCATTCATTAGCTTTCTATCTCAATCAGAGTAAAAGCCAAAAGCCTATGGGTTTAAGATAATTAAATCCCTCTTCTACCCTGCTGCTTACCTTGTGACCTTAGGTCTTTCTCTCTGATTCATCTGCCCCCTACTTTCCTTAGAAACATCAGGTATAATACCACTTCAGGGTCATTAAACAAGTTATTTCCAATGACCAGAATACTCCACTCCTGACCCCCCCACCCTCATATCCATATGGTTCACACTTTTTTAACCCCTTCAGATCTCTACCCAAGCATCATCTTCTCAATAAAGCTTTTTTCCAACTGTGCTCTTTAGAAACCATACCCCCTACCCCTGGCCCTGAACTCCATTATTTTCCTTCCCTTTTGGTCATAATATTTATTATTTGGCATAGTACATTGTTTATTTGCTTATTGTCTTTCTACCTGACTATAATACAAGCTCTGTGCTACTCCACAGAATGTGCCCAAAGAATGTTAAAACAATTTGACTCTGGGACTTAAGAATAGACCATAAAGAAATTATAGATGATCAAAGGTACCTGTTAAAATAATTTCCCTATTTATGGAGGGTTAAAAAAACTAAATTATCTGCTCTCACGATAAACTTTTTATTGAAAATCAGTGTTATCCAGAAACATACACACGCACGCGCGAACACACACACACACACACACAATACTTCTCTACAGTTCTAAGTTAGGGAAAAATGACCAAGATGCAATAGAGAAAAGGCAAAAAAGAAAGAAAAAAAAGAGAGAAGTCACCAAACTATTTTTCAAATTAAGTAACTTTTTCTTGAAAAACTTCTTACATAGGCAAATATAATGAATGAGTCTATTAAGCTGCTTACACTATAATTACTGTGTCTTTGTTGAATTTTTTCTCTTGAACTGTACTGGAGCAATTTGGGGAAACGATATCTTCACTATCAGAAGACAAGTCAATATACTGTATTCCTCTTTGATTCTTGAAATATGAGATACTAGCTTTTCTTTCATTTTCTGCAGTTTCTGGAACACTAGAATCTTCTGCAAAAGAAAAAAAAGGAGAAAGGCATTTTGAGCAACCTGAAAATAAATCTGTTTTTGATAATTATAATCATGTGCTAAAAATCTCTAATCTGTTCACTGTTTCCATCCTAAAACCAAAAATTCCCACCAGTTTTCAAAGAATATATTAATAGTCAAACCAGGGCTGATGTTAAATGATTTTCCATTTCACAGGTTAATTTACTTGCAAGACCCTAGTGGGAATTGCAAAAGAGGAGTTTGTGCGTTACAGTGTCATCTTCTTTTCTCTGTGCTTTTATTTCCTAGTACCCAGTTCTGGCCTAAATGAACATGAACACTACAGCTCAAAAGACTTGTATTCCAATCCTGTCTCTTAGCCAAATTATGTAATCACTCCAAACCTCAGTGTCCTCACCTGTAAAATAGAGATGCTAATCATCACAGGGCTCATGTGAACATAAAATCAAAAGATATATATTAGGCATTTAGTTCAGTCATTGGCACATAGCCCGTATTCAATACACATTACCTCTTAAGCAAATGTTGGTGTTATGGGCTGAATTATGGCCCCTCCAAAATTCTTAAGTTTTAACCCCCAGTAACCTCAGAATGTAACATATTTAGAGGTAGGGTCTTCAAAAAGGAGACTGAGTTAAAATGAGGCTGCTTCGGTGGAGGCCCTCATCCAGTATGACTGATGTCATATGAAGAGAGAGAGACAAAAGATGTGTGCATGAAGGGAAGGCCATGTGAGGACACAGTGAGAAGGTGGTCATCTGCAAGCCCTGGAGAAAGTCCTCAGAAGAAACAACCTGGATCCTGGGTTTTCGGCCTCCAGCCATGTAACAAAATAAAGGTATGTGGTTTAAGCTACCTGGTATTATATTTTGTTATGGCAGTCCTCACAAGCTAAAAATTTTGGCTCATTCAAAACAGGTGAATAAAATATTTTACCAAGGTCTCTTCTCTTCAATAGCAGAGTTCCAAAATTATTCTCCCTTCCCCAGAAAACCACCATTCTCCCTTACATATTTGAGAAGGAAAAGATCACATTTAAGAAATTCATATTAAAGTAGTCAATGCCTTGGTCTAGTGAATCTATTTTAAAAAGCAACAACCAGATGAATCTTTAGTTCAAAGGTGTCAATGTAAAAAATATTCACTGACAACTGTTTTTTAAGTCAGAATCAAGTCCTTAAGTGATGCACAAACATTTTTAATCCTCACAATAAACCTGAGGGTACACATTATATCACCATTTTATAGATAAACTAGATTTAGAGAAAGCAACTTGTCCAAAGTCATATAGGAGATGTAACAAATCTGAAATCTATGCATAAAGGTCTAAATCCTTATACTCTAAAACTCAGGCCGTCTCCAATACCTGTCACAAAATGATAGCAATCATTATAATGAAGCTCAAGAGCCATATTTGTAAATAATATTAACCATGGCCTACATGACTACTATTCACCTGGAGGGCACTAAAACGATATATCTTTACTTCCTACAATGAAGTCCTATCAACACAACTGAAAAGCAAATCACATTTTTTCCAAAAGAACGATTTTATAAATGTTGAGTGAAGAACCTGGATGAAGAACTCTGCATTGGAACAAATCACAGCTATATTAACTGCCATAAACATGGCGACACTTACAAATTCTGATAGGTGAATGCATGTTGCTTTTACAAAGTGTACCTGATATATCACAAATCATACATAAAATTAAAATCTAGATGTTCACTGTATCAAAAATCTGACCTAAAGCTAATGCACATCAGCTAAACATGTTAACCAGTGTCCTGTTTTCTTATATTTTCAAAGGGCTAAGGCAAAATTATTTCAATTGTCTGTTTTCTTCAAAGTCTCTTTATTTGGGCGCCTGGGTGGCTCAGTTGGTTAAGCGACTGCCTTCGGCTCAGGTCATGATCCTGGAGACCCAGGAACGAGTCCCGCATCGGGATCCTTGCTCAGCAGGGAGTCTGCTTCTCCCTATGACCCTCTTCCCTCTCGTGCTTTCTATCTCTCATTCTCTCTCTCAAATAAATAAATAAAATCTTTAAAAAAAAAAGTCTCTTTATTCAAAATGAATAATAATCTTTTTAAAGCTAGCTACTTAAATGCCTAAATGCCTGGAGGAGGGGAGTCCTAAAAAATCTGTTAATGAGTATTAGGAGAACTAGAGTTTCTTGAACTTGATTACATATTCATCTTTGATTTTCTTTTTTTCCCTCTTCTTATTTTATACAGGTAATACAAAAATATACAGTGAAGACATATCAATTTTTAAAACTCATGCTTAATGTGCTTAGTTAACGAGACAAAAAAAAATAAAGAAGTTTGGCTTACTCTCCATCATGTATTCAATTACTCAGAGCTTTTACTGGTAATGTAATATGTACCATCAACATATATACACTTTATATATATATATATAGTATGCATACAATGCATTATTTTGTATTATATATATTATAATATATACTATACATATACCTATACATCTCTACCTAAAAATACACCTTAAACTTGTACACAGGTCTGAACCAAGTGACATCCCCATAGCCCAACTGGTAAGTGACTAACAGAGGAAGTAGTTTGATAATATGGAGGATAAGGGAAGGTTACAATACAATAGCATTTCTCAAACTAGAACCCTTTGCACTCTTAAAAATTGAGGACCCTAGAGTTTTTGCTTATGTGGCTTATGTTGGTTATATCTATACTACCATATTAGAAAGTAGAAACTGAAAACCTTTATTAAACTGCTTACATAATAACAAGTATTTTTATGAAAACTATATCCCCTCAACCCATCCCTCTCCCCCCAATCTAGTGAGAAGAGTGGCACTGTTTTGTATTTGTAAAAATCTTTGGTTCTAGCTGCTTCTGTAATTCATCTATTGTAATATACTTTTTGTTTAGGTTTACGAAGAAAATCATGCTTCACACAGATAATACAGTTAGGAAAGGAAGAGTTTTTTCATAACCTTTTTACAATACTATGGATATTCTTCTTCGATACTAAACCCAAATTTGACACATGGTAGCTTTTTTTTAAAGGTCAGTTGCAATGTGGAATGTGAAACCATATGAATAAACTTTTGCGTTCTTTTACATTTAAACCCACTGGTCTATCTTGCACTTTAATGGACCTTTAAACCATGCATTATTTTGTAACACTGTGTGCACTGGTCATTTGGAAAATACTGGTTCACTTACTGATCAATGCAGATCTTCCAAATGTTGACACATTTCATGATATTTTATCAAAAAATTAGATTAATATTACCACTGATCCTGAAATATCAGGAGATTGTCAAACTCACAGTCCAAAATCCAAACTCTCCTTTGAAAACTGGAATTTTATCACTAGCAATAAATGCTACCGGTTATTTCCTTGCTTTCACTGTCCTTTTTTGAGAAAATGTCTGCTAAATACCTAAGTCTGCTTAACTACAGTTTGTCAGCCATTCTTTTAAGTAAAAATGGTGTTTGGTGAAAAAATGACAAGTTCAAATCAGAACTGAAAGCAACTGTTCAAATGCTTTCCCTTGAGATAACCACTGTACACACTTCAGTATACAGCAAAGGCTGGTTCACATTTTGTTTCACAAGTATTAAAAAGACACCTACTGCTTAGTTGAGATTTACCAAAATCAACAATTTTTACTGCTTTATCAAAAACATTCTTAAGTGAAACTGACATTTAAAAATTTTTAAGAATACAATGACTACTAGAACAGTTTGGAGTCTTGGCCTTGATTTGTGCTAAGGCACCAGCAGTTTTACTTACCACTGCTTCTGTACACATCAACACAGTAAAAAGGCAAGTAGTATCTTAGTATTATTATGAAAGTAGTTTGCCCTTAGGGATCCTAAAGGTTCACATACCACACTTTGAAAACTGATGGGCCACAGTAAGAGCTTGTTTATCTAAAAACATCAACTTTCCAACACAGTCAATAATTTAGAATTAGAATAATGTTTAATGCTTAGATTTGTTTGTTTGGACTATTTCTAGAAGTAAGCAAAAGCAAAAATAGCTAAGAGGCAATGAATGGCCAAAACGATGGAGTAATGGTTTCTGACCCAAGCCAAACAAGCACTTTTAAGCAGCACAAGAGACAGAGGAAACAGAAAAATACAAATGAAAGAATGGTGAAATGCTGAACCAATTATGAAGGCATCAGCTACTATTAAATTCTGACATTTGCTGACTGCCTTCTGTGCTTAAGGCACTGTACCAGGAGGTAGGGAATATTAAAGAAAAAAGGTTCAACTTGCCCTAAAGAAACAAATAAGAGCTAAGTAGCCAGGTACACAAGTAACTGTTACGAAATATGATTTGTGCCATGAGAAAGGATTAAACAAAATGCTACAGGAACATGAGGGAAAACAGCCTATCCTTTCGTACAAAGACCATAAAGAAGCCTATATTTTAGAGATAGAAAATGAATATTTTCTCATTACCAAAAGGTAATGGGAACCTACATCATTAGCATATGCAAGAAGACTCCAAGGTTCCAGGGAGTTTTTCCAAACTAAATTCCCCATTAATGGGTATGCAGAAGAGAAGACAATCTTGTATCCCAAGTTTTTCCAGTATGCATGTACCCATTCTCATATCTAAGTCTACCACAAAACAAAAGAAGCATTTAAGTCTGACAATGGTTTCACCTTTCCAAAGGGTCCAAGATCAAGGGCCACTCAAAAACAAGCAAAAATCACTACAGGAGATTATGAGTTCACACTAAAGTAGTCCAAATTAATTTGATAACCCATAAATAAAAGTTATCTCCCAAAGAATGAAAATACATAAACCTTTATATCTGTCCTGAAGACTTACAAAACTGTGCCATTTCTGATCGTCTAGTTGTGTTATACTCTACATGGTTCAATTCTTTAACATGGCAACTAATTTTCAAAGCAATTCCTTTGAATACCAACTAAAACACATCATTTATTGTTTTAAACAGTAACCAAAATAATACATAGTAAAATCTAAGCAGCC